ATCATATTATCCTATTCCTATCCCAGTATTTTCTTATCATAGTCCTGTTATTATTCATTGAACAGGAGAAATCATTATTTTCCATGGTTCATTATTATGGTTATTATCACTTATATTACTAATTATTAAGCATTAATGATCATTATTATCCCATAATCTTAAATTATAACAATTATTATTAATTATAATCTCTATCATTATCATTAATTAATGATAATATTTGTCATCTCTATGATTTATCACTATTATCATTTATAGATCATGATCATTATTTTATTTGTATATATATATATATCATCTCGATCATCCCATGAAAGAGCCATGAAAAAAACATCACCAAGGTTGGCACCAGACACCAAGAGGCGGGACTCGCCAGTGCCATATCCGTGGATTCATGGTTGCCACGGCAGTGTTGGTTCATCATAGGCTATACGATCCAAATAATCATTAATACTATAGCTATATCATGAGGGATATAATATAATATATATATAAAGTAAAATCTACCGTATTCCAATCGTAATCGCATTGTATGATAGAACAATAACTATATTGTATTCCAATGTATTGTTTTCCGCTATAATTAAGAACAATCATTGTGTTTTTTGGATCAAAATACACGATCAAATAGACTCGTCCCGACAAAAGATGTTTCTTTTGGATTGTGTTTTCCCAATTTTTTGCAGGTTTCCAGCTTGTCGGCATTTTCTTTGGGGTGCCAAATAACAAAAGTGTCATTCTGGTTCTGTGGGATCATCTTGCCATGGGTGTGTGTGCATTTTTTCTTATTAATTACCCTCTGGTAATTTAACATAGCTATTGAACATGGTCATTTATAGTGGATTTACCCATTGAAAATGGTGATTTTCCATAGTTATGTTAGTTTACCAGAGGGTAATCATTGTTAATACACTGTAGAATCACGCCCCCCTATCATAAAACACCCAAAACAGCCCAAACAGAAACCATATATGGGACCATAGAATGGGGTTGGTCAACATGAAGGGCACAGATTAGCTAGCTATGGATCGAACTTGTTTGGCTGTGTGTGGGTTACGCTGCTTGCCACATGGGTATATGTTTTTGTCCAGGTCTATATTCTGGTCCGTTCAGCTTTGTGACATGGGTTTCCTCACGGTTCAAGCCCTGGGTGGAGGATGGGTGATACACTTTTTGGACAGCAGGTAGCAACTATAAGGGCCCCACAAACAAAGTTCTCGCCACACACTCCATGTCCAAAAAGGGTTGCATATGAAAAAATAATCAGCATATTGAAACGCCTCATAACTATCTTAAAACCATCTCAGGGGTGATTGTTGTTTTAAAATGCTTGACATATACTACAATGATCTTTTACATCATCCGTTTTTTTTTCCAATGTTTTTTGATTTTGGCTGGTGCCCCCGTTTGAAACCCAGCCAGGTGTTTGGACACCTATGGCGTTCTGGAGGAGTTTGGCGTCCAACTGACAGCGGACGATTTCTATCAACGTTGCTCGGTGGGTTGGTGCAACGTCGGTTGGAAACATGACATATATGATAGATATATGGTGATATATGTAGGTTATGTAGCACACACACTCACACAGATATATAATGATACATATAAATATATAGTTCTAATACAAATGAATATATAGTTTACACATATATATATATTTATATATTTATATATATATTATTATTATTTGTGTGTGTGGCCTCATGTAGCAATTGGTTTTTCAGGCTTTGCGAGCAGCAATAGGCTTTGTGTTGCAATAGGGGCGTCCTCATGTCATGGGACGGCTGCGGGTCCAGTCACGCCCTAAATTAATTCAACCAACGGTGGGTTTACCCTGTGGTAAACTAACATAGCTATGGAAAATCACAATTTTTCATGGGAAAACTCACTATAAATGGCAATTTTCAATAGCAAACTGTGAGTTTACCAGAGGGTATGTCAATTTGCACTGAAAAAAGGTGCGCATACATCCACTCACCTAGCTTAGGACACCTTGATGTTGAATAGAAATGTCTAGAATTCCATCCCGCCCATCCCCGTTTGAAACAGCATAAACCATTCACAAACTAGCTAGACCCTTCAACAAAACCTCCAACACATAATCTAAAAATCCTAGGAACAAAACCTCCAACAAAAAATATCAAAATCCTTGGAACAAAACAACCGTTTTACAGCTCCAAACGGAGGCTTTTTTTTCGGTCTACCGGTCTACATCCAACATCGCTTCAAGGCTGGCGCGTCTTTGGATGTCCCAAGTCTACCTTCGATCTGGTGGCCAAAGTGGAAGATGACATCAAAGAGTTGGAGGTCGCGGGGCACCTGTGGGCCCACATGGGCCCAAGAAAGTTGATACCCGACCTGGTAAACAGTCCCAAAAAACTGATGGGAAAATCACCATGTTTAATAGGCAAATCAACTATTTCTATGACCATTTTCAATAGCAAACTGTTAAATTACCAGAGGGTATCTGGTCACAAGTGTCACGTAATGTCACGTAACTTCCTGCGACTAGTTTTTTGTTCGATTATGGGATGACACACTAATATTTACAACATCCTAAAACTGGGATGATTGGGATAAAAATATATGGATGAAGATGGATGAACCACATATCCAACATATCCAACATATCCCCCAAAATGGATAAGCATGGTCCATGATGGATGATTCCGTTCAAAAAAAAAACATGCGCTCATCAAAACGTCCTCACGACGACCTCACAACGTTAAATATCGTAATTGAAACCATCTCAAAATGTTTGGGAATTGCAGTAATAATTTGCCCATGTGATTATGCATTATAATGCAAGGAACATCCCCAAAATGGTATGATTTGGATGGAACATAATAGGAAACATATTGAAACTAATCAATATCTGCGGAGTAGGGGGACTTGAATTTAACAATGTTGACCTATGCGATGCCGTCGCGACTGGCTTCCTAAACCCAGGCAATTGGTAACAGGTCTCATTCTCCATGCAGGCTTGTTAGGTAGAGGTTCATTAATTCATCTCAATAAGTGTGTATGATCTGGATATTTCAAGCTACCCTCTATGCCAAAGTGTTTATTAATCTGGGGGGACCACCTGTTTTTAAATTGCATATTTTTTGGGGGGGAGGAGGAGGTTGATTAATAACGGGATGTTGATTAATCTGACTTGACATTACTTAAGATACTTAAGCTTTGTATATATGGCATGTACTACATGTACATAGGGCTTTGACATAAAATTAATCGCCCTCACACAGTCGACCATGATGTGCTCTGTACGAGTCTACGGCGCAGGCGCAGTTCGAAACAGCCCAGCAGCAAGAGCAAGCGGATTTCTACGAGAGCATTGTGGATGTAGCCTGGGCGCCTGGTGCCACTAGGTGGATTATCCTTGGATCCTTTGGTATTCCTTTTGGTCAAACATGGCAATTGAAAATCCATGAAAATCCTATACGTCGTACATAGATTGGGTTTCCGACGGCGATGGAGAAGGAGAGATGGGCTTGTAATATGCTTTAGCATGTTTTAATGAACATGGATTGAGATAGGAGCTTTGTCTATTGCCATGTTTGATTACCGGAGAGTATGTCAATTCTTGCGAACTCGTTTCTATCTATTCTATCTGATTCTATCTCAACCCAGCTCTTCATATGGGTATGGGTCAATACCTATAGATACATTTTTAATGGGATGAACATCCATAAATCCCAGCTATGACTTGGGGTTCACGGCACGGTACCAGGGTTTTGACTCATAGCCATATTCTTGACTCCCCTTCGCTTTCCCGTGTGCAATTCCTAGGCCAAGACCATTGAGAATTTCTCGCAGTACTCGGCCACTGGGCTGCAGAGATGGTACCCGTCGGGCCGCCATAAACCATCCCATTGACGGGGATCATCCATAAGCCTCTATTGAAATTGAGAACGGGTTACGGAATTGGGTTTCCCACATTATATATATATAATTATATATATATATATTCAACACTCATTCCCAGAGTCCTAGAGTGATTTCACATCTTCAATAAAAGTCCATTTCCTCGAGAAATCCGCTTTCCCATATGATATCATATAGAGAATTCATATGATATGACACTGGAAGTCCAGAAAAATCCATGATTTTACTCGTTCAACTATTATCAAATTCATTAAATCTATACCGATATCCCATCTGAATCCTTCTTTAATAATTTTGAGTCGGCTCCGCTGTGTGCCGTGCACCTTGTCTTCCATCCTTACTGGCATTTGTAGCATGGTGATACCACCTGCACAGGAATTTGAGAAGTTGGATGAGATCTACGAGAACGTGGAAAGTGTGAATGAACGGCTGAAATCTGTTGGGACCCAAGGTGCTCCCATCACCCTGGGCATAGCCTCATGGCATATTCATGGCTATGGCAGTGGTGCTGAGTGGAAGGAGATCGGATGTTTCAGCCGCAAATTCTGACTGGGCTGAAGGTCTGTTCTGGCTGAGGATTTTTGTTGGGTACAGTATATGCTGGGAAAATTCAGTCGTACACTGTCACCAGATGTCACCAGCCATCTCAATGGAACTATCGAAACCCAGCTTTGAAACCGAACAGCAGGAAGGGTTCCAGAGTTCCAGGGTTCTGTTCCGTTCCTGTTTTCTGGCTGGGCAACCACAGGAGGAAACACTCCCAGCGCCAGAGATGGTTTCAACCCAACAGACACTGGTGCTGGGAATGTATCATATTTGGCTTGAATGATATTGACGTCACAGTGGTTAGTAGGGGGAGTCATCACATCTTTTACAGGGAGTCATCACATGTTTTTTCTATGATGCCATCCATGCTACTCGGACTTTTGCACCAAGGCAGCAACGCAAGCCAAGCTCTTCAACTCGCGTGAGACGTTGTTCGGCAAGGAGGCCATATGGGGCTTCAAAGCTGACATGAGAACAGTGCGCACATAATGAGCAATTACATATGTGCGAGGCTTGCATGTAGCAATAAATGTGCTAGGGATGCAAGGCAGCTTGAAACACCTTGATACTGCCCGTATGTTTTCTTTTGGGCGAAATATGTCACTGATATAAAGGAGGGTTATTTATATATTTTATAGAGTTAAAAAAAAACAGGTTTAGGATGTTTTTCTTGATTCCTGCTTCTCTGCTTTTCTTGTTTCTCTCTTTTCTGCTTCCGTGCTTTTCCGCTTGTTGCGAAAATCCTGCTGTTCTGCTTTTCTGCCTTTCTACGATTTTTTCTGCTGTCATGCATTTTTGCTCCTCTGTAAACTATTCTTCACCCGTATACAAGTTACGTGGCAACTGGAGACAACAGGTGAATCCTAGAGGGGGTTGTTTATGCAGGTCACGGACTACAGCATGATTGCCCAGCTGACGAAAGAGTTCCTTGGCAGCGGGGCTTCGGCTTTTTTTGTGTGGACGTGTTTGGATGGATTGGTGGCTAAGCTTCTGGCATTTTTTGGCCATGAACAGCTGTGGAGGAAGTGGAATACCCTCTGGTAATTTAACATAGCTATTGAAAATGGCCATTTTCCCATTAAAAATGGTGATTTTCCATAGTTATGTTAAATTACCAGAGGGTAGGAATAGTAGAGGATTTGGATGAGACCTCGCTCGCAGGTGGGAGCCTTTCACTCAGCTTTGGGTTTGGTCCTCAGATGATCCCTTTCCAAAAAGCTGAAGTTTAAACCAGTTTCCTGTAAGTGCATGGCATGACTTAGTCCAGTAAGAGTTGATGGCGAAGAGTTTCTAGCAGGATTTCCTACTAAAATTGTAGAGTTTTTGATGGACAATCCCAATTTCGGTCTGCCTGGATTGGGGGAACATCCAAAGTATAAGCACCAAATCTGCTCCAAACTGCATTTCGGTTTGTGGCGTGTTGTTGTGAGCATTTGTTTCAACATAGCCTTCAAAAGAACGACAGGCAAACACCTATACGAATTGAATAGGTTTTAATTATTTCTTAAGTTATATTCCTTTCAATCTTCCAATCCAACCTGTGTCTTGGTTTCTGTTTTTGATCATCTCAAATCACGTTTTTTGCCCCAACTAAGCGTCAATTTGGACATCCGCCGTGTCAGGTGACGGCCTTCAACTGGACCAAGGACTCCAAGAAGTGGCTGCGAGGGATCCCAGATGTCCACCCGGGACCCTGAGCCATTCAGCAACCAATTCAGAGGGGGTGAAATAATCCATTCAATTGTATATATATATATATTTACACTGTACGTATATACTGTATATATATATTTAATATATATATATATATATATTTATATATTGTATATATATGTATACACATACTGTATATATATAAATATACATATTTAATATAATATGTATATATATATACACACATATTTAATATATATATATGTATATATATATATATACATATGTGTGTGTATATGTGTGTGTGTGTGATGGCTTATGTATGGGATAGATAATATAGGTTACAATGTGGCAAACCCAATACTTATCCCAATACATATGTATATACACATACTGTGTATATCTATCTATCTGTCTGTCTGTCTATCTATCTACCTACCTACCTACCTATCTATCTACCTACCTACCTACCTACCTATCTATCTATCTATCTATCTATCTATCTACATTTTTCATATATATATATATGTATGTATGTATATATATATATATGTGTGTGTGATGGCTTATGTATGGGATAGATAATATAGGTTACAATGTGGCAAACCCAGTAATTGTCCTATTAGTATCCGTTAGCAAGCCATAGACGGGGGCATTAAATGAACATCATCCCATTTCTCGGGGTAAAGCAACATTGGAGAACATCAATTGTCTAATGCATAAAAACGTTAATGGTGATATGTGATAGGTTATAAATGAACCATGGTGAATAGGTGTCTTCAACAAATTGAAGGCTAATGAAGGCCATGTCGTTTCCTTTGTTCCACCGACAAAGGGTAAACGCACACCACCAGCGATGCTCAGTGACTGTGTAGAGACCAACATCGCCAGATGGGCATGGCTTAACCATGCTTAACCCCAATGACATTGGATGGTTTATCTTAGAAGGTGGTGACCGCAGTTTGAAGTTTATACCCTCTGGTAAACATACAAAAAACTATGGAAAATCACATTGTTTTTAACTGGGTAAACCAATGGGCCATTTTCAATAGCTATGTTAAATTACCAGAGGGTAACTTCCGTGATGTTTCATCAGTTCGATATGTGGCCCTCGTGAAATGTCCGTGAAAGAAATCAACTTAGCTACTATTTGGGGGTATCATCGCGATAACAGCTTGACCTTGCCATGGATTCTTCTCAGGGTCGAAGTGGATCTAAAATTTATTGGATGGTAAGATCCCTTTTTTTTTGGATCAAAGTTTTTGGTAAATGGTATGGGTCAAACTTGGGTAGCCCAATCATTGGATGGTTAATACATGTTAATACATGTTATTAATTGTTATTAGATTAAAATCTGTGGTTTGCCAGGTCTTTGATTTTGATCCATACCCTTAAATTGCTTATAGTGAGATTCTTCATAGTGGGTTAAGATAAACAAAATCAAATTTCACATATCCCAAAGAGGCATGGCGGCATTCCCCCAAATAAATCAACCATGATTGGAAAATATTAACATATATTAACATATATTATCCATATATAATCCATATTCAACCCATGTTTTTGGGATATGTTCCAATTGTGATACACGGACCACCGAGGACTGGTCCGTTTCAACAGGTGGACTCCAAATTCTGCGAGAGCTCTGTGGCGGTTGGGGACCGAAAAAGGGGACAGGAGAGCTGTTAGTTGGGTGGAACAAAATCATACAAAAACCATCAAAAACCAATGGTTTCTCCAGAAAACTCATGGTTTCTGGTAAGCAGATGCAACCAGAAGTAGTGCATAGTATGTGGAAGATGTGACCAGAAGTAGCACATACTATGTGGAAGTGGAAGTGGTTTAACTTTTTTCAGCGGAGTTTGGAAGATCTAAGGGTTGATGTGGTGAACCTAAAGCCAGAAAGCATTCCTGACATCAGCATTTTGATGGGTGGTAACTATCAACCCCAAATGGTCGGTTTATTTTTGGGTCTCCGAGATGATTCGATCATGAGAAATTCATGGAATGTTCATGGGATTCTCATAGAGCTTCCCTTGACCCATCAATCCATTGAGGGTAGGAATGAAATCCACGTGCCTACAACGGTGCCTACAGCGGATGACCGACCACCGAGGCGGGCACCAAGACCCTCTTCAAAGCCGTGAAGGCCTTCGAAAAGCGCGACGGATGCGGCGAGGCGGGCCTCGGGCCTCGGTGTGTGTGTGGCACGAGCCAAGACATGGTGGAATTGAAGCATGAAAAATGGCGGTATGTAACAGCATTCAACCAACAAAAAATGGGGATGTATCCATGATGTATCCATAAAGTACCCATAAAACCATAGAGATTTGAATCATGAAATATGGTGGTTTTACCATCCAAAGATGGGGAGGAATGGTGGTATGGCCATGGGGGTTTTTCATGGGAACATCATCATTAGGATTACCCTGCGGTGTCATCAAACATGGCTAGCCATGGCTAGCCGGGAAATCCTCACAAATCCTCTAGCTGGGAAAAGCATCGATTTTAAATGGTGGATTTTCCAGCTAGCCATGTTTTGCCCTAAACGGGTCAACGGTAAACCATCCAATTTGATCCAATTTGCTGGGTCAACAATCCTGAGATGGGATTGCGATGACGGCTCAAGACGGCTCAATCAAAGCCGTTGATTTTTGCTTGGAGCAGCCCGGAATCAGAGAGTCGACCCAATCTTGCTGCTTGTGGATGCTCAATGGATGTTCATAGGCCTCAAGTCTTGTTCTAACTATTGAGGGAGATGCGTTCCACATGACAAGATGTTTGATATGTTGGTTTGCGAGTCACCATGTTTCCAACTGAAACAGATCAATGGCAGACAATAGCTGCATTGGCATAGCTCGTGCAGGTGCTGCAAATTGCCAAGACCGTTAAGGACCCGACCTGCCAAAACCCGCGGCTGAACACGGCTGAACCAGTGTCGGTGACCACCAGGCTATCTTGGAAGTGCCACTACTGGAAGCAGAGTTTGGAATCTGACTGGCAGTTTCATATAGTTTCATTCCTACATCATCATACATCACGCATCATCATACATCATCAGTTTGCATGAACTATAATCATTCTAAGGAATCCTTTGGGGATGCGAATCCTTTGGTCTCTTTAGGGGACCCGGGAATCATGGGTCAGGGTCCGGTTCATCATGGTCCATCATGGTCTCCCCAGGAGCAGATGGACGACTTTGCGCCCAAAGTCCCTTTAGTGGTGGGTCTGAGGTTCGGCCCCATGGGGCCCATAGAAAATTGGGTCAGTGATTCCCCAACAAAAACAGAAAATCATCCAATTCCTTACCCTCTGGCAATGACTAACAGTTTGCGAACTTGAACATGGCCCATAGAAATAGTGGATTTGTGGATTTACCATGATTTACCCAGCTAGAAAATGGTGGATCTTTCCATAGTTATGTGACTTATGTGCTATATCTTTGGCCATGTTGGCACCTCAAAGTCTACGATGTCAGGAACCAGGGGATGGCCGATCGACACTGGGAGCAAGTCTCCAATTTGATCGGCAGCAGCGTGCATCCGAGCATGGAGGCCTGGTCAAAAATGATGTCAACTTGATGTTAAGTGATATTAGATGGTGTTAACTGGCATTAAATGATGTTTTAACAAATCGTTTTCCTGCAAATATGTTTTGAAACATCAAACCAGTGAATGTCGTAGTTGTTGGTTTTTTAGTTGCAAAACCATTTGCGATGTCTGCAAGGTTGCAGTTGTTTTTGCTAGTAATGCTAGTCAACTCACAATTGTTCTGGTCGCCGCCATCGCTGCCAGAACTTCACGTTGAACAACTTCATCGAGTCGAAGCCTCACAACTGGGCTGGTGATGATGGGTCACATCACATTCAGAACATGAAACACCCCATCAGAAAGCCTGGTACAGTGTTGGATCTGATATGATTTGATCATGATGATTACTTTGTCCGATATCCTATGAAACCTTTTCCAACATCAAAAATTAAAGATTACATTTATTCTGTATTTACATGTTATGTTTTTGTTTGTTAATTCATCCGCATGTTTCTACGACATTGTTTGCAGCCCGGTATTGTCATTCTCGATCAGCTTGTAAATGCTTGTAATACGCACCATACATTTTGTAAATCTAAAATTTAGCGTACAGGACTACAGGACTACAGGATAGCTATTTCTTGGGGATCACGCTGCTGTACCATTCGTGGTGACCCGGGACGACGTGCAATCGGGACTGGTGATATGTTTCTGTCATTTTTGTCCCTGGCACCATAATTCCTGGCAATCAAACATGGCAAGCCGGAAAATCTACTTCGTTCGATGATTTCCCCAGCTATAACATGCTATAACCTCCATTTATGTTTTTTTTCTCCCCATTTTTCCCAGCCGTGTTTGATGACCAGAGGGTACCTGGTGACCAAAATGTCCCTGGTTTTACCCAGGTTGGGTTTGGTGGATCACGCCGCCGCCGTGGCGGACATTGGAGATCGTGCCGGCAAGGTGCATATCATACATTTCACAGCCTGGGAATTATGGTAGATAGATGTATATAGTAGTCGGTGTATCATGTTCCTGGACCTTCCGAATCTTGGGAATGTCACGGAATTCTAGGTTATGTTTGTTGGTTAATGGTGTTTATACACCAACTACGGCGACAAAGACGCCTGCGGCCATGTATAACAGAGATCCCCCTGGCTCCCATCAGATCAAAGTTGGGCATCGGATGTCGGTTAGGTCGGCTGGTCATCAATTTGGTTTCACTGAGATGGATGAAATATCCCATAGGATCCATGTATGTTATATATGGTAACATGGATCCCATCAATATACCCCAGTCATGTTAGCATATATACCAGCACCATGGATCCTATGGGTATGATGAAATGGTGTCCAGGCTCCATCGGGCTCCTTTTGGAACCATGTTTGGGTATGTCCACGTGCCGATTTCTTTTCCGGTTCCAGAATCGACCATGACGTGAAATTGGAATGTCTCCAGTTGTTCCTGCTGTCAGTTGACGTGAAGCTGCCTCTGTATGTCTAATCATCTAATCCCCCATCATGTAAAATATCCCCCATAGAGGCCCCCAAAATGACAATGAAGAAATCCAATTCTAAGTTGCGAATCTTCAGGAACAGAACATCGAAAACCAGTTGAAGAACATGCAGGCGGCGGCTTTTTCACAGTGGCGTCTCGGGATGGAAGTTTATCCCGTTGAAATCTGTGCTTCTTCATGACTGTCATGGTGGGATATCCCATTTGATTTCCGCAAAAAATAAACGAAGGGATGGTAATGAAAGAAGTGTGAATGGTGAATTTCACCTTTTTTTTGCAAGTTTCTTGGTGGTCAATTGCCTCCGTAGCTATGGACAATGGCCCATTCCTAGATGGTTTACCGTTAAACATGGTGATTTTCCCATAGCAAAGTGTTAATTTTCCAGACGATACATCCTCATGACAATGACATTTTTTTTATTTAGGTGATTTTTCCATAGGATTTTCCATAACGTCAATAGTTTTCCATAGGATTTTCTATAGGATTTTCCTATCAAAATGATTTGTTTCAGTGGATTTTCCATAGGACACCACTTCAGCATCCAGCGATCTGGGGAGCTTCGCAGTCAGGCAGCTTGGGACAAGGTCTACTTCGACTGCAGCGAGCCTTACCGCACCACTGTGCGCCCGGGATGTGTTTTGGGGAATCTTAGGATTGCCATGGGTTACCCTGGTGTCAACATGGCAAGCTGGGAAATAGCATATGTTTATCTATCTATTTCCTATATTGGAGGTTTCAAATAGTTTCAAATAGTTATATAGCCTCTATTTAGCTTATTTTTATGGAGGTTTCAAATCGTTTGTAGAAACGGGAAAGAAACATCCATATAGTAAAAATGGGGTGGTTTAGATGGGATGTGCCATTGCCATGTTTGAGTGCCAGATGGGCAACCTATGCCACCTTGGGGCTCAGCTGGCCCCAAGTCCATGATTTCAGCATAGTTATTTACTCTGATTGTTTAAGATAGCCATAGCTATGGTATAGAAGTATAGATGGCCCATGTCTAGATAATTTGTGATTTGTGACCTCTTGAACATTTTCAGACGCAGCTTGCAGGGCACCTATATCCTCAAGGGTGCCGACGAGGCTGGTGGGTGGTTCCTGAGGCACTGTGTAGGACCATAATTTCAACGACCAAACTCACCAAAAAGGATGGGGCTTTCAAGCAAATCTACTTGGTTACTTGGCAGCCCAAGGTTTATGAAACTATGGGGACCAAATAACCAAGTGGCTTAGAATAAACTATAGTGGACCAAATGACCTAAAACCTTGGCTTGAAAAAACTATAGTTACTTGCAAATCTCATACCTTTCGCAACGATGGGGACCAAATGACCAAGTCATAGCAAGTCCACTTGAAATGGGAGGAAACTGTGCCACCAAAAATGCTCACTCCAAACTACTTGCGGAAGAATCCTCCAATCAAGTCCTCATGATGTGAGAGTGTGATCATTCAACTTTTGCAAGTCATAGTATAACTTCCATCCTCCTAACATTGAACACCCCCATTCGATGGTTCCAAATGAGTGTAATGTGGGTAAAACATGGTAAAACAATGCCATAAACCATCCCCCAAATCACCATAATAGATCATAATAGATCATAATAGATTAAATAGGTGGTGTAAACAGCGTAAACCATTCCCAGTCATAGGTGGTTTATTAAACCATTGATTTTTCCCACATTAAATCATTGTAAATCCCCCTGCTAGCTCGTCGTGGAGGTCATGGCGGTCTTGGACGAGCAGATCGTAGTCACTCAGGCCATGCAGTCAGGGCTCCCAGCTTGATGATTTTGCCATGTGGTGGGGCAAGATTCTCCGTGAGGGTTGGTAGGAAGCGCCAAAACATGATCCATTGAGGCTTGGAAACATGATTTTGATCGTTGGTGGAGATGATTTCCATCGGGTATGTCCCTAGTGATCCTAGTGGAAGATGCCAAATTTTGACTTCTAAGGCTTTCAGCCTGGCTCGGGGTCAGCACAGAGACAGCCACCTCCTTAGGTTCTCTCCCTTCAACAAGCCCTTCAAAGAGGAGATCGATGAGTGGAATGACAAGCTCATGTACGTCTCAGAATGTCAGGGAGCCCGGCGCAATCCTGGTGAAACCCAGGAGGGGCTGAATTTTTTGGACTCCCATAGACAAAATGTCAAGCCCGGAGTACCCGCGGGGTTAGCTGGTTACCACAATAGTGATAAATCACCAGTAAAATTGTCCCCTGAATAATGATCTTGGGGTTTATCAATTTTTGCGTTAAACTTGGTTAAACTGAAAATGATGCCACTTTTTTTAGCCGTGCATTTGTACTGTAACTGGAGTCAGAACCAATCAAGAACTAGAACACTGGAGATTCCTGGTTGATGACTTTGGTCTAAACCAGGCACACATGGGATTGTCCTGATGGATAGTGAGCTGACGGCGAACTTGAGAGGCAATTGTGCGCCCCTAACAGTGATATACCCATGTATATAGACATAGCTATTCAGCTATCCATATAAGGTGGGTAGTGGCAAAGAATGGACGGAGGCGCTTTGGTCGACACCATTGGCTGCACCAGCCATCCCACTGTGCGATCAGGTTTGGATCAATGGCTCAAGGTCCAAAGAGACGCTTGGCAAAAGGAGTTCCACGGAGACGACGGGGTGGACTGGGGTGGATGTTTCAAGTCTTCAAGTCACAGCTTGGTGGTTTCAATACTTCGATGATGCCAGAACTGAGCCTCAATTTGTTCTGACAATTTGATTGGATTGGTTTATGTATGTTTATGTATGTTTATGTATGTTTATGTATGTTTATGTATGTTTATGTATGTTTATGTATGTTTATGTGGCGTCCTCATTCAAGTTTCCAGAATTGGCTGAATGGCCAGACAGGCTATGGATTTTTCAGCTCCATAAGCTGGAGAATCCAGCCATACTTCGATGCTTTTCCCAGAACCCTCCATAGAAAGTTCGGGCATTGCCCAGCTGGATTTACCACAGCCAGGCTTGCTCCAACATGCTCCAACCTGTAGAATTTATAGATAGCTATGATAGCAAGGGAGGGTTTAAATGAGTCATTAAACCATATATTTTACCTTGAGTAATTTAGCCAGAAAATTCAGCCTCCGGGTTTTTAGATTTACCCTCTGGTTATGACTAACATAGCCAAGGAAGCCATGGCCCATAGAAATAGATGGTTTACCTATTGAAAATGGTGAACCTATTGAAAATAGATGGTTTACCTATTGAAAATTGATGGTTTACCTATAGAAATAGATAACATAACCAGATGGTACCACCTGGCCTGGGACCACATCAAGGCTTGGATGTACCTGCAGCCCATCTTCGATTCCCCGGACATCATGAAGCAGCTGCCCACCGAAGGAAAGAAGTTCAAAGTGGTGGATGGCCGGGAGGGCCCAGGAAAATCCTAGGGATCCCAGGGATCCCAGGGGAGCTGAGAGTTGGCACCAGGGGTAATGACCCCTTTGGTAAACCATAGCTTGCTTCACAACTCAGGCAAGTGGCGCCAGACCATGAGCCGGAAGCTCAAAGAAGGGGGAAGGTGGGAATGAACATCCACAATTCCCAAAGAATTAGAGTGGATTCCCATATAGGACTAGTTGGATTGACATTGGGTTTTGCTTCCTCTGTTTGCGCGCCTTTCATTTCATCGTGATCATATCGTGATCCCCTCACCCCAAAAAGAGCACACATGATTGAATCTGATTCAAGCCCTTCACGAAGCTGATTGAAGATATCATTGAAGCAATACCAGGACCATATCTTGGTGTGTGATGTTTGTAGCTTCTGATGGCATTCAACTCGTTTTTCGTTTTTCCGTTGATGACCTCCACTTAAGAACAACAGATCTCCCTGGCGCCTCAACGCTGAGGCCGGGTACATAGCAACGGTCATGCGCTCACGCAATGCACACAGGTTCGCAGGGAAGTCCAACAGTTCATCAGCCAACAGCTTCGTAGATCCACCTTTCGAATTCTGGGCCTTAGGTCAATGGGAATTATATAGGCCTTATATATGGTATAGGCGGCATAGGTACCTCCAATTTAGGTTCCTGAAATGGACATTGATTAGGGTGGAGGTGAATCTTGACCAAATAGTAGTACTGCCACACTGCCAGATGGTGCATTTCCTCATGAGTGCCCTGGCCACAGGAGGGTTTGTTGCAGCAGTGGCAAGTGGTGAACAAGGATTTGGACATGGCCCCTTGGACAGTCGGAACACCAACCCCGAATGAATCCGGTGTCATGAAACACTGGGAAATCCCTGAAGTACATGGAGGTTTTTGTTGCGGGAGGAAGTCATAGATGGGCTCTTTTCCAGCAAGCCATGGAGCTGATTACCTCAGGCTATTTGAAGATTCAATTTCCCATCAGCACCCCATAGTTTTTGATATTTTTTGTACTGGCAGAGTGGATCAGCCCAGGTGCAGAAGGGTTTGGATGACTACCTTGCCACCAAGTTCCAAACTCAGCGCCAGATTTTTTGGCGATTTTCCGAGGTGGATTTAATCCAATGGCGGTTGATTTTTTCGAAGGGGATTATGACCCCCAAAGGGCCATCATGTTAATCCCCATTTTTATGACCCCCAATGGTGGTTGATGAAGAAGGGGATGATGCCCTGACAAATGGTTACCCACCTGAATTTTCAGGGCATCTCAGCTCGGTTACGTCGTTTTTTTGTCGTAGTCGCAGCTGTGGAAGTCACACTTGTTCTATTTGGTGTTTGGGAGGGAGCCAATGAGCTAGCTGAGAAAAAAAGAGCCAATGAGCTAGACATTGAGTGGTGCCACTGACTAGTTATCTAAATTCCCCCCAAAACTGATGTTGTTGGTGGTTTCCATCATTAACCATATAATAACCAGATATTAACCGTTATTAACCGTATATTAACCATATGTCCCAAAAACTGACTGGTTGGTGGTTTCTGGGATGTCATCCTTCCCAGCTGACGAACTCCATCATTTTTCAAGATGGTTAAGTCACCACCAACCAGCATACTGGTAAACGTTTACATAACTATGGAAAGATCCACCATTTTTAATGGGAAAATCCACGAACTAAATGATCATGTTCAATAGCAAACTGTTAGCCATTACCAGAGGGTATATCATCATATATCCCATTAAATCCCATTAAATACTTAGTTGAATCACCATTGAATCCCATTAAAACACCATTATGAATGATCATTTTCAGACTAAATTGCTGTGTTTATTCCCATTACCCTCTGGTAAACTTTCACATAACTATGGAAAGATCCACCTATTTTTCATGGGAAAATCCACTATAAATGATCATTTTCAATTGAATCACTATAAAATCCCATTAAATCACTATAAATCACCTATTAAATCACCTATTTTTAATGGGAAAATCCACAATTAAAATCACCATTTTCAATAGCAAAAACTCTCCAACCGGACATCATCATTTTCTCCAGATGCGCGGCCTTCGCCCGCTTCTACTTTTTGTCCAACGACGAGCTCCTGGAAATTCTCTCGCAGACCAAGGTGCGCTTTTCGGGCGGAAAAAAAGGTTCCCCGAAAGGGTGATGAAAACGTGGAAAATCCATGGAAAATCCTACCGGAACTGGAGAAATTCATGGAAAATCCATGGAAAATCCTAGCGTAACTGGAGGATAATGATATAATTAATGGATGATAATGGATGTTTTTATAGCTGGGAAAATCCATCGAACTATAGTTTGAGGGGATTTCCAGTAAGCCATGGAGCTGAAAAAAAAGGAGGGTAAGCCCAATAACATGCCACACACTTCACTTGTATCATTGGCTTTCAGAAACCTTGGGTTTTGTTGATCTGGTCTATCAGACGATCATTTGGTTTACCACCGTGTCGCAGGAACATAATTGAACAACCGGAAACATATCAAGGTAATTGTGGGATACTTCAGTGTTATGATAGGGATACAAAGGGTACAAGCACAGACCATGGAAGTATATTGAGGATATCTATGCCAAGATAGAATAGGAGTAGATCACAAGTGCAACTGGGATGTGACATATACTCTGTTTGAAGCAACCATGCAAATGAGCCCTTTCTCATGACGATTTTCAATTCGAGAGGGACTGTTCCACTCACATCAATAGCAGCCATTTGGGTGAAGCTGTAACCACCTCGTCACGTTTTCTGTACAAAATGACGGTACGAGGAATAATGAGTGTTCAACTGACCCTATCTCCGGCGGCTGGTGAGCTAGTATTTGTTGACACTGAGCTAGAGACATTGAATGATTGGTCCTTTAGGGGCCAACACTCCGCACAAGAACTCCTTAACCTTAGCTAGTTGCACCCAGCTTTCAGCAGTTCAAAGCCCACCTGGCCCAATGATTGTTGAATTGATTTGTAAGGGCCGCTCACTTGAAATGCTGAGCTGTCCAGCCGCGCCAGTGTCGTTTCAGGATCCACTGCGTGTGCAGCCGTTCCTGTCCAAAGTCTTTGAGGCCGCAGTGGACAAGTGGTGTGGTAAACCGAAGAAAATTCAGCAAACATGGGTATTCTGTTAAATTGGGTAACTATACATATAATACTACTCTATATTAACATATGCATACAAAACTATATATCATTATATATCAACATATGCGGACCATCATTTGTTGGGGTGGTTACTATTGGGTTTACCATTGGCTATATACTGTATGTTTGACAAGAGTTCGCAAGATAATGTGGGTGAAACATTGGAACAAAGCGCGGTTGCATGGTAAGAGAAAAGAGGCTTCCAGGATTGCTAAACAATCCCGTACATCGACTAGCAAGTGTGCCCTTGGTTGCTCAATAAAGTGGTGAGATATGTCTCTTTTTGATTATTTTTGGACCTAAATGGTTTCCGGTCTTACACATTTGCAGTTATTTGCCAAAGTCATCCTAAAGCCAAACATGTTCTTATTCTTCCCCGTTCTTGAGTCATTTCAAGTCAGAGTTTTAAAACATGTGTTTGGAAAGGCACTTAAGCCATTTTTTGGGGATCCACGTTGGAAATTCATGGAAATTCCAGGGCTAGGTGCTTTACATCCCCCTGTGTCATTGATAGCCAGCCATCTATGCTATACTTATCACCGTTTACCATCAAAATTGCCAACCGGCTCCTCTATCCAACAAATAAATCTGCCATCTCCATGGTTATATATATACATTATATACTATATAAGACAATTTCCAACAAAAACATGATCAGATCTTTCCGCCTTTCCCCGAGCACAAGGCCATGAAGAAACTGACCTTTACGGACTCCCTGGTAGCCACGCAGATGCATTCCAAGGAGGGCGAAATCATCGACTTTGTCCGGACGCCCTGTTGGGACGTCTCCGGCGGTGAGAATCCTTTTGTCGGGACCTGCATCAGACAGCAATGGTGTACCTGGTATCTTTTTGTTAAATGGAAGGTGATGAATCGGATGGTGGGATATTTTGGGTATGTTTCTACCCTCTGGTAAACTAACATAGCTATTGAAAATGGCCATTTATAGTGGAATTTCCCATTAAAAATGGGGATTTTCCATAGTTATGTTAGTTTACCGGAGGGCAGCGATTGTTTGGGCGCGAAAACCATAGGTGAGCTCAGCTGGATGAGCTCGCTTTGTTCCTGTGACACTTTAGGTGAATCCAGTGTCGACAAAGGACAAGAACGTGGAAACCTGGATGACAGCTGGGCTGCTCAGCATGGGGCGTGGGGAACTTCATGAAGATTACCCTTTGCGAATTTAATATAGCTATTGAAAATGGCCATTTATAGTGAGTTTTCCCAGTAAAAATTGTGATTTTCCATAGTTATGTTAGTTTACCAGAGGGTATATGATGAAGGTTGACTGGTTATTATTTTTTGGCAAAGCATCGCATTTTGCGGGGTTCAGCATGGTTCGCCCAGGTTGACGTTGTTGCTTGTGGATTTGCCACAAGATTCTCTTCAGCCATTAGCGTCGTCTTGACCTTTCAGAGAAATGTCATCAAAGAGTCAATTTCAAAGACACCAACTTCATTGACCCAGTCACTACTGTACCCTCTTGGTAAACTAACATAACTATGGAAAATCACATTTTTTCATGCGAAAATCCACTATAAATCACCATTTTCAATAGCTATGTTAAATTACCAGAGGGTATCTGTAAACATGCTGTAGCAACCCGACATCTCGGATAGTGCCTGCAAGGGATCCCGCTATAGCACCTATCGATAGCCCTAAAGAATTGCCTGCGTTTGTCGAGTCGGTGATATTTTACTGCCAATGGAACCCTCACCATTTGCGGAATCTATAGGAGATATGTCGTACATTTCTTTGGGACCCCTGAAGCTAATCCAAGAAAATCAGATGACGGATTTAGATGGATTTACCATAATTTACCATTGAAAAGTTGGGATTTGATGGAATTATATGGGAATGTTGAATGTTAACCTCAATCATCTCAAGGTTCAAAAAACCAGGCAAGACACCCTGTTCGCGCCATGCACTCTGCACGGGGCTGAGCGAACTGTTCGCGAAGTGTTCGCGCCATGGGGGACGATGTGCCGCCGCGGCCAAAGATGCCGATCCACGAGGTGGCACAGTATGTTTTTGATGCTTGGCAGATGATGCAGATGGGCTGGGGTCATTGGATGATGGATTGATGGGAGGATTCTCATCAAATCTAGGGGTTTCCTGTCATTTCTTCCGTCTTCCGGAAGATGGTTCAACAAGGGATGCAAGGACCATGGGCAGAAAAATGAAGTCATGTGGTATCTATGCGATACTCACCTGTTCAGGGGAATGAACGGAATCATTTGTTTCATTAATTTCTATGCGTGGACTATGCTGATGTTTGCTGTTAGAGTCTAAGCAACGCTGTCACCCAGCAACCAACGAAAAACCAGAGCCATCCTCCAGGAACAGTTCCATGAGAGCAAGTTCAAAGATTCCGTGGAGAGATGCCTGGCTTGAGGGATTCTCCTGGATCATTGCATGTACCCTCTGGTAAACATACAAGAAACGATGGAAAATCACCATTTTTCATGGGTAAGTATGGTAAGTCCACTATTTCTATGGCCATTTTTCAATAGCTATGTGACAAATTACCAGAGGGTATGATCTAAAATTTGGATTCTCATGATTCTCACAGAGGCCATGAAATATCAAATAGGATTTAAGGATCGATTTTGGTGTGTTCACCTGCATGAACTTTGACAGAAATAAGAAATCTACCAGTTGTGTACTGTAAGTAGATGCAAGTCATCCACAAGCAGAGAGGTTGCTATGCCGCTATGCCATGTATTGACGACATTTGGATCTTTGTTTTGGACCAAAAAAATGGTCATTCCCGTTGATGGAAGGAAACATGTGCAGGTCCCCAAAAATTATATATATATATTTTTCAAACATATGTATATAAACGCGTTTCCTTTATATCTGCAAAATTTGCATTAAATGTTTTCACAATGATTCATTCAGACATCCGCTAGCATAAGCCAACTACGAATCCTCATGTTGCTCAAAAAAAACATTGTTTCTTTTCCTGCTGGATAAGTAAACCTATGACACCTATATTTGGGGGCAGCTCTTTCCACCTTCCCCAGCCGCAAGGTTTCATCTTGACGCATTTCGAAGACTTTGCGGTGGTACACCGGGACGGCTCCTGCCCCATGCACTGGGTGAACATCCACCGAAACTGGGTTTCAGATGTTTTGGGGCGACTTGGAGCGGGATGAAACTGACAAATAGATACAGCAATAATGCGAGTAAAGCAATAACCATGTTCGGTTTACATAATATATTTTATGATAATATATGTTTATATCATCCATAAAAATTAAAAAATCGGATGGTTTACTATTATACTAACACTAATGCGTATATAGACATTGACTAAGTTCATATGTTTCTAATGCATCCTGGATGTTTCTGAGGAAACCCATGGCATGTCTGTGCCATTTCCATGGCAGAACACTGTAATTCCAGACTCTCCAGACCCGTGTTGTTGGGGGGTTCTATGCTTGAGATGCCGCAGATGAAACCGAGTAAACATTCGCTAGTCGTTGTTTTGAAATACATGCGCTCTGATTGGTTGACGACAATCGCTTTCACTGCAGCCATGGGTTGTTTTGGTTTCTCCGGGACGCCCACGACACCCAGCCCGCCGAGGAAAGTTCAAAGCCCTCTATGAGAAACGCCTGCTGCAAGTGCTGGACGACTGCGATGCCGAGGTGACCGCCTTCATGGTGCCTCGGACCGAAAGAGATCGCCGCAGAATGTTCCACGTGGAACGTGGAACATTGGCACCATGGGAAAATGTGGTTCGATCTACCGTTTTTCAACACGGTGATTATCCATATATATATATATTTTATCCATATTCATATCTTGTTAGGGTGATTATCATTATTATCCATACAGCTATCATATGTTAGTCATTCCCAGAGAGCAGGTGCCCCAAAGACCCAGGATTACTTCACCGCCTGCAGCGATGTCTATGGCGATGACGAGGGATTCCGGGCCCTACTGGCAGCGCTGACGGCCAGCGAGGATTTTCATGCTTTCCAGCAGATCATGTGCCTTGGATCATTGGGGCCCTGGCACTGGGGTCGTTCAACCTTCCAAAGTGACCATTTTGGCTCTGGGAATCCATGGCGTTCCCTAGGAAATGATCTTGAACTGGTGGATTTTGATGGAGTTTGCATATCTATCTTAAGGTATAGTGGAGGGTAGATGGTAGATGAGACAGTTTTTCCATGATCGTGGTTGTAGCGAATGGAGGTGGGTATAGCTGGGTACTGCGGAGCAAAGGTGCGTTGGTCAGCTTTTGCTTGAAATGCATCACCATCAGAAGCATGTTGTATAGTTGTCGGCAGTAGCATCAGCATCAGAAATCGGAGATTGGATCTTGGAGGAACTCTCGTAAGATTTGAAGACTGGTTGGTGGTGACTGGAACATGGCTTTTATGACTTTCCATCCAGTTGGGAATGGAAAATCATCCCAACTGTTACTCACTCCATCATTTTTCAGAGGGGTAGGTATACCAATCCACAGCACCTGGAATGGAAAATGGGGTAGGGCTCAACCACCAACCAGAAAACCACAAAAAGGAAGCTTCCCACTTCCCCCTGCAGAGGAAGTGCTGAGGTTCACCGCCGTTCGGGAGAATTGGCAGCCAGATGAACATCAGAAGCATGGCAGTTGGCTGTGTCCAGCACGTGGGAGTGCCAACATGCTGGCTGTACCATAGAGGGAGACTGGTGTATGATTTACCTACTTTATCCTTGACTTAGATGCTTGGACCATGAACTGCATGCAGATGTCAATGTCACTAACTGCAAGTCATATATTAATGATTAATATATTATATCTTTTAAATGAAACCCACAAAAAAAGCGAACCTTATATTCAAAATGTGTATGAACATATCATAACATATCGATGTCCAAATCCTTCCATCTTCTCCATGTTCGAAGTTGGTGTCTTCAGGAAGGCTCCAATGGCTGGATTTCAATTCCACGAGGTCCGAGTGAACAGCCCTGAAGGCGGAGCATCCGGATTTTTTTGCAACGACCTCACTGCGATCTCACGGTAATGAGGGTTAATAAAGTTAATAAGGGAATTCATCCCAGTAACTTTATTTCACACACCTGCTTAGGGAATGCATTTTAGGTTAGTGATTAATAACGACGCCTAGTAATGTATTTCACACACCTGCTTTTTGGAAATGCATCTACGATAAAAACAATGGCACATATTATTGGCATTCAAAATTCAAAAGTAGGACAAAATAGGACCATCAACTAATCATCCATCCACAAGTGGGCAATTTGCAAGCTAGGCATCGTCCGTGATGTGGTGTATGTGGTGTGCATCCAGCTGTGGCAAGTTTGCACCAGTGGCTGATGGATGAAAACAAGTCTTGAGACACACCCTCCTGAAATTGGTGCGGTTTCAGTGTGCGTGTGTGTGCGCGTGTGTGTGTGTGTGCAGGAAGTACCTTGTAAGAACTAGTAAATCAAAGCAAATCACCACTGTTCTTTCTGATGGTTTGATGGGCAACACCATGATTTCCAGTACATTCCTCCTCGCAAATGACCCAGTGAAAATCCCAAAATCAAATCAATTCATACGTATTTTGTGTCATGTGTTTTTTCTTCACCCATGGTATATGTATGTGATTGTATGTGTGTGTGTTTTTTTTCTCGCTTACATCAAGCCACTAGATACCAAAAATACGAGTTATCTGGAAACACCTTGGAAGCCACTTCCCCACCCCTTCCAAGGGCACGGCACCCTTCCCTGTCATCCCATCCAGGTGCGGAAGCTGGAAGTAGCTTCACGGCCTCCCGGCGGGCACAGTGAGAGAACAAGAAATGGTCTCCAGGGCAACAGCTGGATCCACACTAGTTGGTGCCCCCTCAGTTAACCTCTGGTAAACATACCAAATATACCAAAAAACTATGGAAAATCACCATTTTATAGCTGGGTAAATCCACTATTTCTATGGCCATGTTCAATAGCAAACTGTTAAATTACCAGAGGGTATGTTGGTTGGTTGGTTTTCGCCAAATTCATCATGCACATCAGTTCGATATGGTTACCAGGACCCCAACAGGGAAATGTTAGTGAAACACAGTGAAACAAACCAACTTCTCACGCCGTTTTTTGGGGCACCACCTGACAGAACCATCAATCAACAACTATCATTTCATCATTTCTGGATACAAAATTTATATATTTTATACTAGTTAAACCATGTTAACCCCCCTATGTTTTCAAGGGCCCGGCGTTCTGTGCATGTGAAAAACAGGTGATCTACTTGGGCGAGGAGCACCGCATCATAGTGCCCGAGGGCCAAACAGGCGACATCACTGTGACACTGCAAGTGCCTGAAGCCATTCCAGCAACTCGGTTGACGTGGAATTCCCCGTTGAATCCCCCAAAAAAAAACGAACATGGTGGTTTGACATGGTTTGACTAGGGAACATGGGGATAATAATGGAGCTGAATTTTGGGACAACCAGGATTTTTTTGGAGGGGGTGTCTTATAAAATGGGGATTCAATGGGGTTGCATGAATTAGTATAGTTCTATAGGTAATATAGGGATATAATTGGATTGGGGATGTAATAATATAGGATGGTTGATTTTACATCAGCCTACTTGAAATGAACAGCAAAAAATGTTTGGATGTGGCTGAAGATGGAGATGACCACGGACGCCCCAAAAGTGCCATATTATTGAAGGGATATCAAATTTGGCATTTTCTCCTAGATTTTCAGGCAACCCGAGCTGGTGAATGGAGGGTAACTGCGGAACTATGGCTATCCAAATGTCTATATCCATATTCTCGGTAAAAAGCAGGGCCAAGGAGCGAACTACTACTGTAGAAGTTTCCGAGCCACATGGTAGTGAATTAGTATTGAACAACTTCATCCCCCGATAAGAAGGGGCCCGCAAGATATGGTAAACATATGTAAACATACCTATTCATACAGTTGAATGGGCTTATAAACAAATTATGACTAGGGGAGGCATGTTGTCATACTAAGAAGGCCACTCCGGATACGAAGATGACGCCCACAGACTGCATAGATCGAAGATGATCTACTAATATGATCCAATAGCAAAAACTGTTAGGTGTTTAGGTTGGCATTGGTATTAGTAGGGGGAAGGGTACTCTAAGAGTTTTCCTGGAAGAATTTGTGGGAGATGCCGGGCTCATGAGATTGAGCTTATGACATTTTATGACCCATACCGGACGTCCGAGGGAATGCTGAACCTGTGAAGATGGGAACGAAAGAGGGATGGAATGGTAAAATCCCAGCATATGAGGATTCAACCTGTCAAAATTGACTGGCTATTCTGTGCCCCCTGTCTCGTGCCAGCATGTCTGAGAATATGTTTCTGATGGACCAGCTGGTGCATCGTTGTTGGATTTTGATTCAGCCCCCGGGAGTTCAATGGTGTTTCATTTTTCACACTGAACGCTTCTATAATTACCTGTAACAGCCATTTCGAAGCATTTGAGATCATTTGAGCATTCGCACCGTCGCACCCTGAAAGAATCAAGCAAATTAGGGCTTCGACCTGTAGAAGGCAGATCGAGAAAAGGAGGTGGACATGTTTGTTGGATTCAAAGTTACAGAACGAGGAAGAAAACCAAAACAGCCATCGGTTGAATCAAGAAACGATTGCCCTTCAGCAAAGTCACGACAAAAAGACAACAAGAGTAGGGCATGGAATTCAACGACAGACGTTGGTAATCTCGGATCTCGGATGCCTCTCCCTTAAAAATAGCCCTTCCAACTTTGTTTGTAGGGGTATTTTGGTGGGCAGGATCCACAGGGCCTTCCCCGATAGTTCACGTGAAAGCCCATGGGTTTCCTTGAATACCACAGGCTCACAGGCCAACCAAAGGTATCACTACCGTTACTATCCTTGGCGTTTGAGGTGCATGCCATTCAGATAGAACAGTACAGTACTATGAAACAAAATATATTGTACTGTTACATTTCATAGTACAGTAATTACTAGTAATCAAAATATACAAATTGTACTATGAAACAGTACTCTGAAACACAATTACCGTTACAGTACAGTACCTGGTTGGTGCTTTGGAACATTTTGGGAATACATTTATTATTTTTCAATATATTGGGAATATATAATATTATATAATCATCCCAACTGTTACTCACTCCATCATTGTTCAGAGGGGTAGGTCAACCACCAACCAGGTACTGTTGGCTTCACCAAGGTCTTGCGCCCACGCGCGCCTCGCGCACCGCCACCTCCACCATAACTGGAACCCAAAGGTGGTTCCTGGCGATTGAAACCTGCGGTAAAAATGGCATGCCGCAGGAAGACCTGTACCACCAAAAGGTTGAAAGCAACCATGAATGAATTGTATGGCATGTGAACACCACCTAGAAAAACTGGTGACTTCGCAACCATCCACTGTATTTCAATGGTGGGTCGTGTTCTATCTGGGAGCAGATTGGATCCAGGGGTATCCATATTCCCTATCATTTCCCTAGTAAATGGGGGGCAAAGGAGCTACTCGGAGTTCCCCAACCATATGATAGTGTTTCACTTATTTTAGGGCCTGGGTTTTTCGGGATTCCAGTTCAGATGTTAACTATATAAATGTTTTCGTGCTGTCCGCTGAGTGCTCCTTTCATAGAAAGTGCGTTGATATCTTGACCATTTTTTGGGGGGCTGGTGGTGATCTTTTTCAGGCGATGGGGTGAAGCCTGTGAACTAACATATCCGCCAAGAATCACCATGTTTAATAGATCAATTGTCTAGACATGTGTGCATATGCATATATATATATACATGTAAAGATAGTTTCCTGGAGAGCAACTGATTTATGATATTTATATGCCACTTCCCATGGCATTGGGGTTCTCATCGATTCTTACAAGCAACAGAAAAAGGAAGAGCATAAAACAGACTTCTGCCTTATATCATAGACTGCCGGTTTCGGAAAAAAGACAAACACTGGGTTGGATGGTTTGTGCATTACTATTCTGGTTGGTGGTTTCAGACATTTGTTATTTTCCATAATATATGGGATGTCATCCTTCCCATTGACTTTCATATTTTTCAGAGGGGCTCAAACCACCAACCAGTACTAGATGTAACATTAGATGTAACCCAAGTGGCCCAGGAAGTGGAAAACGAGATGATCTCGGGTGTGCGGAACGTATGTCGCATTGGCGTTTGAAGCTCAGTGTGGATGACACCCATGGTTTGTTTCTTGTTTAAGGCCTTGTTCATGATAGGAATGGGGGATTGAAGCATGATTTAACGAACTCTGGTGATTTCACAGTTTGCTATGGAACATGTCAGTATTTTTGGTAGAGTGCAGGGGCCGAGATAGGGTCTGGAAACTACTGTCATGCTCCTGGGTACCCTCTGGTAAACTAACATAACTATGGAAAATCACAAGTTTTAACGGGAAAACTCACTATAAATGGCCATTTTCAGTAGCTATGTTAGTTTACCAGAGGGTAATGACGACTTCATCACAAGAGGAGCCGCTGCAAAGTCACTGGACTTATCTCAGGTGTGTGATTTACTTCGGGGGCACCACTCTTCAAGCAATTACACATAATTACACATAATACCCTCTGGTAAACATACAAAAAAACTATGTTCAATACCAATCTTTAATAGGTAAATCAACTATTTCTATGGGCCATTTCCAATAGCTGTGTAACAGCCTTTACCAGAGGGCACCCCAAGCGTTTCACCTTTTTGGGGGGTCCCAGGTGGAGAGCTACCCAGAACTTCCAAGAACGGAGTGGGCCGGGACCCCGTTGACGATGGATCCTGGGGGGGCGGATAGGACTCTTTGGGCATGCAACTCGTCTAACCTCACAATGTTGTTGTTGATGTTGTTGTTGATGTTGATGTTGATGTTGTTGTTGTTGCTGTTGTTGTTGTTGTTGTTGTCGTTGTTGATGTTAATGTTGATGTTGATGTTGATGTTGTTGTTGTTGTTGTTGCTGTTGCTGTTGTTGATGTTGATGTTGATGTTGTTGTTGTTGTTGTTGTTGTTGTTGATGTTGTTGATGTTGTTGTTGTTGTTGTTGTTGCTGTTGCTGTTGTTGATGTTGATGTTGTTGTTGTTGTTGCTGTTGCTGTTGTTGATGTTGATGTTGATGTTGCTGTTGTTGTTGTTGATGTTGATGTTGATGTTGTTGTTGTTGTTGCTGTTGCTGTTGCTGTTGTTGATGCTGATGATGATGTTGATGGTGTTGGTGTTGTTGTTGCTGCTGTTGCTGTTGCTGTTGTTGATGTTGATGTTGTTGTTGTTGTTGTTGTTGTTGTTGTTGTGGTTGTGGTTGTGGTTGTTGATGTTGATGTTGATGTTGTTGATGTTGATGTTGATGTTGTTGTTGATGTTGCTGTTGTTGTTGTTGTTGATGTTGATGTTGATGATGTTGTTGTTGATGTTGATGTTGATGTTGATATTGTTGTTGTTGATGTTGATGTTGATGTTGTTGTTGTTGTTGCTGTTGTTGTTGTTGTTGTTGTTTTTGTTGTTGTTGTTGTTGATGTTGATGTTGTTGTTGTTGCTGTTGCTGTTGCTGTTGTTGTTGTTGTTGTTGATGTTGCTGTTGCTGTTGTTGTTGATGATGTTGATGTTGATGTTGATGTTGTTGTTGTTGTTGTTGTTGTTGTTGTTGTTGTTTCTGTTTAGCGAACATTGGCTTAAAATTTGATAATATGGTGCCTCCACAGCCAGGTTGGGAGGGTTCCATGGCCAGCATTGAGGTCCTCCAAAATCCAGGGCAAGTCTGCCTGAACTCCAGTCAAGTCCATTGGAACGGGCCTCAGGGACGAAATTCAGCGAGAGAGAGAGAGAGAGAGCAGCTGAAGATGTTGGAACTGTATGGCAACTCTCCTATATACATTCATTATATATAGATGACTAGGACTAGGATATCTATAGTTGCCACCAAAAATGCTAGATTACTAGATGTGTTTAGTGATTTTTAGATTATTTTTAGTATTTTTCTCTTACCTTTGGCCGCGTTTGAACACACAAAAGGACCGCGGAGGTGGAGGATGCCATCAAAAGTCGGGGAGCCCAGGGGGCGCACCAGGGGTGAAGGGCAGATCTTCAGCAACCCTTGGTGTTTCACAGTGTTTACCCATGAAATCCCATGAAAAATGGTGGTTTAATATGGTTTAATATGGTTTAATGTATGGTTTACTATGGTTTAATGTGGTTTCATATGGTTTAATGAAATTCTATTGGGATTGTTTTGATGTTGAGCTGCAGAAAAAAAATCCCACCCAAATCGAACATGGCCGGGAAATCCCCGAACCAAATGGTTTCCGTTGCCATGTTTGATTACCAGAGGGTATACCTAGACCCTCATAGCCAAAAAAAATGGGGGTTTTGCCATAGTATATGGGACTTTTAATGACTTTTACATGTTAGTTTTCTTAGGTACTTAAAGGGTCCAACGGTCCAAGTATTATGGCTTTGCATGGTTTTTTACCTGCAGAAATGGTGCAACATTGTATTTTTTAAAACTTCATCACCATATGAATTTCATGACTCGGACGCAACCATCTTAAAGTTGGTGAACAACCAACAAAAACAAAAACATCAAGTCGGACCCCCCTTGGGACGGATGGCAAAAGGCCGGTAAAATCATGGTAAAATCCCCATGGCAAATCATGCCGAAAAACTGCTCGCAGATGGCACGGTGGACACATACTTCACCCGGCTGAGCGAACAACTCCTGGACTTGGCGACTTGGCGCTTGAGTGAATTGATGTGTCCTACAGCATCCCATGGATCACCAAAATTTGGAATTGCGGGAATTCATGGGAAGTTATGGGAATTCATGGGAAGTTATTGGGGATTATACCCCAATTTAATTATGTAAAATATTATAGTGATATCACTAAAGCCTATAGTTGACCAAGTTACGAGCCTCCGATGTCATCAAGCAGGGATATGCCAAACTAAACGCTTCACAGCTGCTTTGGTTTTCCTGCCAGCCATGTTTTCCCAACTTATGGGGGGGTGAAACTTCCATGGTGCCATTGAACAAAAACATCCCAGTCATCCACTAGCCATGACTGGGGTCAGACATCATCCCTGAAGTTGGGGGTATACCATGGTATCACAATCCTCTATTGATGGTTTATGGCATTGGGTATTGACCAGTAGCAGCGACGTGTTTGTGTTTTCTCCTGATAATGTGAATTCAATCGGGGTTTATCCAGTGAACATATGTATTAATCCCTTCACTCCTTTTTATTCGCAAAATTTTGAGGTCAATCATAGTCCTGTCATGTCCTGTCACGTTTGGGTTGGTCATTCCGGCTGTTAGGTGCGCCTGGTGCGTGGCGACATCACCAAACTCCAAAGGCTTGCGGGGCTTTGGGCATTGACCCAGGATATCCCAGGATAAACTCCGGGTTGGTTTGGGGTGGGTCCACTTTAAAGGGCATTTCTCACTTTTTCAGGGTTAGAACCCCCGTAATTCAGATGGGATATATCAATCCAGGGCTGAGTTTTTGCTGCTACTTTGATTGGTAGGTCAAAAGCTTGAAAGAATACCCTCTGGTTATTTAACGTAGCCATGGAAAATGGCCCATTTATAGATGGTACATGTTTCTTCGGGGCTCACTCTCATTCTTTAAAGTTTCCAACATGGCACACTCACTACTCATGTGTCCAATGCTGCGAATGCTGCATGGCATCATGTCGGGGCCTGAAGCCTGGAAGAATCACTGCATGGGTAGCATATGGTAGCATTCAGCTCAACGTGTAAGTCAAGTTGCGCATTTCTTTTTGCCAACTGCCGCAATGGCGAGCAAAACAGGACAGTTCGGATTGTCCTTCGAGTCAATGTGGGAGATGACTTAGTGCAACTTTAGAGTGGGAGCAACGGAGCAAACAACTGCAAACAGCAGAGATTCGTTCGCAAGGTGTAGGCAGGTATGGCACATGTTCATGAGGTTTTCTCAAGATTTGCAGCACAGGTTGCAACATGCAATCCATTTCTAGAGCTCCTCTCCTCGCAGGAAACGGTTCCTGGATGAATCTGGCATTGCTCTCCGGAGAGCGTATGGATCTAGGGGACCTGGAACAGGAGTGCAACGGATGTCCCGATGATGTGGCGATTGCTAAGAACCTCAGGTTTGTGGCTTCAAAAAGAGATTCTTTGTGCTGAAAAAATCGCCATGTGCCTATCAATTTCCCAAATGTTTCCCGACAAAATGAGAAAAAAAACTGCACAGACTCACTATGTACTCACTTCTCCTGAGCAAAATCCTCTTTGAAGAACGGCTATTTTCCAGGAAGACTTGGACTTTGGTTCTGATCTCTACGCCTTGGCTGAGAGTAGCACAGATGAATTGCTGAGTTCGTGGAAGGCTCGCGATTTCGACTTGGGGTGAACTTTCCATTGTGAGCTGGTCGCAAGCCCAATTTTTGGTTGCTGAAATCAGATGTTCTTTGTAAAATGCCCCAATTTCTAGCCAAAATCCCAAGTTTTGCTTGTGAAATCCCCACTTTTCAGCTGGTCAAATCACCCCATTTCCCCATAGTTTCAGCCGCAACTGTCCCCAGGTGTTCACGGCCCTGAAGGACGACAGTTCTCAGCACCGGCGCTTGGAGAACGCAGCCTGGCGGCTCCATGCCATGCAGCGGAGTGGCCGAAGTCCCGGCTTTGATGCTTGGGGTGTTTGGGGCGGGCCGGAGGTGGGGGTTGGAAGGCATGGCATGGAAAATCATGGAAAAATATGTTCCAAATGTTCCAAATATTGGCAAATGATGTTGAATTCATCTTCAACAAAGGAATTGAAAAAGGCAAGGTTTTTGAGATACTCTGTTAAAATGTTAAAACAAAGCAAAGGGTATCTATAGGAGGGGCATTGCCATTCTTGAATTGTTGGCATACCCAGGAAGCAGCATCTCGTGTGACTGGTGGAAAGTGCGCCTTTAAGAAAGGACTGCAGGGGTATATTTGGGCGATCTCTATCAATAAATCCCAATATGGAAGCTGCAAGCATTTGAACATCGTGTCTTCGTCATTTTTGGACGCTACTACTAGCGCATTTCTTGTAGCCTCATCAGGCAGCCGCCAGCCAGAACCAGTCCAAATCAGGTCACAATTTCTGGCATCCATATTGCATCCTTTCTTCTGGTTACATCTCAACAAACTTGGGGAAATCATTCATGTGAGGCCCGGGTCATTTGTTGATGAACTTCACATAGTTCTGCACTGCAGGAGCCCCCATTGTCGATCAGTTGGATGATGCTGCGTTCACGGACACTCAGAGGGACGGCAGGGGATTTGACAAAGTCTAAAGTATGTGCCCTGATCCCTGGTGCATTGAGAAAAATCATGGACAGTCTCATGTTCAATAAGAGAAAATCAAGAGTGGCAAACTCGGTGATGTTCAGACGTTCCCTTGCCCTTTTCGGGGAACCATTTGCCATGGCTTCCCGGCACGGGTCAGGAAAAACGCTCCTTGTCGGGTGCTTTGAAGAAGGTGGAAGATATGGAGCCTTGGACGGTGAACGGTGGTAGATGACGGATGCTCTTGGGATTTGTTTCTGTTTCCCAATCCCATTCCCATGATCCCGCTGATGTAATGAAGAAGAGCCCCAAGGAGGGATCCCAAAAGCCAAAGGTAGTCAAGAGAGAGAGAGAGAGAGCAGTCCTAGACCAGGGGTTCTAAGGGGAGACCTAGGGGGACTCATTAATTTTGATGGAGTATGGTAATTACATGTAATTACAACGTCTCACGCAGCTGAAGCAAAATCCGATGGTCAGCCTCTAGGCCCTGCTCCCAAAAATCAATCCCTCAAAGCTCAAAAGACCGTGCAATTCCAACAGAAACACAATGATATAAGATGAAACAGCTTGGCAGATAGATTCACATGTCAATTTTTCTTGCACCAACAATCTGACAAATACATCCCCAGCATATAAACTTAAGATTTGAGGATTTTCCAGTGCATTTCAACTGCTCCAGCGATGAAAACCACCCAGGAACGTGTGCATTCGAGCGACCTGACGGTGGGCTTCCAAGATTCCTGGGCTGCGGATCAGCCACTGGGTGATCGGCTGAAGGTGAAGGGGGTTCTCCAGTTGATCAGTGTGGCATTTTTTTGGATCAGTGTGAAAGTACATATAGAATTATATGGATATATTATGGATATATAGATGCCTATAGCATTTTGATGTATAGATGTTGGGGGGTTATAAACCAACAGGACCACTTGCCGTCCGAAGTCACTTCAGCTCCATCACTTGAGCTTCTACTACCGGAGGTTCAGGTCACCCAAGTCACTTCATTGGATTCACAGATTTTGAACTCCGGAGATCACGTCGAAAGCGAGGTTGCTGGGGGTTTGCTTGAAGAACCAGATGAAGAATGAGACCATCGATGAGGTTCTTCAGGCTGGGTCCCACAGCTGTTTTACATGGCTTGGAATAGCTATATGGCAAGTGAGAATATATATAGATAAAAATATATATAGAGAGAGAGAGATATACACATAGATATGTGTGTGTGTATGGCAACCCCCAAAATAGATAGAAGTTAGAAGAGTTGGAGACCTGGAAATATGTAGGACATACTATCTATAACCTCCTGGAAACACTGTTCTATTCTTTTGGAGATGGGTATAAGTGATATGGAGCTATTTCCAATGTCACTGAAGCTGATTTATCTCTTCATATTACATCAGATATCTTGGCCAATCTGGAAGTCTACTGAAGATCTCTATCCATGTGCTGCTCTCGCCACTGCCATAGGTTCTGCAGCACATGAACTTCCATTCCGCAGCTTAGCCCGTCGAGATCTTTCCAGGGCCGGTCCATTCCTTTGAAGAGAAATTACCACCAGTTGCATGATGCCCTTCATATCGATCATGATCATATTAGAAATTAGCACTATTAAATAAACATGACCCCCAATGAAAGCTCGGCCCGGTTTAGTGTAGAATATATATATATATAATTGTTTATTTCTTGGGGGGTCCCCAAAGAAAAAGGGCTGATTTGTGGTAGTTTGATGTAGTTTGTTATAACATGTTATAACTGGGGTGCAGATTGAAACCTGATTCCGTCTAGGTTTGTCTGAAAATAGGTTATACCATGTTATACCCCAAATTTTCCTGATTGATCCTCGTGTTCTACATTGAAATTGCAATTTTGAAGCGTCTTTGATTTTGAGACAAACCCATACAAGGCGGTGCTGCTTTTCAATTATATATGGGCATATGTTGGTTTAGACCGCCATTAACCATATATCTACCATAAACCCTGGTGAAATGTGAGTGGTATATTTCACATAAAAATGTATTTACCATCTACCTACCATCAAACCAAGGTTAGTTCTTCGAAGTCGGGGGCACCTTGGGGGGTGCCTTGGGGGGTGCCTTGGGTGCCATCCTCCCAGGAAGACGTGCCAAGCACCGCGCAAGAGCTTCGTTCGCTGCCTCATCAGATGCGACCGGTGTGCGCCATCTTCACTCACAGCCTGGAGATTTGGTGATGTTGGAAAGGATGAAGTGAAAAATCCAATGATATCCTACAAGGTGGGGCCCCCCAGTTATAAGATGGTTTATAAACCCCATTAACTATAGTTATAGGTACCATAAACCATAGTTATTGGAGTTATAAACCAACTTAGCTATCTAGGGGGCCCCACTTTGTAAGATATCCTTAGGATATCCATACTATCCCATGATATGAACGTATATGAACCATAATCCAATCTTCTTGGATATCCTAAGGATGATGATTAAGCTTGATTTTTTCTGCAGTAATTTCATCATTGGGAAATTGCGAAACATGTTTTTGCATATGTGCGAGTTTGGCGATGGTGATTGACGATGATTTGTTTTGTGGTTTGTCCTGGAACTGGGAACGTATAGCTTTGAGGAACCTGATGGCTCATATATATATATATACAGATGAAAATGTAGGTCCTCGAAGGTGGGGTGAGCATAGATAGATAGATAGATAGATAAATAGATAGATAGATAGATAGATGGATTTGTTTATATATATATATATACATATATATATATATGAATACTCATATATATATACATATTTATATATACTGTATATATTTATATTGCCAGGGTTGTTTCGATGTGAGCAAATCCAAGGAGCTGAATGGAGCCAACAACTTTTGCCTCTACATTGCCAGAATCTCGACGATAGTTTGACAGAGATGCGCCTGAGGTTTGAACACTGCGCCTATCAATCTCGCTCTTTCCTGTAAAACATATGCCATTGTGACAATGTGCGTTTGAACAACATGTATATATTGATCTTTTTATTGTACTTTAGGCTCGTTTGGATCCATTGTTTCTGTGAGTTCATATTAGCGATGCCACGAATCGGAGAAGTATTGGACTGACAAGTGATGCTCTGGAACCCTCTCCAACAATGTATCTTCAAGATCCCAATCGGAATTGAACAGTGAGTCCTTACTCATGTTCGAATGGTTTGATGGTTGCCCGTTCTGTATTTCGAGGATCACTACGGGTGCCACAGGTCTAATCACACGTTTAAGGATTATATAAGGTTCCTGCAACGCAGCACGCATTGTTCCGAATGCACAGCTGCCTCCACAATGCCCCCGCCTGTCCAGCAGAGTACAGCGTATAAGTAGAGTACAAAATTGATACCTTTTTAACTGCAAGATGAACAAACCTTTTTGCAAAGGGTTTTTTTGTCCATCTTCCTTTTCTGAAGGTATACATTTCTGGAGTATGTTTGCTGTTCAGAATCAGCAACACGACTACTTACACAACTTTAGGATACTTGAATCAAGTTACTTGAAGATACTTGAGGCATATACTGACATTTGTGGTCAATAGTCAGGCTAGCATTGCTATGGCCCCCGAGGATTGCTGAAGAACAACCAGAATCTGACTATCTTCTCTCCAAAAGCAGGGCCCATGAAGGACCCCTGTGATCCCTGTGAACAGAGCTGACAAAATCCACATATCTTTCTGTGCACGCCTTTTCGCGGTCACAAATTGATCTATTTGTTCACTCTACATGTTTGAACTTTTGAACCTTGATCAAAATCCAACCAAACTCCTGGAATTTCATCAAAACTACTATAAACGTCATCCCAACTCCACTGAACCCCTGTGAAACTCCTTAAAACCGCCAAATTCTTGAGACCTTCATGTGCAACACTGTAGAACTCATCGCCGTGACACTGTCCTCTTAGCATCAACTCAGCCGCAGGAAGACTTTGAAAAGTTAGGACTGGAGGTGACCATTGCACCTCGGAACCTGCCATGAGCTGGGGATTGAGTCGCTGTTCAGGGTCCATATTGGTTGGGAGGGATGGCAATGGTGGGTGTCTAATATGGCTATGGATCAATACCTATACATACCATTTTTAGGGGGATGAACATCCATTTACCAGCTATATGTTCACCAGGGGGATAGGGTTTTGACCCATCCCCATATGTTCTAATGGTTTATATCATGTTTGGCCGAAGTGTTCAGCCATGCTCAGCCTCATGTCGAGGTTCAGCCATGCTCTCAGTGTTCTTGCCAACCAGTCTCACCCAGTCACCGAACCCAGCGGAGAATCCCCAAAGTCTGAATGAATCATGTGCAAATGGATGATTTATCATGATTCATCTCAACTACCCGACCTGGTCATTTAACAGTTTGCGACATAGAAAATGGCCATAGAAATTGTGAGTTTTTCCATTAAAAATGGTGATTTTCCATCGTTTTTGGTATGTTTACATATGTTTACCAGATCGGGTATGTGGATTTTTTTCATCATCCCCAATTTCAGTGGAACATCCCAATTCTTGGATCCACAAAAAAAATCCCCCGCGTTTGTCCCAGGTGGATACCACCTCCAAGACCTTTTTGGAGGACTTGAGCTGTGCCTTGAAGGAGCGGCAGGTGGAAATCCTCTTGGCCAACACCATCATGTCGCTGGGCCATGCTGGGTCGTATATAGCTTGGGAACCAAGGGAATCAAAGGGAACCAAGAGATGTGGTATTAACATGTCTGGGTAAATTATAACGACCTCACTGTCCTCCCTCACTGGAATCATGGTTATTCAGGGAAATCATCCCCAAATGGCCTTAATTCATGTTAGTGAAATATTATAATTTACCCAGATATGTAACAAGTGCTCATTCTTGGATGGTGGGGATGACGTTGCATCTTGGAACCGTCACCAACGTCACAAGGGATGGATCTCTTGGGTTGTCGCTCCAGGGGATGGCTGGGATGCTCAATGGGATGCTTCCCCAGATTCGTAATGTCTATATTGATATCTACTAGTCTAATATCTAGTCATAGATAGTCTCATTGGCAAACATGAGCACATATATAAAACATTCTGACATATGATCATATGAATTTTTATATGATATAATATGTTGATATCTTTATCATATGATTTTTTTTTATATGTAATATAAAATGTTGATATCTACTAGTCAAACATTAGCACATGGTCTCAGTGACCAACAGATTTAAGCTGCGCCTCTTCACTGGATCGCCACCAAGGCGTTGCGACATCATCCTGATGGCTGCGCAGCTCCGGATGCGTGGGCTGTCTTGTTGAGGTTGATGGTTTGTTTCTCTCAAGTTATCCTGAAAACAAATGTCATACGCATGTCATACAAATGTCATATATATATACATATATATCATTATTTATATATATATTTATCCTGTATCCCTTTGATGTATCAAATTTCTGATGATGTTGATGATTTGAAGTCGCAGTTGCAGCGAGCTTAGCAGCTTGGGGGAAGGGTTAAACGAGACGCACCCAGGTAGTGTTTGGGTGATTCATGAAAGTTGGCCACAAGACCAGCTGGACCACTACGCCAAGGAGCAGGGTGACTCAACTGATAGGAAAGCCAGGTCAACGTTTTGGTGAGATGAGTTTGGACTTATGGTTGGTTTCAAGTAGTTGATGTTAGTTGATGTTAATTGACCATTTCATGTTAGTTGATGTTCTATCATCTTATGGATGAGAAAAAAGAAGTCTGTTAGTTGATGTTAGTTGACCATATATTCGGAAACCTTCTTTCCTGCTGACGTTACATCACTTCGGCTTCACTAAGACGATATGGCGACGTAAACAGAAAGACCACACGGACACCTTTCATGGCCTAGTCATGTCAGACGGCCATTTTGTGAGTCGTATCCAGGCGCTGGTGCCCCACCTTGAGTGTGTTTTGTTTGTCTACAGTCAGTATAAACACGTATGTATACTGTATATATATAGATAGATAGATAGATAGATAGTTATTTGACAATGTTTTACACACACACACATATATATATATATATAAGCTCCATGAATTTACATGAGGTACTTCGAAGAACTGTAGGTGGTGTGTAGTTTGGATATATATATATATCCTAATTCCTAATTCGTGCCATAAAATCCTGGTGATGTCAGTGATATCCCAACTTTGTAACTTAGCAAAGCTACAAAGCTACAGGTGGTGGTAGCAGTAGCACCGGTAGCAGGAGGTCTTCATGTGCAAAGACATTGATGCCGCCATCATCAAGAAGGCCTTCGCTGCGGCGGGCACCATCGTCTTCCCCTCGGACATGCAGCGGCATCTCTACGATGGCATGTTCCGGGCAGATGCAGGGCATACCATCTACAATGGATACATGGCTTTGAGGATTCGGAACCCTTGTTTTCGTTTTTGGGATTAGGGCCAGGGATGTTTTATAGGTTGTATATATATAATTTGATATGTATGTATGGATTGTATGGATTTATAGTATAGTCGAATATAATCTATATCTATAGAGAAGATATTTTTTTGGGGTGGGTGGGTGGGGCCCAAAGCAACTCCAATAAGAGCTTGTTTGGTTTTCAATCATCGCTATGTCTGGTGGGCTGAGCAGGCTCATGTTTTTGTCCACAGCTTCACTGTGCAGCGCTTGAGGAATCCCCTTAAAGCAGCTCAACCACTTCAAGCAGACACAGGATAGGCGAGAGGTGCGTGCAGCCCTCGGCTACAGAGACCTGGCTGAAAGATTTAAGAAAGCTTTGGGGCATCATGAAAGCGTAGCAGTGCCCAATGGGTTTATGACCTGTACCTACGAACACTTCCGAGTTCAAAAATATGGCCCAGAGTCCAGAGTAAGCAAGAAGTCTGGCAGCTTGAATATGAGTGATGGTTGATTCACTGAATTTTGTTCAACTACGGAGATATCTCAACATATCTTAACCGGAAATCCATGGTTTTAACCCTTAATTTCGATGGTTTCCTGAAAATGTGCCCATGAACAAACTCTGGGATTAATCTCTTTGACCTTCCTGAGTGGCGCCAAAGCTTTTCCGCCAGGTGAGTTGACACAGGGGTCTCATATCTTCATCATTTGTTGAGTGTTTAGAGAGCAACCTCTAAAGAACGAAAAGTGAAATCCTACCAAATTTACATAAAAATATTATATAAATAGATAGTGACACACGCGCGCCTTCAGCCTCGCTGAACTTGAGAGATGGCGCGAGAGAGAGAGAGAGAGAGAGAAAGTCACACATGACATAGTTTTCTGTTCTACTGTATCTGTTTGGGGGTAGCTATGACTACTGGTTAGGGTCCCCCAAAAGAAGGAATTGTCAAAACCATAATCCTGCAATCCCACTCAACTGTTGGTGAATTTGCCCAGATGTCTCTCGCAAGATTTCATGAATTGGGGCCCGTTCTGGGGAGTATTTCTATAGGGGGGGTGGATGGGAGTGGATTATCAGCACAAGTTTGGTGATAGACCAACTTCAGACGGTTGAGACCGCCACCGGATAGTTGATATTAGAGTTTGGTGTTTGTGATGGGCCTAGAGAGCTATGTGTATCCATAATCCTTATGACATGGGGAATGAAGGACCACAAAATAAGAAAACAACCACATAATGGATTAATAGATGGATTCAGATGGATTAAGATTGATTAACATATGGATTAAGATGGATTAATAGATGGATTAAGATGGGTTTAGGATGGATTAACAGATGGATTAAGATGGGTTTAAGATGGATTAATAGATGGATTAAGATGGGTTTAAGATGGTGTAATAGATGAATTAAGATGGGTTTGAGATGGAGTAATAGATGGATTGACATTGGTTCAAGATGGATTCATAGATGGAATAATATGGATTTAAGATGCATTAATAGATGGTTTAAGATGGGTTTCAGATGGATCAATAGATGCATTACGATGGGTTTAAGATGGAGTAACATATGGATTGACATTGGTTCAAAATGGATTCATAGATGGATTAAGATGGGTTTAAGATGGAATAATAGATGGAATAATATGGATTTAAGATGGATTAATAGATGGCTTAAGATGGGTCTAGGATGGTTTTACAGATGGATCAGTTCGGGTTCAGGTATAAAGTTTATATCGCTTTTACGGTACTGTGAGGGAACCTGTTGCCGTCAGGTGACGACGATTTCGTTGTGCTCCACTTGGGCACTGTGTGCAGCCGCAAGGGGCAGGTTTTTTCGGCCACGGCCTGTGCTAAACTCATCCAGGACGGGGCTTTAGGGCTTTACTTTTTGTCACGGAATTGGATGATGGGAAAATTTACCATACTTTACCATCGAAATTTTCCGTTTTTTTACCATCAGTGGCTTAACCGGAAACCCCTATATTTGATGGTAAAAACCCATGGGTTTCCGGTTAAGATTTCCCCAACAAAACCAATCCACTTTTTTTTTGAGCTGAGTTGGATGATCCGGGATGGATCATCTAGCGGTAAATCATGGTGACAGCTGCGGCACCAGGAGAATGGCTGCAAGAATCTGAAGCAGCTCATTGTGGGCGCTCGCTATATCCGTGATCACGAGATCAAATACATCGACGAGATTTTCCAGGTCATCCGATGAGTCATCCCTTCCATCTTGCAGAATCTTCATATCACTTGGGGCACAGCACTGTACAGTATGCAGTCGTTCAAAAGCACTTGGAACCATGGCGTTTAATCATGAGAAAAGCGCTTCACGTAGACCATCCCAACTTTTGGGGTATCAATAGTATCAATTATCAAAATCATCCGTTCTTTGACCCAGAAACCACTTCCAGTAGATTTGATTAGTTTAAACATAGTGTGCCCCAATCCCAATGGTTGCTCATCAGTGTTCCCCATGAACACAGGGTTGCTCCAACCCATTATAGGCCAATCATAGGCCAATCATAGCCACACGGGAGGGGAAGTTATAGTTTTACCTCTCTATTCCATCTGTAATGTTGCGAGCAACCCTCTAGAATGGCACAAAAAATTGGGCGTAAACGGTAAACCCGGCAATTTTGAACCATCATCCCTGTCGCTGGTATGGCAGGTGGCCAAGAAACACCAGGTCTCCTGCCGCCGCTGGGAAGAGCTGAAGGAGGAGGAGCGGGGACAGCCACAGATCACCATCATGGACATCCAAGCTGCGCCTTGGTGTTGGCATCTGACTGGGACATTCCAAGACAGCTGGAGCCTGGTGGCTACCGATGGAAGTCCGAGCCCCCAAGGGAAATAAAAAGTGGTGGATATGTAGCTGTCAGATAGGGGAAAGAAGTGGGGGTATGACATTCATGAACTTTATACTTTATGTATCTTTATGGCTTTAAATTTGAAACCAGCTTCCGTACAACTTTGTATTGCTAAATCATCAGAATTGTGTTCGTACTTTATCCACCACTTGTCGTTCCACATGACTTGTTTGTTTGGCTTATTTTTCTTGGCATCATTGATCAGTTGGCACGTGTGCCCGTTGGCCGTTGACCTAGTGGCCTAGTTCCAAGCGGGCTTAAGCAGGAAAGCCAAGGGAAACTCATCGAACATGGGTACCCTCTGGTAAACATACAAAAAACTATGGAAAATCACAATTTCTAATGGGTAATCAACTATAAATTGCCATTTTCAATAGCTATGTTTGTTTACCAGAGAGTAACGGGTAACTACTTTGCTTCCAACCCATGTGCATTTCCATGGCTGATTTTATTCTGCATTGCTTTCCCGGTCGTGGAAGCCTTTGGTATTTTGGCAGGGTATCTCCTTAGTACTGCTGAAAATGTGGATTTCCAGTCGTCATAACTCCTATGTGTACTGGGTGGGTAAACCAAATTGTGTTTATAAATAACTAAATAAATAAATATATATATATATCGAAAACTAATGTGTATGCAGGGCAGGTTGAGTATGATCTGTACATGTTCTTTTGCTTCAAAAATCAAACAAAAGACAACATAGGTTCCAATCTTTTGTCATTGAAGATTGAAAGTTCTGTTCAACAAATTTCGTCTCCCAACTGCTCCAGAAATGTCCAAAAAACCATGGCCCATCCTTCACTCAGCCAAGGCCGTGCTGCGCTTCTACATGGCCGCAGATGTGGTCCTGGTGGCGTCGCTCAACGAGGTGCTGCCCCTGGTGATTTGCGAGTCCATGGCCTTCGAGCGGCCCGTGGTTTGCAGCGACCTGGTAATCTGGTAAAGGCTTGACCGTTGACCATCAAAAACACGGTGGTTTCATGGGAATATCATGGAAACACCATGGGAAATTCCAGGAGAATTGTTGGTTAATTTGAAGATCTTGGGGATATTATCGGGAGTTGGGGTCTGGCAGAAAAGCCTGTTTCAGCTCCCATTAAGCTGGCAGATAGCTCTAATGAGGGATATATATGTATAAGTCTATTTTTGGCAACTTGTGGTTGTGACCTTAGTGCTTCCACAGATATTGGTTGTGTCTCTCCGTTCATTTGCAAATCTATAGATGGGTCAAGAAACTCTAACTCTAACTAGTCGTCAACTATAGATTTTCTTAATTTTCATCATATTTCAATATGTGTCAATCTTCTGCCATCTCTTAAGCCATTTGCATAGCTATAATCGTAGCTAATTTCTGGTAATCACACGTGGCAATTGGCAATGACCCATTTCTATTTGATTTCCTCAGCTAGAAACCTCCATTTCTAAGTGGTTTTCCAGCCACGTTTGATGACACCAGAGGGTAAAACCCATAAATCACCACTATTAGCCATGCTATTAATCACCATTGCATTTCATCGCCACTAACCATGGTGTTAATCCATGTTAATCACCATTAATCGCATTTAATCACCACTATCAACCATGGTGTCAATCCACGTTAATCCCATAAATCACCATTAACCATTAGTTAACCCTAGAGTAAAAACAATTAGCTAACCATTAATAACAACTATGAATCACCGCTAGTTAACCACTATAACGAACTATTCATCACCATAAATAACCCTTAATAACTCCCATAAATAATGGTTAGCCGAGGCATTAATGCATGGTATCACCATTATTTATTCTGGATATGCATCACCATAAATAGCCATGAACAGTTCATAAATACCATTGAATACCATTAAATACCATTAAATACCATCAAATACCATTAAATACAATTAAATACCATTGAATACCATTGAATACCATTGAATACCATTAATAGTTATTTGTTTGGTGGTTTGGATCAGTTTTTATTTTTCCACATGTTGGGAAGAATCATCCCAACTGACTTTTATATTTTTCAGAGGGGTTGAAACCACCAACCAGTTATTGAACGTTCCATAAATACCATTAAATGTGAATTTCATCCAGCATTTAGGCAACATGATCTGACATTCCTGTTTTCATGTGCCGACATTCCACTGCAACTGATCCTCATTTCCGCTGCTGTCACATAGTGATCACTCGAGCTGCCCCTTTTAGCAAAAAGCCTGCGTGCTTCGCCTGTTGCAATTGCATTTGCACATGGAACCTTGAGACTTGGCACAAGCTGCAAGTGTCACAGTCAGTTGGCACCGGAGCTGGACCCCGGAGGTGTGATGTCTTCGAATGACGCTTCATTCGATTGGAGTCCCTCCGAAGTGGCGGCTGAGGAACGCCGATTAGACCGGGACTTGTTTGAGGCTCCTCTTGGGGTTGATCCGACGGGACCTACAACTGGAGAAGAAGCCCAATGGCAGTGCCTTTCATGCCACTCTGCTGCATGGAGATGGGATGATGAGAAGGGATACACATGTCCTACGTGTGGTGGATGTGAATACTTCAACGTGTCACAACCTACGAAGCTCGAAACACCCACTGGAACATGGATGTATGTGCCTCATGGACCAGACTCTGTAGCAAGTGGTTCGGGTGACGCCTCTAGCTCCCCGACCCCTGTCAATCGTAGATCGGGTTTTGGTGGCCCCAAGCTATTTCATGGATACCCACCTGGTGATGCTCATGGAGGTGGATCTGAAAGAGCTGAGAGCGAGGCGCCGACCTTCGATCCGATTGTCAACCCTGATGAACCAATTCCTGGTGGTAGACGGCGCCGAAGACGTGGTGGAAGCCAAGTCAGTGAGCCTGCTGATGCACTACATGGCCCAGTTCTCCCAGATGCTGCGGTTCAACGAGACGATCCTGCAGAACTATACCAACGACATGGACATGGAGATGATATGCTTGATGTCATGCGACAGCTGTTGCATGAAAAGCGATCTACTGCAAAGACTGGTAGCGAGGCCTCATGGAATAGCATGAGAGGGCCCGCACCTGGAGTGAGATGGAGAGGCGGTGCTCCACCTTTGCCGCCGAAGTGGATCTACCAACAGTCAGATCTACGAGCCTTTGCAAAATATGAGAGAAAGGTGAGAACTTGGGAGCTTCAGGCAAAAAGCTTCATGACTGCCGCCGAGATGGGCCTGGCACTCTACACAAGCTTGCAAGGTGAAGCTGAAGCTGAAGCCGAACACCTGGAGTTATCCAAGATCAACCACAAGAATGGAGTCAGCTACATCCTTGATCAACTTCGAGGACCCCTACAACAGAAGGTGCTGTTCCAGAAGAGAAAACTGCTGGCCGACTTCGAGGGCGTTCGGCGCCACAATGCCGAGACCGTCCGACAGTACGTCAATCGATATCGCAGAATCGAACGAGACTTACAAACCATCGGCATAGAGACCGGCAGTATGTACGATAGTGAAGCTCGTGGAAACAGAATCCTCGAGCGTTGTCAGCTGTCTCCAGACCTACAACGACTGGTGCTGATCGGAGCCGGGAACTGCCTGGACTACGAGAAGATCACGGAGTCTATGTGCATGCAGTTTCCAGACTTCAAGCCAACTCCTATGGTTTGGACCTCCAGTCACAACAGACAGCAAGCTGACAATCAGACTTCAGCATCTTCGAGCTCATCCTCCAACCGGAGCTCTACTGGCACTTTCAGGTCTTCGTCTACTGCAACGTCTTCTGGAAAAGGACGTTTCACCGGAAAGGGGAAATCACCAAAGACGTATCCCCATGGAAAAGGGCCTCCTCGCAGTGTCTTCCAAACGGAACAAGTCGAGGACGAGGCTGACAATGAGGAAGACGATGCAGAGGACTTCGAAGATGCAGAAGGCCAACCTGAAGATGGAGAAGAGCTGGAGCCGATTCCTGAAGAGGGAGACGGTGACTATGAGGAGGCAGATGTGCCTTCCATCGACGTTGACACCCTGGCCGATTTAGCTCAGGTGCTCACCGTCACCTCCAAGAAGCTTCAAGCCTCAGTCCTTGGACGGAAGTTCACCGGACGGAAGTCGATAGAAGAACGGAAGAAAACAAGCACATGCAGCGCTTGCGGCCAGACAGGCCACTGGGCAGGCGATTCAGCCTGTTCGATGTCGGCATCCAAACGCGATGGCGGTGGAAAAGGACAAAAAGGTGCTGGGGGTTCTTCGTTTTCATCTACATCCTCACCTGGTCAGAAGTATGTCAAGAAAGCCTATGTGGTAGGAGTTCAACATGGAGAACATTCACATGAACCACATGATGATGAAACCACCCCGAGCTCTTCATCAACATATTTTACCTTCACCACCAACCAAATTTTTGGGGCCGATGCAACATCAACTACATGGATCACGGAGTCCATTGACATTGGGGGTTATATGGTTTTAGATACTGCCTGCCAAAGATCATGCTGCGGTGAAGTTTGGTTGAAAACCCATGCCAAAATCCTGGAACGACATGGTCTCAGGGTCAAGATGATCGAAAGCTCTGATCACTTTCAGTTTGGCTCAGGCAAGCCAATTGCAGCTGCAGAGCGCGCCTACATCCCCATCGAGATGGAAGGCCAGGAGACCAAGGGATTGTTGTTTGGGGTTAGCGTTTTGTCCACCAACATACCTTTTTTGGCAAGCAGAACTTTGCTGGAACGTTTGGGTTGCATTATTGACATGTTCACCAAGACCATCACTTTTGCAAACCTTGGTGTTACACTGCCTTTGACTCACAAACACGGTCATTTAGCAGTCAATATTGCGATGTTTTCAGAAGATTTGGCAAACCATCCGTGCTGGAAGCATCTCTCGCGAGATCAACTTTGGCATGAACCTGATCCTGAACTCATGTTTGCACCGGGAGCTTTCAACAAAGGCTCAATTCGTGATTTGCCGCCCCAAGCCTTGCTGCCTACGGATGTTCCGTGCGACAGCTCCAGAATGGCTGAAGCGATGGCAGATACTGTATGTCCTGGTGATGACCATCGAGATCAGGGCCTACAAAGCTATGTCGAGCATGGTGCGCTTTGGACTGGCAACCCGGTCTTGGCTGACCCTGGACGAGAACATCAAGGAGATGGAGCGTCAACGCTCAGAGGTTGTCAACAAGATGCCAAAGCAGGCCAATCCAGCGACATGCATGCACCCCGAGTACAAGAGGTACGGCAACGACAAGGGTTCGTTCAGCCGATGCAAGAGATGCCAACAGGTTTTCAAATGGGACCCAAGTCAAAAAGGATGGCGCCCACATGGAAGTCCGCAGTCGCAAGTTTCTTCGCACTTGCCACTGCCCTCATCTTCCAACATCCTGGAGCCCACCAACAGGGGAACGAGTTCTTCGACATCGAGGACTACAACTTCCAAGTCCCGAGCGAAGCCCAAAGCCCGACCACAAGAAGTTTTCCTGCCAGCGATGGAGGAGATTTGGGATCCGGAAGCTTATCCTCCCGAGTCAGATGGCGGCGAGGATGGATACCACGGATGGGACGAAGCCATGGAGATCCAAGACTATGCATGAACGATGAGGCCGACTGGTGGGAAGTTGGCAAAAACATGGTCACGAGGGTTCACAACATGCCACGCAAAAGTCTTTTCAACATGGATGACTTTTACAATGGCGAACCTTGTCCAGTGCATGTGAAACGACTGAGCCTGGAGTGCACAGCCGAGATGAACTATGAGGATGGCAGGACACAAATGCTCACCTATGACTGGAGCACGTCCGGGGCATCCGCTATGAAACAATACTGGACTGGGAAGACCATTTTTCGCGTTCACCCTTTGCCTGAGCGACATGTGTCAACCAACCTGGAGCGGAAGAGCTTGCGACATGTAGTTCGACAAGTTGCGCATTTGCTTCAAGTTGAGCATGATGTGATGCTGGCTGGCACTACATCCTCCTCTACTTCAACATCCTTGAAGAACAGGCCACGGGTGGATTTGTTAGAAACTTTTGCTGGACGTGCTGGAATCACAATGAAGGCTACCAAACTTGGTTTGAAAGCACTCCAACCCATTGACTACAACACCGGCTATGACCTTGAGAAGGCCAGCCACCAACAACATGTGGACTATCTGATCGACCACTTCAAGCCCCTCTTCCTCGTGCAAGGCATCGACTGCCGTGATTGGTGTCTTTTACAAGACAACACCAACTACGTGAGACGCAAGATCTTGCTTTTGATGCGGAGGGAGAAGGCCAGGAAGTTGCTACGTCGAGTAGTTCGTTGGTGTGTCAAACAAGCTGAAGCTGGAAGGTTTTTCCTCTTGGAGAACCCTGCAACAAGTCGACTTTGGCTTGAACCGCTGGTGCTGAGACTTTCAAGACTTCCAGGAGTCTATGCAGTTGTTTGCCATTCAGGCGCCTATGGCGGCACCAACTCCAAAGGCCAGATGATCAAGAAGAGTTTCAAGTTTCTTGGCAACTGCCCTTGCGTGCTAGAGCGACTGACCAGAAAACTTGATTCAGAGCAGCTGCTTCAATGTGTACCTTTGGTTGGAAAAGAAACAACTCTTTCACAGCATTACCCTGATGATATGATCAAGCAGATCGTGCAGGGAATCAAACAGACCGCTGCACAACATGATCCAGAACGTTTTCATGCTTTTTCCACAACAAGTTTTCAGGTGATGGCTGTGAACACAACACCAGATGATTGGGTTCCCATTTTTGAGTCTGCCCAGAAGTCCTTTGACATGACACGACAACGAAGCTATGTTCTGCCCACATCAGACACGACATGGAAGATGGTTCAACAACTTGTGCGATGGCATCAGCTTGAACGTGTGCAGATTGCGTATCAACCAACCATGCTGCGTTTGCCCTTGCACATTCCTCATACGCACCGTGGGTGGGCATTGCTCTACAACGACCAGACCGTGGAAGTTGTTGAAGAGGACCTGGCGGATGTGAGACACCCAAGAGCCAAGTTCCGCAAACCCGTGAACATTGGCATTTTCTTCTTTGGATATGCAACACCAAGTAGCCATGCAAATCAACCTGTTTCAGCACGACCTGATGGACAACCTCTACAAGAACCAGCTGAAGATGACCCACAAGCAATTGTGGCTCACAACACAGAGGGCATCACCTTTCCAAGGATGCCTGGTCTTTCACAAGATGCCAAGACCTTGCTTTCAAGACTTCATCGCAACCTTGGACATCCTCACAACAATGAGTTGAAAAAGATGCTTGCGATGAACGGCATCAAAGATCAGAAGGTCTATGATGCAGTTGAAGCTTTGACATGCGAATCTTGCTTGCGTGTGAGGGGACCTGGCAAACCCGAACCTGCAGGCATTCCTCAAGATGTGAGCTTGCAGTTCGGCGATGTTTTGCAGATTGACATCGTCTATGTCAGGGACATCACCTCGACCAACTACATCTTCTTGGGCATCATTGATGAGTGCACGCACCTTCACATGGCCTTGCACTTGAATGACCGAAGTCCCGAGGAGGTGCACTACAAGTTTTCTACGTTTTGGGCCCGACCTTTTGGTTTTCCACTGAAGATCAAAGCTGATCCCGACGGAAGCATCCGTGGATCATTTGAAGCGGCAATGGATGAAGCTGGAACCTACATGGACTACATCCCTGCCGAGGCCCACAACAAGATTGGTCTGATTGAAAGGCACAACGCCACCTTGAGAGAGCTGATGGAGAGAACCATTGATGCAAGAGCAGTGGTAGGACCTGAAGCCATGGAACAAGCAGCCATAGCAGCCTGTTTTGCAAAGAACTCCTGCACATGGTCTTCAGGGCGACCTCCTTTTGTGGCAGCCTTTGGAAGAGTGCCACGCATGGGCATGAACCTTCTTTCAGATCAACATGGACTTGTAGCTGGTAGAACACGTGAACAAGCTCAACGCGAAGCTGACTACATGCGTGCGGAAGCACAACAACATTTGTCAGCGATGAGTGTGGATAGCAACCTACGGCGTGCCTTGCTGAGGAAGTCTACCTCCAACCAACTTCAAGAACTACCAGTTGGTTCCATTGCAGCATACTGGCGATGGACTGCGAAATCTGGCAAGAAGAGAGGTGGATTCAAACTGGCTCGTGTTTTGGGCCGCGACCCTGACAACAAGAGCATTTGGCTTCAAGCAGGCACCAACACCGTGAAGGTAGCACCACATCAAGTTCGACCAGCACTTGGATTTGAACAATGGAATCCAAACTACGACGACATCAAAGCTTTGAGGTCAGCTGTTGAAAACCTCCAACATGGCATTCTTCAAGACGAGCAACTACCAGATCCACCGCAAGGACAAGAACTACCTGGTTTTGAAGAAGTGCAACCTGAGGTGCAAGTGCCTCCACCTGTTGGAATAGAAGATGGCATTCCCGAAGCACATCAACATGAGCTCATTCCTGTGCCTCGGACACCTTTGCCTGATCCAGTGCAACAACCTCCTCAAATTCAACTTGAAGAGGAAGCTACACAAACGGATCCATACCAGCAGCAGCAGACGACCATCAACATGAATATGTCGTCACCAACCTACAGACAGACCATCATCCAGAACCAATCCTTTGGTATGAATGAAGCACAGCGCTCTAGACCAACAGTCAATGTGCCTGTCAGGAAACGACATGCTTCAAGGTCGAAAACACCTGTTCGACAACTACGAGCATTGACACCACATGGTGAAAGAGCCCAACCTGCTTCAGTACGACAGTTGCCTGATGAACCTTTTCTAGAGCAAGCACATCAACCTTCTTCAGTGCAACCGTTGGCGAACCCACCTTCTGCATTGGCACCGTCCAATCCAGCCGGTGGTATAACGCCTCCACTAGAAACACCACAGACCGAAGTGATCGTGGTGCAAGATGATGATGAAACTGCAGGACAACCTGCATCGTCTCATGGACAACAAGTTCTACCACAGAGCCGGACCGCTGTGGCAGACGACATTGGAGATCAAGCTCCAACAACACCAGAAGCATTGCGGCTGACACCAGCCAAGAGAACCTTTGATGAAGCTGCAGCAGATCAAACTTTTGATGTATCCTTTTTGCGACCATTTCGAGATGAAAGGTCGACCAATTCAATTTCTTCAACAATGCAAGATCACTACGTCGACTTCGACAATGATGATGTCGACGCCATGACGTTGATGGCTAGAGGATTTGATGGATCACCAGATGTCTACATGCCGTACTCCAACAAGAGCTTCATGACGGCATATCGCCAACATGGCGACTACGATGGCAATGGCGACAGCGACGAATCTGACGCTGATGTCAAGGATTTCCGTGGAGAGCAAAAGCCCATTCCACCTACCTTGACCCGCCAAGAGAAGAAAGCCCTGGACAAAGAGATCCCTTGGCAGAATATCATGCGTATGGATGAAGCCACCATCCAGCAGTACGTTGATGCAGCAAAAGCAGAAGAGCGCTCATGGCTCGACTTCAGCAGTGTGCGCCCCATTTCCAAGAAGGAAGCTGCCAAGATCCCTGGAGACAAGGAACTACGCAAACGGGTTCTACGTTCCCGTGCAGCCTTCAGAGACAAGTCTAGAGGAGTTGGTCCACTACGACCGAAGTGCCGCATTGTCGCAGTGGGATGCAGCGATCCAGACCTTTGGACGCTTCAACGTGAGAGCGCCACTCCAACCAGACAGTCTGAGTTCTTGGTTTTTGCAATTTACATAGCAGGCCGAAATGGGAAGATGATGGGCAATCCCAATGCAGTTTGGTGTTTGTGGGCAGGCGACGTCAAAACAGCCTTCCTCCAGGGAACACCCGAGCAGAGGAGCATGCCAATTTTTCTTCTTCCACCTGCCGATGGAATTTGCAAAAGAGCCGACATTTTCAGAGGAGCAGACCTATTGGAAGTTGTGGGGAACATTTATGGACTTGCTTCAGCACCACGCACTTGGCAGATGCATGTTGTGAAGGTTTTGAAACAGATTGGATACCAACAATCTTCTCTGGATAAGATGCTTTTCTACTATTATCAGAAGTTTGAAGGAGAATCAGAACCTGTCCTTTGCGCTGTCATCATAGTGTACGTGGATGACTTCCTGCTGACCCACGACAGCCGCTATGATCGCAATCACCTGCTGAAGATGTTCAAGTGGGGAAGCCAGAATGAGCTGACCTTAGAGAACAGCCTGGACTTCAAGGGCAAGCGCATTTCCTTGAAGCACGACCGCAACAACAATGAGTACACCCTCAAGCTCGACCAGGAGAAGTTCATTTCTGACATGAAAGGTGGCACCGTTCCGAAGAAACGGCACAAAGAGACCTTGGATGCCTCCGACCTGGGAGAGTTTAGAAGCGTGTCAGGATGTTTGCAATGGTTGGCTGGACAGACGAGACCTGACGTTGCTGCAACCGTCAGTCTGTGCAGCCGAGGTGCGAAGTCAACATACGAAGACTTGCACAACATGTACATGGCTGTTGAGCACCTGCATCAAACAAAAGATCATGGCTTGGTTTTGCGACCCGTGCCCATCGACTATTCCACGATGATCACCACCTATGCTGATTCCAGTTGGGCCAATGCTGTTGGACATGCAAGTCAACATGGTGCTTTGATTTTGCTTTCCAGCCCTAAGGCTACTGACGTGATTCAACCTGGACTCCTGGTGGATTGGAAGAGTTCGAGATCTACGCGCGTTTGCCGATCCACTCTTGCTGCTGAGGCCTCCGCGGCCGATATGAGTGTTGATCGTGCCAGCCTGATCAACTACATGCTGAGTGAGCTGCTTCTGAACCGGCCGACGTTTCACATTCCATCTTGCGATTTGTTGCGAATGGTGCAGGCAACCGACTGCCGTTCGCTTTACGATGTTTTAGTTAGTGAGAATCCTCGCACTGAGGACAAGAGGACCATTGTGACCATCCGGTCGGCCCAGCAATTTTTGTCTAGGGACAATGTGTTTTGGATCCCAACAGCGATACAGTTCGCTGACGGTTTGACCAAAGTGAGTCAAAACCTGATGATCTCATTCTACAACTGGCTTCAAGAGCCATGGATCCAATTGCACGAATGCAAGAGGAATGTCAATCAACAGAATAGTTGGAGTGTGAATTTCATCCAGCATTTAGGCAACATGATCTGACATTCCTGTTTTCATGTGCCGACATTCCACTGCAACTGATCCTCATTTCCGCTGCTGTCACATAGTGATCACTCGAGCTGCCCCTTTTAGCAAAAAGCCTGCGTGCTTCGCCTGTTGCAATTGCATTTGCACATGGAACCTTGAGACTTGGCACAAGCTGCAAGTGTCACAGTCAGATTAAATAGCTATTCATCACCACGAGTTCGCCCTTTCTCACGGCCGAGGCAAGATTGATGCTATCCCGGAGGCCGTCACGGATGGCGTGGAAGGCTTTCTGGTGCCACCAGGTGCGCGACGAAAAGCCATTTGGGGCCACCGGGGGAAGATAGCGAACCGTAGAAAAACCGTAGGAAAATCATGGGAAGACCATGGAGAACATAGGAAAACCATGGGAAAACCATAGAACACATTTGATTTAACTATATTTAACCAAGGAACATTTTATTTGATTAATGTATAGCTGCTTTATGATAGCTAAGTTGGTTCATCACTGGTTTACGATAGATGTCATGATATATAGTTGATGAAGGTTATGGACCAACTTACAACTGGGCGGAGGCACTATTTGTATTTGTTCATATCTCACAAATCCACCATAGAATTACACATTATTCACTATAGAATTACACCTTAGAGTTACTGATGTCTTCCACTTACAACCCCCTTTTGATTGGCATGGGATGTCTATGGGTGTCACATGGGTTGATTTGTAATAAACGTTACATCGGATGGAAATGGGGAGTCACATGATATGGACAGATCATTGAATTTTGATCGGATTTGAATGGGATCCTTCCATGTTCCCAGTTCCACCACGAACCCATCTTCGTACATGAGCAGTGCATGGTACGCGACCATGGGCCCCTGGGGTCCCATGATTTTATGGTGGTGCAAAATATCAACAGCTGGATGTTATTTGCAGATGCTTGATGAGCCTAGCATAGGTCGAAAAAGAAGCCTCACTTAGGGCACCAGAGATGCGTTTTTTGTTCTGGTTTGGTAGTTAAAGAAACAACTGTGGGTCTTAATTGTGGTGGTTCTTATTCTGACAGTAGAACATTAGGAGATAGAACATTCCCAATCTTATTTTAGTTGGTCCCCACATTTTACCCTCCGGTAATTTAACATAGTTATTGAAAATGACCATAGAAATAGTGGATTTACCCATTAATAGCATGGTCATTTTCCATAGTTTTTTTGTATGTTTACCAGAGGGTAAACCATCCCTGATATTCCCTGATCCTAACTTCAGTGTTCAACAGGTGATGCGGATGCTATCCGAGATGCGGTGCTAAAGTTGTACAACAACCCTCAGTGGCCCGGCAACTGGTTCTGTAGCGCAGAACTGGTGATTAATCCGGTGAATTTTCACTAGAACGCCTTGAAACTCGAATCCGTGGATTCCAATCTCGTCCTTGGAAAATGAAGTCATCAAAACTGACAGTCAACTTCATAGATCAAATCCACATCTTGTGGTCATTTTCTGCTTAGATCCTGACTGTTTCGAGCTATTTCTGCTTCCTATGATCCCCCAGCACCACCAGGCTTCGAGTGAAGATGGGCTCTGCTGGAAGGCAACGGGTGCTGAAGCAGTTTAGTGACCCGGTGCCTGCGGGATGCTGCGGGGCGGTCATCGCAGGTCCCAGGTATAGCTCTGTGATTTCAACACATTTATAGCGATGGATCGATGGCATGTCAGATGGTTGCAATAAAATTGGTGTTAGCTTCGTTAGGAACATGTTTCATATCACCAGTTCACAATTCACTGATATAGACTGTGCTGGATTGGTTTATAAGTCATTTCAAAGCCCGAAGTTGATAGATACTTTCAATAGGTCGGTCGTTTTTTTTTGGGGGGGAAATCTTCCCCCGAAACTACGGGGGTTTTCCCGTCGGGTCGCCGTCGGGTCGCCCGGTTTCCTCAGGCTACGAGAGCATGGGTGAGCGCTATCGCGAGCTGCTGGATACCGTGCCACTGCCGACAGCGGAAGCAACCGAAGCAACGCCGAGCAGAAGCTTGGACTGCAACTGTGGGGTAACTGGGATGGACCCCAACCATAGGGAACCACGGGAATATAGCATGGGAAAATTGTGATTTAGCCAGGGGAAGCAGGGATTTTATGAGATTTTTTGTTGCTTATTTATGATAGCTAAGTTGGTTTATAGACACAAGAACGAGGGTTTATTGGGTTATAAACCAGCAAGCATCACTGGGCTGATGCAGGATTATCCCCGCAGTGCCAGTGACTCCCCATGGATCCAAGCTCAGCAGCTACTGGGATGACCCCTGAAGTGCACCAGGGATCAGAACCCCCAATTGACACAACTGGGATTGGAATCCCTGGTTTCAAACCAACCGCCAAGCCTCAAGACCCTCCAGTAATCCAAGATATTCCAAGATGGAAATGGTAATAAATCCGTCCAAGATGAACATTCCTTCATGATAGGTTGGACCATCATTTAACCAAGGCAGGAATAAGAACCATCGGTAAGTGGCGCTCCGCTTTCCCGGCCATATTCCACGGCATTCCCAACTTAGCCACCCCCATCTGAGCCAGTAAAAATGACTTTGTTGATTGATTACTATAGGAGGTGATACTCCTCAATTTAATAGGTACATACATATATACACACACATATATATATATACTATCAAATTATTGCCCAATCAGATTCACCAACCATAAATGTGGATAAATGTGGGACAATTATACCAAGTTATAACGATGGCAGCAACTTCCCAGGTAGCAGCTTCAAGGGTAAGACGGTGCTGGTTGACATGGACAACAGCCTGGTGGACTGGGACGGTGAATTCATCCGTCGCTTCGCGGCCATGGCCAAGCGCCCGGAAGAGGAGGTGGAACGCGTGGTGCGGAACAGGCAGAAGTTCGAAATCGAGGAGGGCTCGGATGTCCCCAGTGCCCGGGAGGTATCAAGTATATGTAGAATTGTATGTGTGGTGTGTACTCCTTTATTTATATTTAATATTTATATAATATTTATATCTTGAAAGAACTGAAAATCAAATGAGCTTTGTTTTGGTCGCTTACCCCACCATATTATTGGTCAAAACTTACGAGAAGTAAGGGTCATTAGGGTTCCAGGTGTTTGAATATCGCGCTATGCCATCCTGTGGAATTTCCATGAACGTTGGAGGATATTTAGATGATTGAACCAACTCAAAGAACTGGGACGTTTCGCAACAAACATGGGGAGAATGCCAGCCGGCATATCCCAATATGTATATATATATATACACACCCTCTGGTAATTTAACATAGCTATTGAAACTCAGCATGTTTAATAGGTATATCATGGTATATCAACTATGAACGGCCATTTTCAATAGCTATGTTAGTTTACCAAAGGGTATCACCCTTGCTTCCCAGCATCTCACTTATGTTTAAGAGGCTATTTTTCGCTTCCAGAGGCTTCGTGGGATTTCAACGGCTACACCACGCCATGGAATTTCAGCTCCTCCAAGAACGCACGCGACATGCGAACACTGTGAGATGTACTAACAACAAAGGGGGGTTGCCTTTTGGTGATTTATCAGGGTCAAACTTGGTAGTGGCTTTCACACCATAGTTCACCCTATATATGTAATAATTATAATATATATATATATATATCTATCTATATATATATATATATCTATATCTATATCTATATCTATATCTATCTATCTATCTATCTATCTATCTTCATAATTAATACCCATAGGATTCCCATAGTTCACCAATAATTTTTAGATGGTTTCCCTGGTCCCTCACTGCCACCTGGGGATGCCGCACGTGATTTGTCGCCTGGCAGCATGCCTTGCTGATTAAACTCCGAGCATGAGCTGGTGATGGAAGTCATCACTTCACCAGGTTCTTGGTGCATCCAGACCTACCCTCTGGTAAACATACAAAAAACTATTGAACATGGCCATAGAAATAGTGGATTTTCCCATTGAAAATGGTGATGTTCCATAGTTTTTTCATGTTTTTTGTATGTTTACCGGAGGGTACTACATGTAAAATGATATGTCAACACATTGGGCTCCAGAAATTCAGACTTGGAAGGTGGTGAAGATTACTGGAAATGATGTTTAAGGTTTTACACTAGATGTCAGGGCAAGGTGAAATGGGTGTTGAATCTGAGTATGAAGGTGTTTGTCCGCATTAGGAACTGGCCACAAGTTGGTGCTGCAACTGGTGTACCTATTAGATATTATCACTATGGGCAATGTTGTTGAAGAGCAATGTGCTGGAGGGAGATTGTGCCAGCAGCATCAAAAGGGAACATCGCCTTCAACGATATAGTCATTTGTACGAGTTCCGTGCTTCAACCCCACAACAAAAGAGCAAAACTACCAACAAGCATCATGAACTTTGGGTTGGGCCCAACTTGGGTGCCGCGCTGCGCCAGGCTTCTATGAAAGCCTGGAGCCTTATCCCGGCGCTGTTGAGGCATTGAACCGGTTGCTGGAAGAGGGTGCCGATCCTTGCTCATAATGGTGATGGGCTTGGGCTTCATACGGCCTGATATATCCTGATATGGTCTACGGTTCTTTGCAGGCCATGGTGATAGGCACTTCATGTCTATCAAGCTCGGGTCTATGGGCCTGTCACTACATCTTTCCCAGGGGAAAAAAACACGAAGTCACCACAGTGACGAGTGAGACACCCGTCTTCTTGTATGCCAGGAACATCTACACCCCATGTGTTTCTCCCATGAATACCCATAGCAAACCGATAGCTATTGCACGATAATCATGATCTTGCATAGTTTGCATCATGATCTTGCTATTTAAACACGATGCGCAGTGATTGATTTAATGACTTTAATGCATTCTTCTCTCCATGGACAATTCTGGGCCCCCAGCAGATATGAACAGATCATACGTAATCCTAGCTGAGTCTATGTCCCAATTGGAAGGAGTAAGTAGGCAATATGAAACCCACCAATTACACTTTGGAATGCCCATTTGAATACCCACGAAATGTCGATTTAAGACTGGGTTGCTCCAAATAAATACCCAAATTGCAAGGCGAAAAATTAGTTAAGTAAAGGAAAAGAAAGCACAATTCACCCTCCCCTTGCAGGAATCCTTCCCACATTAACCCTGCAGATTTTTTTTTAGCATCCTATTATCTCATTATGAATCTCATTGAACACCCATCAGATAGCCATGCAATGCAATGACTTAATGAACAGCAATTAGATACCATTCCCGATGGTGTTTATCATTGGGTATACCGTAATACCCCATTTGTGAAGATTTTTACCAACATATCACCGCCAAATGGTTGGTTATTGGTTATTGGGATGGTTTCTGGATTTGGGTTTGCCACATGATTATATAAACCATTTGGTATTAGTCACTGAGAATTATTTGCCATAATTATTATGATCAATAAATATCTTCCTGTTATAGACAGCCACTAACTAGCCATAATAACTATTAAGCCTATGATTATCCCATTATTTAAGGACAATATCAACATATAGTAACCATATTCCGTGGCATATGCCCTTACCTATAGCCCTTACTATACATTGTAACATACACTTTATCTAGTTATATAGGTACCTCCAATTAGATCCCTGAAGTGGCCATTGAATTAACAACTATAACCATGAATATACAATGCATCTGAATAGACCAATAATCAAAACATCCCCATTTTCTAGCCATTCCATAGCATGAAATGCCCAGTGTTCATCAGTTTTCCATGGAAGAACCCACCATCCTCAACTCCTCGGGCCCTGGGCCCCAGGACGTGAAGTTGGTGACCGCCCCCCACCCGGCCTGCGCCGGCAGCTGCGCCCGAGAGAAGTTCCTGAGCGTCGAGAAACACCTCGGCCCAGGCTGGTTGGAACGGCCCCTTGGTGGATCAGCGCAGCTTCGACGCCTCAAGGGGCCGAAGAAACGGTCAAAATATGCAGGGTTGACATGTTTTTTTTCACGTGTTCTTTTTTAATATGGTTTAACTATAGGGTTTAACTGTGGTTTAACTATAGGGTTTAACTGTATGGTTTAACTGTATGGTTTAACTATGATTTAACTATATGGTTTAACTGTATGGTTTAACTGTATGGTTTAACTATATGGTTTAACTGTATGGTTTAACTGTATGGTTTAACTGTATGGTTTAACTATATGGTTTAACTATATGGTTTAACTGTATGGTTTAACTGTATGGTTTAACTGTATGGTTTAACTATATGGTTTAACTGTATGGTTGAATTATATGGTTTAACTATATGGTTTAACTGTATGGTTTAACTGTATGGTTTAACTGTATGGTTTAACTGTATGGTTTAACTATATGGTTTAACTGTATGGTTTAACTGTATGGTTTAACTATATGGTTTAACTGTATGGTTTAACTGTATGGTTTAACTGTATGGTTTAACTATATGGTTTAACTATTTGTTTAATTATATGGTTTAACTGTGTGGTTTAACTATATAATTTAACTATGTGGTTTAACTGTATGGTTTAACTATATGGTTTAACTATATGGTTTAACTATGGTTTAACTATATGGTTTAACTATATGGTTTAACTGTGGTTTAACTATATGGTTTAACTGTATGGTTTAACTATATGGTTTAACTGTATGGTTGAATTATATGGTTTAACTATATGGTTTAACTGTATGGTTTAACTGTATGGTTTAACTGTATGGTTTAACTGTATGGTTTAACTATATGGTTTAACTGTATGGTTTAACTGTATGGTTTAACTATATGGTTTAACTGTATGGTTTAACTGTATGGTTTAACTATATGGTTTAACTATATGGTTTAACTATATGGTTTAACTGTATGGTTTAACTATATGGTTTAACTGTATGGTTTAACTATATGGTTTAACTGTATGGTTTAACTGTATGGTTTAACTATATGGTTTAACTGTATGGTTTAACTGTATGGTTTAACTATATGGTTTAACTATGGCTTAACTGTATGGTTTAACTATATGGTTTAACTGTGGTTTAACTATATGGTTTAACTATATGGTTTAACTGTATGGTTTAACTGTATGGTTTAACTATATGGTTTAACTGTATGGTTTAACTGTATGGTTTAACTATATGGTTTAACTGTGGTTTAACTATATGGTTTAACTATATGGTTTAACTGTATGGTTTAACTGTATGGTTTAACTATATGGTTTGAATATGGTTTAACTGTATGGTTTAACTATATGGTTTAACTGTATGGTTTAACTGTATGGTTTAACTATATGGTTTAACTGTATGGTTTAACTGTATGGTTTAGCTATATGGTTTAACTATGGTTTAACTGTATGGTTTAACTATATGGTTTAACTGTGGTTTAACTATATGGTTTAACTATATGGTTTAACTGTATGGTTCAACTGTATGGTTTAACTAACTATGGTTTAACTGTATGTGGTTTAACTGTATGGTTTAACTGTCTATATGGTTTAACTGTGTGGTTTAACTATATAATTTAACTATGTGGTTTAACTGTATGGTTTAACTATATGGTTTAACTATATGGTTTAACTATATGTGGTTTAACTGTATGGTTTAACTATTTGTTTAATTATATGGTTTAACTGTGTGGTTTAACTATATAATTTAACTATGTGGTTTAACTGTATGGTTTAACTATATGGTTTAACTATATGGTTTAACTATATGTGGTTTAACTGTATGGTTTAACTATCTGTTTAATTATATGGTTTAACTGTGTGGTTTAACTATATAATTTAACTATATGGTTTAACTGTATGGTTTAACTGTATGGTTTAACTATATGGTTTAACTATATGGTTTAACTGTATGGTTTAACTGTATGGTTTAACTATATGGTTTAACCATATGGTTTAATTATATGGCTTAACTATATGGTTTAACTGTATGGTTTAACTATATGGTTTAACTATATGGTTTAGCTATATGGTTTAACTGTATGGTTTAACTATATGGTTTAACTATGGTTTAACTGTATGGTTTAACTATATGGTTTAGCTATATGGTTTAACTGTATGGTTTAACTATATGGTTTAACAATATGGTTTAACTGTATGGTTTAACTATATGGTATAACTATATGGTTTAACTGTATGGTTTAACTATATGGTTTAACCATATGGTTTAATTATATGGTTTAACTATATGGTTTAACTATGTGGTTTAACTATATGGTTTAACTGTATTGTTTAACTATATTGTTTAACTGTATGGTTTAACTATATGGTTTAACTATATGGTTTAACTATATGGTTTAACTATATGGTTTAACTATGTGGTTTAACTATGTGGTTTAAACATACTGTCGATGGAAGAAATCCTGCACCACCTTGGATGGTTGAAACCCTATAAATAATGGGATAAAGCACCTATAAACTGGTGCAGGATTTCTTCCATCCACTGTATGGTTCAACTATATGGTTTAACTATATGGTTTAACTGTATGGTTTAACTATATGGTTTAACTATATGGTTTAACTGTATGGTTTAACTATATGGTATAACTATATGGTTTAACTATATGGTTTAACTGGATGGTTTAACTGTATGGTTTGACTGTATGGTTTAACTATATGGCTTAGCTATGGTTTAACTAGGGTTTAACTATATGGTTTAACTATATGGCTTAGCCATGGTTTAACTATGGTTTAACTATTTGGTTTAACTATGGTATAACTCTGGTTTAACTATAGCAAAAATGATTCTTGTATCCGGAACAAAGTGGTGCCCTCTAATTCGATAGCAAAGTTGGTTTAGAACTGGTAGTTTTTCCGGGTTTTGCTGGTAGATATCTCGTTTAGAAACCAACTTGTAACAGGGGGGCACCGCTATCGTTATAGAGTGTCATAATATCGTTATATCGTTCTGGATTTTGGTATGTTTCTTTTCCAGCTAGTTGGGACGATCCGAGTGGTCAGGTCCAGCAGTGCCGGCTGAGGTTGATTATCACCAGGGACAAGACCCATGTACAAGGTGACTTGGAGATGCTGCAGGTGACAGTAGGGTCACCAAATCAGCTGCCAGCGATCATCTGGGACATGTGGAGATATGCAGGTGATATTTAGTGCATTTTACTCTGAATAAAGCCAGATTATTCATTCCATATGGTTGGCGTTAATTTCATGAAATACTCACTGTCTTACATAGATTAAACATCCTCGTTGGAATTTTGTTGCTAAATGCGACACTGCTTGTAACTAGGGGCCAGCTTGGACTGCCATTTTGTAACAAAAACGTTCCTCGGTGAACGTTCGGTTCTGCCAAATTGTAAGAAGGGCACCTTGGGGACGCCATTCTGTAGCTACAAAATGGGGCTCCCAACTCCTCGGGTCCAATCTGAACGGAGATGATTAAACCTTGCATCATATGTTATTATGTGTATATATATATATGATTATGTGTGTGTGCACGTCACAACTAGTTCATGTATCAGTTATATATACAGTATACATTAATTAATTATATATAGTTGATTTCAATCACCACACCTTGATCCTTTGGTAAGCACAGGTTCTTGAGAAAATCCTGGACCACCTCCCGGACGTCTGATGATATTTTCTGAATGATGGTAGGATCAATAGGGGGAATCATCCCCAAAATAGTCATATATAGTTTTAATTTGCCCCGATTTTTTTTTATTATATGGATAAGATCTTGAACTTCAAAAAAAATCCTCAAATTCCGTCATGGGATTTTTCCCCAGAATTCTCGGAATTGTATCTATTCCATTCTATTCCCGTGGTCAAAAAGCATCCCAGGCAGCCCTATTCATGGCGGGGGTTTCCCCTGAGGCGACATTTTGGTGGACGACAAGCCCCAGGTGACAGGAGGTCAACCCACCCTGTGGACACACGTGCTCTTCGACCAAGCCTACAATCGAGCCTCGCTGTCGCGCTGTCGCGACTGTCCGTAGCAACGGTAGCAATTGGTGGTGTAATGCTGCATCCAGATGCTCCATGGTGCTGGAATATTTATCTACATTTATCCCCAAAATGGCCCAAATGTAGGTAAATATTCCCGCACCATGGAGCATCTGGGGCATATTCATGAAGCCATTTAATAATTTGGTAGATACAGGATAAGATTTCGTTGAAAAAAGAACTGGGTGGTTGTTTCTGATTAGCACTTGGATCCTTTGGCAATCTAGAGTGGGAATGGGAGATCGTTGGTTTTGATGGAAGAATAGATGAAGATAGATGAAGAGAATTTGTTGTAAATGTGCAAACTTGAAATGTACTTGATTATATGATATTATATGGATTATATGGATTATTTACATTTATATGGATTATTTTATCATCAAATGGATTATATGGATTATTACCATGGATTATTTTCGGCCACATGGATTTTCCATGTGTCCGGACTGCCATGTTCCATTGCCCCTTCCACGTCCAGACGTCTTGGCCCAGGAAAGGTGGAGGGCAAAACCCGGATGTCGTCCTGGTCACAATGGGCCCAGGTCTTGCCCGCAGTGCTTGGTGCCAATGGTGCCAACGGCTTGTCAAAATCGCCGAGCTGAATCCAATCCCTTCACTAAAACTCATGTCATCCCCTGTCCAGATGTCATCAGATGGCACCACTCGGTTATTGTTGGTTGTTGTTTGATGAATTTGATGAGATGTGAAGCATGTTGTGCAAGTTTCCTGTCCAAGAATCCCAAGTGCTGGTGGCCATCATTTTTCGGACAGGGGGTTGATGTCTCGATTATTCCATCGGTGGTGGTTACAGAACTTGCTTACCCAACCCTGAAGATAGATGGAAATAGGAGTATGATCCCGCGTGACTTCAGAATCTTGGAGCCTGTGTGGCTCATCCACCAGCGAAAAATTCACATGATGTGAGTTTTTGTCCACATCGTGGACTCTCAGTGGTCTCAGACCCCAACGGGGGTCACATGTCTGAGACACCTGACAATATCCTGCTCAACCTTGTCATTTGCTGCAACCGGACGTTAAGTGCGACTGAAAGCGCGGCTTGTGACAAAGTAGCACCTGAGGCTCCAAATGATACAGATGCGTTCTAACAACTTCAGATCACAATAGCGATCAGTAATTGGGGAATATGTGTATAGCTTGGATTGAGGTTTTAAGTCCTAGATTCGGAGCCACAACCTCTGTTGCCGTGTACAGCTGAGGGCAACTCAATCCATTGCTTTTTGCTCGTTGTATCCGTCGCGCGGAGCTCTCCATTCGCGATGGCATGGATCCAGTGAGCATGCGAAGAAGTTAGGTACAGCTGGAGAAAACATGACCTGCGCTCGTTGGTGGGCTTCCCTGTGGCTTCCCAGAGATCCAGCTCAAGAGCTACAGAAAGTGCAAAATCCTTCAAAAATAATCTGAACATATCTGAACATTTTGGACATCTTGAACCTGAAATGCATTATAGTTTTTTATTTTATTGATATTGGAGAGGCATTGATTTAAAAAAAATCACACAGCATCGTGATCGAATATCCTCCCGTGATTCATTCAGAGGTCCATATATGGGGCCATTTCGGGTTCATCCGGGCAGGATGAGCATTGGCGCACTGGTGGTGATTGACGTCCACGCGAAGGAGAGGGGAACCGTTGCTGATGAATCCCTTTCCCCCAACATGAAAAACACCCCGTATAGAAATATGGCTTAACATGGCTTAGTAAGGCATTTACACTAATATTTAAGGACAATTTAAGGCTGGTGTTTTACATAAAAGGGGGGATGGGATGAGTGTAAAAATCAGGTAATATGACGATTGGCAATCGATATGTTCCAATTTACATCCGTTGGTAGACGATTTCTCTATTGAACATGAGGGATTCTCATTGATGTTCCATTGTCCTGTGTATATAATTGCCAGAGGATAAAACCAAGAAGAAAGAATGGCATACATGTAAAACATACGGATAGAAGATGTCATATGCCAAAAGACGCTTTGTGTGTTGGGGTGTGCCATCCGAATGGATCCGAATGGTACATCCTTTAAAGTATCAATAAAGTATCACTCTGATAGGGTGCTGAAGAGCACTCGCACCTTGGCGCGTGCAGGATACCGTTGAGAAGTTGGCCAAGGAGAAGATTGACGACTGCATGTTGGGACTCCTAGGGCTCCGTGTGGGCTCCGTGTTGGAGGCCGTCAACAGCTACGGCTGGGCTGTTTGGCACCCAGGTCCTTCGAATGGATTTCACAGCTTCGATACTACTGGGAGATGGACGACCGCAATTCGGATCCTTGGACGCTGCAAGCCGACCACTTGGCGTGTGAGCCACTTAAAGAAGAAGAGATACATAGTCACCAAGGGATATTCAAGTCACAGAGATGGTGCAAGACGTACTGTATATAACAGTCCTCAGTACTCCTTGTAGTTGCCAGTTTGATCATGCATAATTCAATGCAGGGGTAAACGGGCATAATTGGTACAACCATTGTCAAAGATCGGGATGTAGGCCAGTATAGTGTATCCAGCTGACTGGTGGCAGCAACGTCCAACTTTTCACGTCCTGAAACTGCGCACAGAGACCACAAAAAAGATAACGGAGGTTGGAAGATGACTTTACTACCCTTCGGTAATCAAACGTGGTAGGGTGGAAACCAAAAAAGATAGTTCGATGGTTTTCCCATAATAACATCCATTTACAGCGGGATTCTGGCTAGCAATGTTTGATCTTACCCTTCAAAATTGTGGCGTCCAGTCCCTACCAAGGAGAACATGTGGGTCCGGGACATAGCTCAGATGGTTTTGTGGGAAGATCGGTGCATTTGCCTGCAGCCTGGCCTTTTGATCCTGTGGGACAGGAGCCTGGCCATGGGGTATCTATGGAAGTCCTAGTTTTATGTAAGCACCTCATTCAGCAATGGAGAGTGTTTAACATTTAACCACTCTAGGTTTGACTGCAAGGGATGTTCTCGGTATTTCTCGGTATTTTTGGATGATACATGTTCCCAACTTGAGCTTAATCAAAGAGCTTGGGACCCCATCCTTGCATATCCTTGCCCAACTGCCACTTTCGCTAGGTGCGCATGGTACAGACTCCCTTTCCTTACGGCGGCTCTGACATGTTTGAATGACGTCATCAATGGTCAAGGTATGTGACACCTAGGCACCCCAGGATCCATGATCATCATCATCATCAACACTTTGTTTGGACAATTTGTAGCGACCTCAAATGGCCAAGCCATGCCAAGCCCTTTACCCTCTGGTAATTTAACATAACTATAGGTGATTTTTCCATAGCTATGTTATTTTACCAGGCCGGGTAAACGATATATTGGAAGTGCCAGAACTTTTGGGTACGATTTACTGCCTGCCAAGACCTGTTTCTGCGACGATCATATCATGACCCTCGGGCTCAGGTGGTCAGGAAAATTCCTGGAAAAGGTACCACTTAATGAGGATTCCACATCTGGATCTGCAGAATCTATACAGGATGGGGCCCCCCAGTGATGGAACGATGGTTTATAAACCCCATTAATAGTTATATATAGGTGCCATAAACCATAGTTATTGGAGTTATGAACCAACTTAGCTATCGTTTGGGGGCCCCACTTTGTATACGGGGTTCATGATTTTCATTCATTTCGCGTAGGATTTGCTGATTGAACGTGTGGATTTCCCCATGGACTTTCCGCCGTGCTGCGACCTTAAGCTGGCTGCCAGGCTACGAATATTTGGGCAACTCGTTCCGTTTGGTGATCACGCCCCTGACCGACATGTAGGGAACCCCACAGGAAACCCGGGATTTCAGGTTTCTAATTCATTGAACATTCTTGGTGTGCCCAATTCAGATGTGATAAATCCATACAAATCATTATAGATCCATAATCCAAATTAAATCCATATATCCGATATTACCCACAAATGATATATGCAATTTATTCATTGCATTGTGGTCTTTCTGTGACTTGTTCACAATCCTTTCCAGGCTGCTGTTTGATGCCCGCGCACTGGAGCCACTGCCCCAGGTGCTACATGACCCTCATGGGAGCACAAAGCAGCACACTCAGACAAGTGCTGCTTGGTGGGTTTTTGCATTGCAGTTGAATTGAATGTGGCTCGCGGTTTTAGGACTTTTAGGCCTAGGCCTTGTAGATTTCTACATTGGAACCATCCAGTAGTGGCCATTTCGAAGCAAGATCTCAAAGGAAGGCCACCCCAGGAATGAGGCACATACCAACGTGTCAGTTGTCTATTGTTCTTAGCAGGTCAGGCTGCGCTGAGGAAAAATCCCAAGACCCAGAAATGGAACGTGGAACGTGGTGTCAGAGAGATAGGAGAGCAGCTGAACCACAGAAACAACATGGAGATGGGTTACAACATATGAATTGCATTGAAATCCCGTATTAGATGAACATCCATAAATCCGAGCATTTTCATGCATTTTCCGTCTGAAGACCAGGGTACTAGGTACCAGGGTTTTGACACATAAGCAAATTCATACATGTTTATTTGGTAGATCGATTGGCATATGCATGTTGGTTAGTGCTATCCCATTATGTTTTCATCAATTTATCCCATTCAAAAATTGTTGGTTTGAGATTCTCCCATCTAGTAGCCGTAGCCGTTCAATAGCCAACAACAATGTAGACGGTGCAATATTTTTAAACAATGTAGACAAATATTAAAAATGCTTTTTGATTTTCCATGTGTTTTCCTTTTTTTTTGTTTTTTTTTCAAGTTTAAAAAACATTAGAATAAGCTATAGAGGTGGACATAAAGTTACCCTCTGGTAAACATACAAAAAAATATGGGTAAAATCACCATTTTTTTAGCTGGGTCAATCAACTATTTCTATGGCCATTTTCAATAGCTATGTTTGTTTACCAGAGGCTATATGATACATTTATCCATTATTTATCCATGGTTGTTGGCTATGTTCCATTATTGACCATTCTTAACCATTATTAACCATTATCATATATAATCATTATCAACCATGATTAACTTAACCATTCTGAACCATTGGTATATCCCATGAATATCCCACCCAAGCGCCATGGTCACTATGGCACTATGGCACCCACGTCTCTGGAGGCCTGAACCTGGGCGGTGCGCCCGCCGGTCCGGCGGGCACGGGGAAGACGGAGACCACCAAAGATCTGGCGAAGGCCTTGGCCAAGCAGCACCTTGGATGATCCATGATGATCCGCTGGAAGAGTTGAGGATGTTAGTTGGGCAAGTTGGGGAGCAATGACACCATGACAACCTTGATTCATGATGATTTATCTTGATGTTAAGACATTTTTTATATGATCATTTATGTTTTATGTTGATTTATGTGACTTTGAATGTGGGTTTTCAAGGATCTTTGCAACAAAAAAAAGCAAACAAGAAGACGTGCCAGGAAAGCAGGGAATTGTGTGGTTCAACTGTCATGCAGTAGAGTGTGATACTTGATCAGCCCAAGCAAATCATCTGTGGGTTTGCCTGCGCATTTCTCCTCGTCCGTCTCTACTTGGGACGATTGTATATGAGTCATGGGAGTTGCTGGAATGTGTAGGGCCTGGTGTATACTCAACTGATTAGTTATATCAAAACCACAAGGTGGTGCCCCCCCCAAGTTATAAATGGGTTATAATACCATTAACTATGGATATATGACCTATAAACCATAGTTGTTGGACTTATACACCAACTTAGCTAACTATGGGGCACCACCCTGCAGGTATAGAAATCAAATGGGCAGACATTAAGACATGACTTGGACATCAGAAATCTTGATCAGGCGCACCTCTCAGCGTTCTAAAGCGACAGCTTCGCCTTCACAAAGCATTTCGCTGCTTTTGTCGGCTTCTTTTTTCCGAATAGAAAGGTACCTCCAGTTCTTCTCACCGAAGAAACATGTGTTTTATATAGTTGGTTTATGTGCTAGCTAAGTTGGTTTATCACTGTAATACTTCGAGCTATATGTCCATTGTTCACTTAGTAACACATATATTTGATTTCTTTGTTAAAAAGCAGCACCAAAAAGATCGTCGCCCATGTCCTCGGTCTCGGTGACGGTGCGAAACCTTGCCGGCGACGCGGCAGCCTTCGTCAAAAGCGGCGCGGAGTGGAACGTGCTGAGGTTGAAGCAAGAGCTGTCCGACCTCACCGGATGCTTGGAGTGAATATGACTTTCCCATATATGTATATAATATAATCATATATATATATATATACATTATATACACATTATATATATACATTATATATACATTATATATACATTATCTATACATTATATATACATTATATATACATTATATATATACATATATTTAATAAAAATACATAATAATAATATATAATAATCAATAATATGAATATAAAATATATGATTTGATAATAACCAAGAAAAACAATAATAATCATAATAATGATATGTTCATATGTAATCCATAAATGGTGGGATACTGATCAATAGTGATTCATAGTGATGTGGCAAACCCAATAATGACCATCTCCAAGTCACCATTTTCATGGGTGTGATTTCAACCATCCGCAAAATGGTAGGTTTATTATTGGGTTGCCCACATCACTACATTCCCTTTGTCATAATCCATAATAACACGGGGAAATGATAGTGAAAATTATGATGATATAAGATATAAGGAGCAATCATGGGGAAATACAGTAGATCTATATAATTGTGATTTCGTGGTTGATCCTTGCGTTCGCCAATCGCTGGTAAGCTGGTTGGTTTCTTGCCAACCATCCGAAGAGAGAGGTATCTACCCTCCAGTGTCATCAAACATGGCAAATGACAAATCCCCAAACAAAATGGAGGTTTATAGCTGGGAAAATCATTGATACATGGGTGATTTTAACTTGCCATGTTTGATTAATATAGAGGGTTTCACTTCTAATAATGATCATTATTGTCCATACTTATCTCAATGCAACTGAAGTTACAAGTAACATGACTAGGATTACTTTGGGTTATATGTATAAGTGGTAAGGGTTTTGTGGCATTATCCCAATAATGAACCAGAATGTACCATTATATATACGTATATATATATATATACATGTCATACACATACATACCTGTACAGTGTTACAGGAACTGATGCCTTGCTTAAGTCTATGATAGTCTATGTGCAGTTGGCTGACAATGTGCCAAAGCCCCAGAATAAGCCCCGCTTTTGACATGTTTATTGAAAACCAAACTCAAAAGGTACGCCTGTATCACTTAGCCTTTGGTAATTTAACATAGTTGTGGAACATTGCCTGTTTATAGAGATGATAAAAAATGATGATTTCCCTATTGAAACTTTGAAACTGATGGCTTCCCATATCTATGTTAAATTACCAGGTTGGGTAATTATCATCGTCACATAATAGTCAATTGGTGATTTTTTCTGTTGGGTTTCTAGGTACTAAACCAGATCACCCATGGTGCCGGCCTGGGTAAATATCCTTTAGACTCTCTTGTCATAATGGCTAGCAACTGGGGTATCTCAAATGTAGCTTCCATGCATTCCAGCATATATCTATATGTATAGATAATACACAATATATATTTGTATTATGTAATATTTAAATTATATAATATATTCATATCTTATAGTATATATTTATTATATTGTATATTTATATTATATTTACTGTTATTATATATGGTTTGCATCCTAGTTCTGCTTTGGGCCGCCCCTCACTTGCTGTGTTTGGGTTGTATTGAGGTGATTGACTTGAACCGTCGGTATTCAGGGAACCTGTAGGAACTATTTTTTACTTCACTTATTCAAATCCGAGGATGTCCGGTTCGGCAGCAAGTGCCTCTTGGATTGTGGATGATTGAGCGGCCAGCTGGCAGGGATGAACGTTTGATGCGGAATATCTTGGAGTTGTGTGGCTAAGTTGTGATGTTTGGGAATGCTGTGGTTGCAGGACAGGATATTTTGATGCTGACACAAACTGAGGTTGCTTTCGGAGACCGCGGCAACCCCCTTGGCAAATTGGAGCCGTTTGGAGGAATTATTGAAATGCGCTGCTCCCACTGAAGAAGCAAGGGAGTCTGAGAAGACCAGGCACTGTTTCGGGAGGGGTGCTTGAACCTGTGAGCACGGAATAGTTACCAAGGTTTCCAACAAAGAGAGGGGGACACAGGGTAGGGACATAGCCAACCTTGATACAGATAAGAAAGCACGGCTCCAAGTTCCCCGTTCTTTTGAGCACATCAACTTGAGTTTGCTCTTGATGCAAAATCTCCAAAAATCAAAGTATTTTCTGAGGTATCCCGTACTGGAAAGCTTGTGATGAAGGTTGTAATGGAATCGATACTTGGATAGTAAGGAGGGTTACTCGATGGTCTACCCATACATGTTCACATGTTTTTAGTGCATTCCTGGGCTCCTTGCCCTCCAACTGCTTTAGCTACTTTCATGGCCCATCCAAGGACCAATATGTGGGTCACATGTATGGTTTACCTCCTGAGCAGTCCAAGTCATGGGATATCAGCTGCGTAGACCTTGATCTAACAAATTGCGGGTTCCATAAGAGAAAATGAGTCATGCCATCACACCCACCTTGTTTCATTTTTTCGCAAGCCATTTGTCAGGTCTACACCTTTATTTGAAAAAATGAAAAAAATCGAAGTTAGCAATCATCCCGTCCATTTCCCACCCACTTTCGGAACCGAAATTCAGTTATATAAGTCTCGGAAATGGGGAAGGTCCATTTCGAATATCCAACCATCAGCCTCATCAGCCGTACCCTCTTGGTAACTTAACATAGCTATTGAAACTAGCCATTTATAGTTGATTTACCTGTAAAAATGGTGATGTTCACCATGGCTATGTGTACATGTATCACATGGTATCGTGGCCAGAGGCTGCTGGACCTGACGTTGCTGCGCCTGGAGAAGTCTCCTCTCTGGAGCGATTGCCTGGATGCTCTGATTGCCCGAGAGTTGCCGTTCGGAGTCCCAACGGATGGGCCATGGCATGGCCGTTTTGGGCCAATGTTTTGGGAGAAAAAGATCAACAATCCGGATGTACCAGGTGTAGCCTGATTTTGGGGACTAGATACTACTAGATACTACTATAGTAGTTACTAGTACACTGATGTACCCTGATTTTTTGGGACTTGTATCTTTCCAGGGGGGGTTCTTTGGTTAGAGCGCAGGTGTGTGTTGAAACGCGTCGATTAGCACATGCCAGCTGATTAAGAGTATTGTCAGATGCATTATTTGTATTTATTTGTGGCCAAAAGTTGCCATGCAACAGAATAAGCACAGCATTGCGTTTTTTGCTATTGCAGATTGTTGCCTTTTTTTGTTATTCCAAGCCCATAATGATGCTGCCGGATGGAATTTCTAACACAACGCTGGACACTTTCACCTGCTGACCCGGACGGTTTTCCACAATGTCGTGTTCAACAACAGGTTGCCTATATCCGGCAAATTGAAATGGTTTCAAAGCGCCAACTCATCTGGTCGCTGGTTTGAAGTTGATTTTTCTTATATTTGGGATGATCCAAATTTGACCTTGTGCCTTTTTGGATGGCTCAACTTTGTCGCTGGTTCAAATTCAGGTTCAACGATCTGCCCCCGCAGCTGCAAAGGGATCGCAACTTCCTACTAGGAGCTTTGGAAGCTGATGGCCTGTTGTTGGAACCCTGGCCGGGTAGATTCTGTTGAGGTTTCCGCCCTGATGGTCTCCACATGTTCGAAATGTCATACCTTCTGGATCCTTTGGTAATCAAATATGGCCTGCTATGGCCTGCTGGAAATCCCTCAATTTATGGATGATGTTCCAATTTGAAATGTCCATGATGGAGTTCCTGTTGCCAGGTTTGGGGACTGGAGGGCATGTCTTATTAATTATTGATTGGTAATCTGAACATGTTTTCATTCTACTGTTCCATGCCCACCTCAGACGATTGATATGTTTGGGGATGTGGTTTGGGGATGTTTGGGCATGTGTAGGTGTTGTGCGTTATCGCAGAATATCACAGACTTGGGTTGAATTGAACAATTGCAAGAACCGTTGTTTTTTTTTTTGGGGGGGGTGGGTAAACACTATGGTTTTCCGTAGGTGCCTTAAACCCCCTTCTTGTTTATACATCGCGTTATATCCCCATTCTATTCAATCCCCGAAAATGATAAAACAAATTCCGCAGATAGTGAACTTCTCACCATGATTGCTTGCATATGCCCACATCAGTTTATATCCATCATGTCCGCTGATGATACACCGCGTTTTCATCATGTTCCCATTCTATGGGTCCAAACTAGTGGCGTGCATCCCCTGCATCCAACGTGGTTTCCTGGTGGTGTTCAAGGGCTCAACAGGAGGAAGAGATTTCTATGTTCTATATGGTTAAAGTCCCTAAGGCAAATATTACTTTCTAGCGTTAAGCTAAGCGGATTTGATATGGAGGTTTCCAAAGTCATGGGTGTACCCCCCAAATCATCCAAGTTATTAGACCATGACTTAGTACTGAAACCTATGGTGACTTGAGGTTTCCTCATTTAAGAAACTCCCAAAAAGGGTGCTTATATACAGTTGGTCCCCAGTTGATGGTGATTTTTTAGACTATATATATATATATATTTATAATATGTTATATAGTTGTTATATCATATTCTAAGTTGATAGTACCTTGGTTAAGATATAAACTCCATTTGGCTAGAACGCCCCACATGATATCCCAACCATATTGAGGGAAGGGATGAACATTGGCAGATTCCCTAGGGCCCCAGGCCCTAGGGCCCTGATGGCTTTAGGGGGAGATGCTTCCGGAGCATCGTGCGGATGCCGACTTGGTCGCGTTGGCGGTGGCTCAGAATCCGGCCGTGTCTTGGATCAAAAGGCGCAGAAAAGTTGTCAATGGTCATCACCATTTTCATGGGTGGTATGGTTACCATTCACAGTCATGGGTGGTTTATGATTGTTTTACCAACATGAAATAATCAATGGGAATTCCAGGATCCTAAAATAGAGGTACGTTAGTACCATATTTCAGGCCATATTTTTTGGGCTATATTCCCTTACATAGGCCTTAATTACATAGGCCTTATATATGGTAGGTACCTCCAATTTAGGTTCCTGGAATGGCCATTGAAAAAGTGGGAATTTCACCAGCAAAGGTGGTGATGTCATGTGATTTAAGCCAACACAATGGGATTTTTAGCAGCAAGAATACTGATTCAACTGGCACAACTGGTCATTGAATCAGCCAAGAGTGGGGCATTGACAAACATGACGATTTAGCGGGCAGGTTGGATGACCAAAGTTGGGAGAGGTACCCTTTGGTCATCCAACCTGGCAATGGATCCCATGTGGCGTTGAAGAATTCTTTGTTCCCATGGCCTTGGTGTGGTTTCACTTGTTGTACTTCTCGTACTTGTTCTTGTCCTTGTGGTTGTAAGTTGTGTTCGTAAGTTGTGGTTGTTATTGTTATTGTTTGTGTTATTGTTTTTTTCTTGATCTGGTTGTTGCTGTTGTTGCTGTTGCTGTTGCTGTTGCTGTTGTTGTTGTTGTTGTTGTTGTTGTTGTTGTCGTCGTCGTCGTGGTGGTGGTGGTGGTGGTGGTTTTGCCCTAGTTTGTCGGATTTCACCATACCCGAACTGACATACTGGTATGTTTTCAGTAACAAGTTGCAAGCACCAGCCAAAGTAGCTTAAGACAATAGATTAGATGTTTGAAACCTAGAGTCTAGAGATGGATCTCAACAACCAAACACATCCCAACTTGAATCATAATTAATAATTATTATCTTTTGATTTTTAAAATATAATAATATATAGTCAGATTGATATCTCACTGCAACTAGATATCATCACCATCTTGAACAACCTCAAGTTGTTTTGCAGGGTTCACCTTTTTTGAGGCTTTGAGGTTTGCAAGTTGCAGTCGGCCCATGCTGCTCTCAGTGCTTCCCGCCAATGGCAGTGCCTTACAATTTGCCTCCAAGGGTGTCTTGGCACATGATGGTCCCGTGGGATCCCGTGGCAAAACCTGCGAGGTTTTTTCCAACGATTTTCGTAGGGAGCTGAGTTGATGATTTTTGGCATTTTGCCAATGGGAGATATACTACTTGCTACTGTACTCAGGTTGAATCTATATGTTTTGGGGGGGTGTCCTAAACTTACAGATGTCCAAGTAAGTTGGGTTATCATTCCTCCGAACTTCAGCAGTTCACAGCACCAGATGGCACAGCCCAAGGTTACCGCAACGACCCCCAGGTGGTTTTGGCTGCGGTGACTTCTGAAGGTTGGCTCCTGCAGGGGTTGTCCAATGTGTGGTAAGTGAACCACCAAACGGGATGAAAATTACGGGGACCAGAACGGAAACAATGTGGCTCTCTTTGAAAACAGTATAGCCCCAAGATTGATTGGTGATTTTCATGTTCCTATCCAACAATTGATGTTTTTACCATTTAAATCATTATAATATCATCATTATATCCCATTATATCCTGTATTACCTGATATTATCCTATCGTTTCCCAATGGTATCCCTCTTCTATCCTCTTGTAATTTAACATGGGTATGGAAAATCACCGTTCTTAAAAACACGAAATCATCATAAATCATCGACTATGTAATGGTCCATCTATACCATAATTAGTCGTGTTAGTTTACTGTAGTGTATTTTTCATTTTGATATCATTATCATTTAATATCACGTTTTGTGTTGGTTCGAATCACCATAAAAGCACCACAAAACCCCATGAAATTCCCAAGAAATCCGATCAAATCACCAAACCATAAAAAATAGCAACACCATCAAATCCTACAAAAATCCCTACAAAATCTACAAGATCCTCATGAAATTCCCATTCAAAAAGTGCTTAAGCAAGCACCGGGAGCCCTCGGCCGCGGCGCCAGGTGATGCCTTGCAGTACGCCTCGGCGCAGCGGCGCCAGGACCGCGCGATCGTCCTGGCGGCGGTGCGACGCCAGGGCAGGGCCCTGCAGGCGGCAGCGCCACAGCTGCGGGACGACAAGGAGAACTGGGTCCATGGGGAGAGAATGGTGAGTTACCCTCTGGTGAACTAACATAGCCATGGAAAATCACTATTTTTCATGGGAGAATCCACTATAAATGACAATTTTCCATTGCTATGTTAGTTCACCAGAGGGTATTATTATTATTATACAGTATTTATCACCATTATTATTGAGAATGGTGAGTATTATGATTATTATTCTTATTATTACTATTATTAATCACCATTGTTATTATTATTATTGTTATTATTATTACCCTCTGGTAAATAAACATAGACCCTGAAAATAGCCAATGTTTAATGGAAACTAGTCTTCCAACCCCTATCTGCCAGGGTCTATGTTAATTTACCAGAGGGTATTATTATTTATTATTATTATTTATTATTATAATTATTAATCACCATGATTATTGGTTACTCACCATAATTAACACTATAATCAACAATTATAATTGGTAATTAATGGTGAGTAATTTTTATCATAATTACTCACTATTATTATTGGTGAGTGAGTACCATGATTAATCACTATAAGTAATTACTATAGAAAATATCAGTCTATTAATCATATTTTAATCACCATTAATCACTGATAATCACCATCATGAATGAACAATCATCCATTAGTCACCACTAATCACCATTAATTTGACCATTAATTATATAGCCGTTTCCATAGATGTCCTTTTCCCATTTGTTGGTTAATTAATAGAGGGATTTGAAGAAACCCCTTTAACAACAGGTTTCTATGATGATAGATGGTATACCAAACCGGCCCCTCTATTTTTACCAAAAGGACATTATTGGAGTTTGAATGGAGGTTTCCTAAGTCATGGAGGTACCCGGGTACCATCATCCATTTTTGTAGGATGGTCCATTATAATTAAACCCTCCACTTTGGGGTACTTCCATTTATGGAAACCCGCACATGTGAATGGTGGAGATACTATTTTCCCCGACCTGCCAGGTGAGGGTCTCTAGATTTTATCAAAGCTGCATGCCGCCCACCTTCCGCTAGGCTCTTGTTCGGATTGTTTTGGTTTAGTTTAGACTAGTGAATTTAACCATCTGAAATGGTGGATTTATATAGTAGATTATAGACTATAATCTACTATATAAATCCACCATTTCAGATGGTTAAATTCACTATTCTAAACTTAGTAGTAATGAGGACATCATTCAGATAGAATGGGACAACCGGCCTTTTGGGTGACCCCCTCCAGCCATGTGTGATTCATGTTTTGGGATTGGCCATTGGGCTTAGTTAGGCGGCCATTAGCCACTTCTGGGGCAACCAACAACCACAAAAATATATATCTGGTTGGTGGTTTCAAAACATTTTTTGTTTTTCATAATATCTGGGATAATCCTTCCTGTTATACCTATTGACCAATATTTTTCAGAGGGGTTGAAACCACCAACCAGTCTATTATCAAGTTACTATAGTTATATAGACAATTAGGCTTCACCTTTTTAGGTGTTGCTTCAATCCCGATGCTTCATCCCGATGGAGGTCATGTTTCGGTCATGTTTCGTTTGTTAACATCGCGTTTCCTGCCGCAACGTCAAGGAATTTCTGGGCATAGCGGTACCACATTTCATGACGACTCAATTAGATTGGTCTAGGGGAAACTTGAAGGGAAACCATGTATTATGAGCATCAAATGATATACCGTAGGGGGTTCAAAAGTCATTGAGTTGGGCCAAAAGTCATTCCGAAAAGTTTCATAGCACTATTTACTACATAAACCACATGTATATTGTACAGTGTACGGCATCGATTTCATTGGTGTACAATACCTACAATCCCCACTGTTCCAAAGGGCACCTGCGGGTTTCACCGCACCTGTGGCCACCTGTGGCCACCAGGAGGTGGTGATGGCCGCAGTGCGGAGTGACGCCACGTCTTTGCAACATGCATCCGTTGGGATGCAAGACGATGAGGACTTGGTGTTTCCTGGTGGAACCCCAGGGAACCCGTGGGAACCCCCCGATCATGGGATTTGGTCAAGTTTTTGTTTAAAAACCAAGAAATGGATCCCTATTTTTGGGTGGTGCTGACTGGAACATGGCTTCTATGACTTCCATGCTAATATATAAATAAGTATAAATATACATCTATAATGCATGATCTGCTTGGTGCTGACTGGAATATGTTTTATGACTTTCCATTCAGTTGGGAATGTCATCATCCCAACTGACGAACTCCATGATTCTTTGGAGGGGTAGGTCAACCACCCACCAGCGAGGTTTTTTTTGTGATTTGCACTATTTGCACGTGACACCAGTGGGTTTGGTCCGTGAATCTCTGGTTTCTCTAGTGTTCCCCCTACGGCCCTGGAAGGCCGTGGATGAACGGGGGCCCATGCTGGGTCCCCTGCAGACTATGGCAGTGAGATCATCAAACATCATCATCACTAGCATCAACATCAACTGTTTGGAAACAAAGAACTGACGTCCATTAACATCCCAAAATTGAAGCAACACATCCACTATGAGCAATTTTGAGATCCCGACAATCCGATTTAATCCATGTCCAACAAAAACATACAACATATCACCATGACATCCCCAAATTAATAATGGTTGGTGAAGTATCCGGAAAATCCTCAACCCTAAATCGCTCAGGGATTTCCCTCGCTTCCACCCTTCATGTTGGCGAAAGCGGAAAATACCTGGGTTTTTAATTTTCGGTACAAGGTGAGGCCCCGCAGTTGCGGTGCTTGATTTATAAACCCATGAACTAGTATGAACTAGTTAACTAGTTCTAGAATTCATGAAGTTCTGTGCGTCAACTTAGCTATCATAAATCAGCTAATGTTACATCGACAATAGTAAAGGGGGGTCCCCCCCTATATTTTTTTGGGGGGGTCTGCTCCGCAATAGTAAATCGAAAATCCCAACTCTTCCCCAAGGCTTCTGTAAGGTTTCGAAAAATCTTCTCTTTTCTGATAGGCTCTGATGGGATTCTCATTGGATTCTGATTGAGAACCTCTGTTTTCTGATAGGCTTTGATGGGATTCTCATTGGATTCTAATTGAGAACCTCTGTTTTCTGATAGTCTTTGGTGGGATTCTCATTGACTGAACAAGGTAACATTTTGGATTTGGTAAAGGTTTGCTTTGTTTTTGCTTTTGAAAAGCATGCAATCACAATTAAAAACCATTCAACCGTCAACCACAATGAAAAACACTAAGGAAGAAGGGACAAATACAGCTAGAACCAGAAAGGTTGTTTATTATTGCAAGTGCTAATTCCAATTTTTAATTGCAAATGCAAGGACCTGCAAGGGGGTACCCTTTGTGGACCTGTTTTTTGCAATTTGTTTAAACGGATTTGATAAAGAAAACAGTTTCTTTGAACAAGGTACAGGTAAAGTTTTGGATTTGGTAAAGGTTTGCTTTGTTTTTGCTTCTGAAAAGCATGCAATCACAATTAAAAACAATTCAACAACAATTAAAAACACAAAGGCGAAAGGGAAACAAATACAGCTAGAAACAGAAAAATGTTTATTATTGCAAGTGCTAATTCCAATTTTTAATTGCAAATGCAAGGGCCTGCAAGGGGGTACCCTTTGTGGACCTGTTTTTTGCATTGTTTAAACGTATTTTAAATAAAAAACATTTTTTTGAACAAGGTAAAATGTTTGATTTGGTAAAGGTTTGCTTTGTTTTTGTGTTTGCGTCTGGGGCACATTCCATGCTGACACCTCTGGGGTCTAAAAGAAACAGTGCATCTGCTCATGGCAGTTCATGAATTACTGGTTCTGAGTTTTTTTCCTGCATCCATACTAAATCTCAATTAGCCCTTTTACAATTTAGTATTGGAAAATCTGATAATTTGGGAATTTTCTGAAAACTATTTGTAGCTATTGCGAATGCAGCACATTTATTGCAGATGCTCTGGACCAAAATTGATGTCTGTAATTTAAAATCAATAAGGCCTAATTTAAAATCAATGGGGGCTAAAAAATCAGATTCTCAAAAATTATTTGTAGCTATTGCACGCGCTTTACTATTGTCCATCCAACATTATACACATCCTGCTTTAAATTTCATTTGTTGGTGATTTATCACCAATTTCCTGTGGGTAAACCAAAAATCATTATGTGTACATTATCATCAAACTATATGTGTATCATCAAACTATATAAATATAGTGATACTGATACCACAGCAAACTATTTCCTTGAGGCTATGTTCCATGAATGTCCCGATGTTTGTTGCTTCAATCCCAATAAATCATTATAAAAACGCCATGAATTCCCATGAAATCCCCATGAAACCACCAAAAAACACACCGTAAATCATATCAAATCCTTATAAAATGGGGATTTCATGGGAATTCATGGGGATTTCATGGGGATTTCATCCAATAAATCATATCAAATCCTTATCAAATCCCACCAGCCACGCCACGCCAAGGCTAGCAGCTTGCTCCAAAGACCCTCAGGCGCTGCGTTTCGCCTCGTTGCGTCTGCGTGCGGATGCCGCCTTCGTGCGGAGCATTGGGAAGGCTGGGATCAAAGGTGGAAAGCCTGGGAAATCCCAACGTTGAAGGATTATTAACGGGTCAATTATACAAAGTGGGGCCCCCAAACGATAGCGTTCAGTTGGTGCACATAACTCCAATGTCACTATGGTTTATGGTACCTATAACTATAGTATTCATGGGGTTTATAAACCATCTTATAACTGGGGGGCCCCACCTTGTAAGGATAAGCTATCCCGAAATGGCCTTATTTCAGGCTGAAACATTATAAATACATTATGATTTGCCCAGATTATATAGTAGGGAAAAATGGATTCATATTAAAACATAGCATAGTTCTTTGTGAAAATAATTGGAACATCTTCTATCAATAGCTAAGATGAATGGGAAAACACGGGAAAATCATCCTATAACTGGGAACACACGATTGCTAATGTAGCGAACTGGAGAATCATCATGTTAAAACAATGGCATCATCACAAATCACACATTTGGCAGTGTGTCAAAACCTTGTACCCCTGGTGAACCTCAAAATAGCTGGTAAATGGATGTTCATCCCCCTAAAAATGGTATTAATAGGTATTGATCCATACCCATATCATCTATGAATGAATGGTCCCAATTTGATAGCTGCTATGTGAAATATCCAGAGGCTAACCACCAAGATTTGGGTCCCGGAGATCCTGGTTGCTGGGAAAACCGCCATGGTTTTACCGATTTCATTGCACAAGATCTGGATGTATACCCTCTGGTAAACATACAAAAAACTATGGAAAATCATCATGCTATTAATGGGAAAATCCACTATAAATATCCATTTTGAATAGCTATTTTGACATAACCAGAGGGTAGTTGATATAGTTAACGTTGACTTGTAGCGAAGTTGGTCGATTTCACTGACATTTCACTAGTCACTAGGATGTATGGTAGATACATCGAAGTGGTCAAGTTGTTTCACCCACAGTACATCAACAGACCAAACTTGGGGGCACCACTTTGTGTCAATCAAATGGATCGAATGGTTTGAACTCAGCAGAATTTTATGACCTGTGAATGGCCAATTTTGGTATGCATACGGATGACTTATGGAGGGGAAATCAATATGGGGGTACCCCCAAATCATCTAGTCGCCATGGATGATTATGACAAGTCGGCACTTTTATTATTGAAACCTATGGTGACTGGGAGATCACCCATAGCCCTTTCAGCTGGCTGAGCCTGGAGCAAAAAAGGTCAAAGCCCTTCGATATGCTCTTGCGCCCAAAAGAGGAGCAGCCGGGCGACGGAGACGCCAACATGGATGATGATCGAATTGTACAGACTGGTAGGCTCCACCTTTGTACAGGATGGCAGCTGGTTGGTGGTTTCAAAGATGTTTCTATCGTCTTTAAATATCTAAAATGCCTATAAGTGAGTTCTAATTCGATTTGATTCTTCATCCCCAATGAAGAGGATTGACCGTCCCTTGACTCCAATAGATTATTCAATGGTTAAGTTAACCAAACCACCAGCCAGGATTATGACCCTTGGAAAAAAGATGACTTAGCTGCCCAGGGACCCAAAGGTGGGCAAAGATGTAGGCAAACATCAGCCAATCATGGTTTTTCACCAAATGGAGAAAATGGATGAACATACAACAACCCTATCCTCCCAGATATACCGCACTTGGCGGTTTAGTCACTAGGCCAGGCCAGCCTTACACCACTGATCTCCAGGGACCTCCAGTTGCGCGGAAAGCTGAGGTGTGTCGTCTTCAATTGCTCACCGGAAATGGATTACCTCATGGTCCCAGAACCCAGCAAACCCAGCTGTCAACGTAGGCACACAATGGCCGATCTATGGTTCAATGGATTGGTTCAAGGGAAAATCTACAGGAAATACTTCGATTTCCTGTATGAAATATGGGTGTTTTCTCTAGATTTTACCGTAAATCAAGTAATTGAACGATGCGTTTCCTGATATTTGATGCTACCCTTTGCGTTTGCATGATCATGGCAAAAATTGTGTGTTTCCACCAGCGAGATGTAGGTTTCAAGCCCAGTCCACAAGCATCCTAGACATTTGTGATTTTTTATCGGATTCTATCAAGTATAAAACTATATCATGGGCATTCATGTCCGCATCCAGTGTACCTTTGACTGGTTTCAGTTTAGTCGAGTCATGCCTTTGAAATTGGGACGGTCTAGATTCGCTAGATAGAATTCAACTCCTGTAAATTGAGGTTTGCTCCATTTGGTTACCCCTAGATCTCATTGGTCATGGTTAACATGATTTCCTCCATTAAAACCATTCTTTCCCCCTTGAAACTGACATTTTTCTGGTGATTTACCCGTTTTCCAAGGTGGGAAAGTTCTTCAAAGGATTGGCCTCGAGCGGTGCCTGGTGTTGCTTCGATGAGTTTAACCGCATCTACATTGAGGCACCAGCCAACTCACATCACCGATGCCCCCACCGATGCCCATGTTCATTGGATTGAAGGGAACATCTATGTACAGAAAACATCAAGAAACTAGAAACCATAGTTTTCCCATGTTTTCCCTATCAAATATCGGGGGTTCCTCTAAATTTTCCTTTGAACCCACCCAATGACCTTTGCCAGTGCCATGACCAGTTGGGCAGATATAAAAGTCATTTGTTGTGCGCACACAAACAGATGATAACTATATAGAGAGATATGATGTATACTGTATACTCGTAGTTGTTGTATCGAAATTGTACATACATTCTATATATATAAATACAGTATATCTATATATTTTTATTCATTTAAGTCTTCAATATGCAAACACACACACATATACTGTATATATATATATATGTGTGTGTGTGCATATTTCCATGTGCATCGAAGTCCACATTTTTTGCGCCAAGCCCCCCATCTTTCCTCGCAACACGCCAGGTGCTGAGCGTCATCGCCCAGCAGCTACTGCAGCTCTTCAGTGCCAAGCGGGAACTCACCAGCTACAACGATGCCTGGCACGTGGCGGGAGTGGCGGGATGGGATGGTGCTTAAAAATGGCTGGAAAAAGCGGGTGGATTTTTAGCCAATGGCTTCAGGAAATTTTATGAAATCATGTTTTTTTTAATACCCAATCTTGGTATATCAAGGAAATCTATGAAATCAATGGGTCAATGGATTGGTTGAAGGGAAATTTTACTGGTTTAAGTTTAAGCCTCATATTTGATGGGAAAATCGATGGTTTCCGGTTAAGATGTTCCCTTAAACCAATCCATTGAATGGATCTACAAGGCATATCAAGGTATCTATGATGTACTGTAGTTTTCTGCAGTTGATGTTGTTTGATGATACCTTTTGTGGTTTATAGCTGGATTTTGAAGAATTGAAGGATTTTGAAGCAGGGGGTCCCGTTGCGAAGATATATTCCATGGGAACTAAGTTTGAAAACTCCAGGAAAGCGAAGTGAACGATTCAAACCTGGGAGTTGGCCACTGAACATGGTTGTCTACTTGGCTGATTTTATTTTGTAGGCTCAACAGCTGAGGCGGATTTTGACAATATTAATATATATTAATATATATTAATATAATATATATATATTAATATATATTAATTATTTTTAGAATGTGAGAGGGTGACAACCGCTGGGCATTTCATATGGGGAGGGTGAGATGCTTCCAACGAAAATGATCGAGCTTGCAGTCGTGGAGGTTTAGCTATATGGGTCGCATGAGATCATGGAACACATTGGAAAGCCCATGTTTTTGTTTAAATGTTTTTTCCAGGATTTCTCAGGATTTCTCAGGATTTCTCAGGATTTCTGGATATTTCTTGGGTGAAAAACCATGGAACATCGGAACATCCATGTTTTTTTGTACCGAGGATACGGTGGAGTTGGAGTTTGACTCCACCGTGATCACCATGAAGCCCACCTTCAACGTGGCTTGACGCACCTTTCACAGCGATATTTCTAGAATGGGATAAGAATTGGATATCTAAACGATATAATATGATATAATAATGGGATGATAATCATATTTAATATATATATATAATTGTAAAACATGATAATGATGATAAAATGGTATGATGATGGTATAATTATATAGATGTAATGGTGTATATATTATATCTATATACCATGTGTGGTATCTATGGTATAATGAGATATGGTATCTATGATATGTTCCTTGACTATCTATGGAATACTGTAATATCTATGGATAATGGGATGATAGTATGATTTATTTATACATACCCTGGCTGCTACTAGCTATTTATATAGTGGGATAATAATTGGATGTCTATGGTATAATAATGATGAAATCTATGTTGAATAAGGGGATGTGAACTGGATATCTATTGGGTACCAGTGGATACTGGTATCATCATGGGATGATTAAGGTATATTAATGTTATTATCAAATATGACATGATATCAAAAATAATGTTATCTAAAATGGTTATATAATATTCTTTTCATGTATAAACAAAATGATACCACATATAGATTGGCATTGGTATTGGAAACAAATATTTGGATATCTTCTGTTTCTGGTGATTCAGCAAAGCTCCCTCAAAGGTGACGCCCTCAATCATGTGTTTCAGATGGAAGGGCTTATTAAGCGCTAACAGCCACCAGTAAACACCAACATTCATCTATTGTTTCGAGAGGTGCTGCAGCTATAGCGCTTAACAGTTCTAACTGCCTTATAATGATATGTAACCGTAGTTGCAGGAGTTCTTTCATCTGTCAATAACTGTTAAGGGCTATAACTGCAGGTGATTCAGCCTCATTTCTCCTTGAGGTTTTCATCACCATGAACCCCGGATACGCACGGCGCCCAGTGTGTGGAGAGGTGTGAGAAGAACTGGATGAACGGTTGGTCCCCTGTTGTCCTAGTATAACCCAGCTAAATGTGCTATGTACAATGTATATAATCCAATAATCCATGTAGAAAATGGTAGGTTACGATCCAAGACTTGTCACCAATATAAATCAAAATTATTATCCATGCCCCAGAAACTTCACTATCACCTACATGCTCGCATGGTTTCATTTGATTGTCTCGGTGAATCAACAGCATACAACACGAACATAAGACCAAAAGCACCTCAAAAAGAAGCGTCCTATGATTTTCTTACTGGTGCTTAGCAGTAAATGAGGGAATGACCCATAATCACTGGTAATTATCATACCAGCAACCCCCATTCCCATCCATTCCCCACGTTTAGCACAAGTAAGCTTTCCCATTGGTTTCCCATGATTTTCCCACAGATCCAACAAAGGATTCACAGCAGCCGCCCAGCCCTGTCTCCTAGGCCGGGCGCAGCGAGCTGCCAGACAACTTGGCAGCGCTCTTCAGACCTATGGCGCGGGCGCCGAGAAATCATCCTAGTTGGTAGATGCTTTGTCCCATATAGTCCCATTTAATAGATTTTAATAGTGTTTCTATAGTAATCTGATGTGTTTATTCCCATTTACCCTCTGGTTATTTAATATAGCCATTGAACATCACCATTTTTAAGAACGGTAAACCATCTATTTCGATTAGGGCCATGGCTTCCATGGCTATGTTAAATAACCAGAGGGTAATAGATTGTTAGATCGTGTTTCTATAATGGGATCTATGATAAATAATATGATAATACTAAAATCCTAAAATAGATAAGATATTTTTAGATCGTGTTTCTATAGTAATCTTAGTAGTGTTATAGTAGGATAATAGGAATCTTAATAGTAATCCCATTTAATAGGAATCTTTTTCATAGTGTTCCACAAAATCTGGTAGAGAGAGTGTCTGCTAAGCCCCCACGAAAAGTGGTGCTCGGAGGGTGGCCGGGGAGGGTGGTACGGAGTGGGGCGGGGTTCTTCCGAAAGTGGTGCAAGCACTGTGGCAGCGACTTTTGTTTTCCATGTTTTTTCCGTTCCCTGTTCTCCAATTATTGGTGAAATGTGGGTGTGCCAACAATCTATGTTTAAGTGTTTTGATATTTGGCCCCCCACATCAACTACCTTCTAAACGTGTTTTATGTTTTTTTTTGGCCTCCGCACGGTTTGTCCACCCGTAAGTGTGTCGTGAACACTTTTTCCTTCAGATACCTGTATCATCCTCCTGTTGTATATTATATGATACAGTCCCATTTAATTTAATATATATGATTTACAGTGTTTCGGTTCGGAATTCCAATAGTTACTAACTGAACTAGTGCATGATTTCGCAACCATCCACAGTATGGGTATCATTTTGGTGATTTAATGGTGATGTGTGGTTATGTAAATATAAGCAACTTTTTGGTGGAACTGCACATGTGTAATTTATGGAGGATTCTTATAAGTCATGAGGGGTACCCCCAAATCATCCAGTCATTAGATCATGATTTAGTATTGAAACTTATTGTATATTGATAAAACCTCCATTTTACTTATTGGAATTGAATTAATAATCAGGTTCAAACAACAATAACCCAATAGTATTTTTAGATCACCAAGTATTGAAACCCATGGTGACTTGAGGATCCGTGACTTAAGAAACGACCTTTTTTTGGTATAGGTCAAGTCATTGGGTATCCCGATCATGGGATGGTACTGAAACCAGTGGTCCCCAGGTCTCAACAGTTTGACCTATCCAGATCAAGATATGGCCAAAACTGGCAAAAAAACACCTTTCAGTCGACCTGTTTAAGCAACTGGAAGGGAAAACACATGGAAACACCATTTTTTTCTTGTAAACATCGGGGATTTAACCAGGAAACATGGAAGAGAAACCACATCCTGGTTGGAGGTACCAATGGTTTGGCTTACCCGGTAGCCATTTACAACTCCATTTTCGGACATAAAACAGCCCTTCCTACGGGGTTAGGGGTTCAAATCACAGGCCCGACGTGGCCCCATGGACCCCATGACTTGGACCGGACCCAGTTCTCGACTGGAAATTGAGGCGATGATGGTTCCGGACTATGCCATGATTGGTGCGGGGCTTTTTTAGATGGACGGAATGGACGGGCCCTTTTAAGCAGGGATGAAACAGCCCCGTTTTGTCTTTGGAGTCTTTGGACTTCACCGAGATGTTACATCTCGGTAGAGATGTTGGTTAGGGTAACTGGTATAATATGATATAATATGTTAATCTACATTAATCTGCGTTAATCTATTGCTGTAGTGAAGTTCTTTTCGAACTGTCCCAAAATCAACTTCAGGGTGGAAGTGTTGGAACTTTTGAGGTGTGGAATGGTTGAATGGAATGCCCCGTGGGACTGGGACAAAGATGTTTTCCTGGTTGGTTAAGAAAGGGGGCCATTCCACCTTCACAAGGCGGATGATCAAGGATGATCAATCATGCTAAATGATCTCAATAAATAATGAAACACATGGATACACATGGCCCATCATGGTATGCCAGACCAGCCCATACTTCCCAGGTGAAATCAGTTTCTACGCCTTTGGCTTTGAAAAGGGTCGTCATTTGGCCAAAAAAATGGTGCGGAGTCTCAAGGAGTCCAGGTTGGAGACATGATAACAAGAAGCTTGGGAGATATCTGTACTAGTATTCCTGTGGCCATTTTTGGAAGATATTGTATTTGTGGTATTTAGTGGTTTTACTTAAGGTTTACTTAGTACTTAGTATATGTGTGCGATCCAGTCCGCGGTTGGGATCATCTCAATATATTATTCGGGGAGATTCGGGGCCTTCATGATTTTGCTGCGATTTCCGTGGGTCGGAGAGATAAGAAACCTTTGAGTAGCCTGGAAAAAAGAACCATCAATTCCGAACAGGCATGCGAAAACAAGGGAATTCATGAGCGCACCGGAAATGTGAGGTATCGGTAGGTTTTTCACATGGGCGTTCCAACGTGCGTTCCAGTCCGCAATTCCCACTAGCTGCACGTGTCGCTCAAGGCTGAGGATCACTTCAGAGACCACATTCATCAGTCCCAGGGCGGCAGCAGCCATGGGATCCCTATGCTGTAAGCGCTCCGTTGCGCGAACGTCCGCCGATGTTCCCGGTCCAACGGAAAAAAGTGTGGCTGTGTTGGCCACGGACAACGATTCATCCATGTGGTTGGTCAGCTATCGGACTTTATGATGATGCCAGGTGGGGGTCAGGGTTTTGTTTCATGGGGAGAGAGGGTCGGATGGGTCAAGAATGGTCAAAATTGTGTTCTTTGTTTGTTTTTGGGGTGATGGGTCGGTTAAGAGTTTTCTCGCGGCTTACATGCACACACACACACACCGATGGGCTGCCTTTGGGGGGCCTAAGTGGATAGCTAAGTTAAGTTAAACTCCTAGCAAAAAGGCTACAGGTTTAAGGACTTACCGACTCGGTTAGCTAACCATTAGCCATGCAGCTAAACTAATACAACAGATGCAGAGGATGCAAGTGACTTAGTAGAGAATGTAAGAGACATACATCATACTTACTACTGGGCTTAGTGACTCCCAAAACTGCTGTAAGTACTTAGCAAACCCCAGGCCCATCTAAGGATCATGATGGTGGTGATGAGCATGATGCAGTTATAGCCCTTAGCAGTTGTTATAACTGGCTTATAACCTCAGTTAAGATAAGTGATATGTGTATATATCTATATATATATATATGAATATCATTACTTACATGAGTATACATGAGTTATATAGTTCATCTCATGTCTAACTAGGAAGGGCCATGACTGTGATGGTGGCGATGCTGGTGCTCAACCTCGCCCCACCCTCAACACTGTGGCACGTGGAAAACTCCGAGCCAGGTCCACCGCCGCCCTTTGAAGTGCTGTCATATCGAAATATGCTCACAGAAGCTTGGCCAGTTTGAACCACAGATTGTACCCTTTTGTTCTTAGCTATGGAACATGGCCCATGTCTGGATGATGTATGATGATTAACCTGTTAAAAATGATGATTTCCATAGCTATGTTGAAGAATCAGAGGCTCAGAGGGTAAATATGTTTCAATGCCAAACATGGTTACTGTAAGATTCAAAAATTATGTGTGTGTAACATGTTCTATAGGGTTGATTTCACTTTGAACTTTTTATATTTGGCCGGCAAAACTGAGTTTGACAAGTAAGTCTTGGCAATGACCTGGATTATCCTGGATTTGTAGAGCTGCTGGTTGTGGAATTTCCCATGATTATGAGTCCAGCAACACAGAGAATGTAGGTTTTTACAGGGTTTTACGTTTTTACATAAGAATTATATAACAAAAAGAAAGAACACACAAGACCAGAGCAAACATAAACAAACATCAAACCAGGAAAACAACATAAAAGAAATGAACCAACAACGGAAACTATGGGAAGTTCAAGGTGTTGATTCTTCCAGTCAGGTTTTTTTGGTGAATATGTTTTTGATTGTGTTTTTGCTGAAAAAATGTGCTAAAAGTTGCTAAAATCAACTTTCTCCGTTCCCGTTTGCCTCATAATACCATTACTTTACCCAGGGGAATCTCCTGATGCTGGGCGCATACCACCACTACTGTGGGATTACCCAATGCCATAAAGAACTACCAGTTTGGGATAATTTATACAACCCATTTATTGTTTTTTTTGGGATGATTCATTAGATACTGGCTTTGCCACATTACGAATAGTCTGATAGTCGCATCTCTGAGGTATTGAAAACCATGCAAACTATGATTTCGAACTGGCAGTTAAAGCCCCTGGTTTTTTGTCGTGGCTGGCACGGGCGGCCATGAAAGCAACCTCTATGCAAACTCTAAGATAGTCGTTTCGTTTCATATACCTTCATATACGGTATATGGGAATGGATCAAAATCTAGCCGCATGTTTTAGGTTTTGGGGGATGAACATCCATTTGGTTGTGGCTGTTAAAAGGGGTACCATTTTTTTCTCCCAGCCACAACATCCGCCGTGCCACAGGAGTGGCAACCTGGTTTCTTCGTCATTTTTGTGCAGCTTGGCTTTGTTGGTTAACGACACATGTTTTGATCGACCAAAGATCGATGGTAAAAGGGCACCATTGGGGGCGACACATGTCATGTGATGTTGCTTGCTGAGATAATTCTGGGTAAATTATAGCGACCTCACTGCCACCTCACTATAATCATAGTTAGTAAGGGGAATCATCCCAAAATGGCCTTAATTCAGGTTAGTGAAATATTATAATTTACCCAGATAATTGGCTTCGACATCAAGCCCACAGTGCGATGGGAAGTCCCAACCACAGCTGTTTCTGGCAGGTCGCATCAGTGGTTGGGACGAGATCATCCAGATGAAGAGGGCCATGTGTGCCATTGTCTCAGGACCTGGATATAGCTGAAGGTTGTGGTTGTTGTTGTTGTTGTTTTGTTGTTGTTGTTGTTTTTTTTTGTTGCGTCGTTTCCTCATTTATTGGATTAGAATTTCCAATTGATAATTGTATATGTTGGATTTTCCAATTTTATTTCCCGATCTTGGTTGACTGATTATGATTGATGGTTTTTCCCGTTTGATTTCCCTAATGTTGGTTGTTGGATATTGGATGATATTGGTTCATCATGGTTAATCAACAAGCACCTTCAGCTAAATATTGGATGATGTTGCCATTGGATGTTGTATGAGGTTGGTTGATCCACCACACATATACACATGTCTGGATATTTCCGAAAATAGGGATACCCCTAAATCATCCACATTAATAGGGTTTTCCATTATAAATCAACCATTTTGGGGTACCTCCATTCATGGAAACCTCCATATATACAATGTGAGGCCCCCCTACATATAGCTAATTAAGTTGGTGCACATAACTCCAATTTCACTATGGTTTATGTTACCTATAACTATAGTTAGTTGGTTTATAACTCCAATTTCACTATGGTTTATGGTACCTATAACTATAGTATTCATGGGGTTTATAAACCATCGTTCCATCACTGGGGGACCGCACATTGTAGATCTATGGGAGTCCACTGGGGCCCCCCACTTATCCGCGAGGATGGCCCTGCAGAACATCATGACGGCAGCCCAGCTGAGCGCCGAGTATTCGCAGGGGAATGACATCAGGTGATTGATATTCCCATGGTTTCCCATGGTCATGTTGAATTGTACATGAATACCCTCTGGTAATTTAAAATAGCTATTGGAAATGGCCATTTATAGTGAGTTTTCCCATTAAACATGGTGATTTTCCATAGCTATGTTAGTTTACCAGAGGGTAATGGGAATAAACACATCAATTTAGTCTGAAGATTCAAGTAGTTAAGTAATATATCAATATAATTATTTGAAAAAAAAGTTTGCGCAGTATTGCGCCATCACATGAGTAACCAACACAATTATTGTAATACTCATTTAGTTTTGTTTCGCCTTAGTCTTGCTGAGGGGTGTGCAAAACCTTCATTACCGATACCCCTGTTTTGCATGAGTGGCCTCAAAGTCTGAGAAGGCAGAAATCCTCACTACCAGGGACGACCCTAATTTGCGCATGGCATGAAAATGATAAACAAGTTTGTCCGGCCATTCATATATACATATTTGAAATTGATGGTTAACATGAGTTCTTGATTTTTGGTTTGCTGTGCAGAAGATTTCGCGACGAAGATAGGTTTTGTACGTGTTTTCTTTTGGGGGCCACAGGATACACGATGAGTCCCTCATAGGATAGTTCACCTTCAATTTCACCTATTGGTTTGTCTGAAAGAAGGTGTCCAACAAAGATTATAGTTTATTATCATTATCATCATTTATATATTTGAGTATTTTTTTGGAGTATACCCCTTCTTTCTACTATATACTCCAATGCATCATGTTCCTTATTAAAATACCATTGATTGCAGTATATATATACATATAATTACCCATTTTCAGAGACACCTGTGCAGTTGCCTCCATGAAGTGAAAAGGTGACCACACGCGCCAAAAACCTTATGGTTTATCATCATTTCTCCTATCAAAATTGCCATGTTGTGGTATCTTTCATTTTCAGTCATGCCGGTCCATCCTAAAACACGACTCGTAGCAGGACAGGACTGTAATATCCCAAAGTCGCAGAATTGGTTTATGGGAAAAAAACAGGAAACCCTTTATAGGGTTGCTGCGCTACTCACCCCTGACCCCGGTCAGATAAGTCAGTCTCCCCTGTTGAGATGGCGATAGAGGGAAAAAAAAACAGATACTTGGGGGTAAGCACCAGCTGGTTGTTGGTTTGGACCATTTTTTGCTTTTCCATATATTGGGAATAATCATCCTAACTGACTTTCATATTTTTCAGAGGGGTAGGTCAACCACCAACCAGCCAGGGTTTCCTGTGAACTTTCATGGATAAATCGAGGCAATGATGACGCTTAAAACCCGGCGCGATGATCTATTTGCCTTAAGTGTCCATTCCCCTTTGAAAGACCCGAGGATTCAAACGTCTCGATCTAAAAAAAACTCCCAAGCTCCCAAGGAATCTCTGGTGGTGGACTATGATCCTTTGGCCAAAAGCCTGGGCTTCAGTCATAAACTCAGCAAAAAGGTGGTGGCTCCTTGCCATCACGATGGAGAGGGTGGAGAGGGCCGTCTCCACCGTTGGATACAAAGTTGGCCAATGAGAGACTCATGCAGAAAATCTGGCCACCAAGGGGATCAATCATCCCCACATCTTACCATGTTCTTAAGAAGTTCCCTCCTGTGTTTTGAGATGTTCTTTGTTTGCAAGACTGGGACTGTGGCGACCTTGGGATTCAATTTTTTGATGTAGGGCTTCACAAAAAATTGGGATATGATTGGCACTTAAAAATCGCCTATCCTATTGGGCGATTCCCAACTAAAATCGCCATGCAGAGAGATGCTGAGGGGCAGATGATGACGGGCTACCTGTGGATGGATTGGATGTGCCTCCCACAAGACCACCTCGATAGCCGCTTGGAGCCTGGGACGCCGATTGGGACCTTTATGACCTTATGGTTGAACACCTCGATTGGGCGGCGGGTTTGTTGAAAAAAAAGGGTGCCCCACAGTGGCTGGATGTATGATCGACTTTTTGACCACATGAAAAAGTGCTTAAATAATATACCAATTTATTGGATTCAATCGGGCATACCACATTTTCAGAGAGACCCATGTGAGATATCCCGGCGTGCAACTGACTGAAGGAACCCCGGTTTTAGTTCTTGTCCCCCACATCGATGGGATCAAGACAATTTTGAGAAATGGTATCCATACTGGGGGCATCGTGGAAAGCAGTGACTGAAATGCAGATGTTGCAATTGTGGAGACTTATTCATGTTATTTCATGTCTCTCTCAGATAATTTAACATATATGGAAAACAGCCCCTTCTATAGAGGATTTACGTATTGATTACAGTATCGTTATATCTATTATAATATGATAATAAATTATCAACCCATGTTTTTTCCCATCGTTATTTTTATTTGATGACCGGCGGTTTAAGTTTCTGCTGGATCATCGCTTAGCTTAGGTCATCTTAGGCTGTTCAGCCCTTGGAAGATCTCACCCCTGTGAACGATCTGTAGCTGTGATTTGCTCGTATTGTACTGTTTCGTGAACCGACCAAGCACCATTTGTCCAATTTGTAGGGTTTCCAATTCCCTCCAGCCCTGCCACAGGAGCAGTGCATGCCTCTCTTTGTAGAGCGATGCCCCATTTTCGTGCGACTTTGATTGGTGGAGGGGAGTGCTTGGGGGTTCATCCCGGGTATCGTGGGTACTTCTGGTAATATTTGTGGGTTACATATGGGTTAATCCACTTACTACCCGGGATGCACATCCAAGCGGTGACCGTTTTCGTGCTTGGCTTGATGGGCATTGATCGCTATCACACTTTATCCATCAGTATGCCATATTTTGGCTGGATGAACATGCATGAATACCAGCTATATCCAGCTATTTTGGTGTGACGACCAGGGTATTTAACATGGTCTTGACCCACACCAATGTTTCCAAAATGTCTGGGATTCGTTGAAGGAGAAATACGCAGGCAACCTTCATTTTGACAAATTGTAAATCTATGATGTATCGTAAATCCTTTGGCCAAATGTTTGCCATTTAATATGCATGTTTCTATCCTACCCAGAATTCCCAAGTTGCCTATGATTTCAGTAAACTTTGAGCCAGTGACTGTTCCTTGTCACTGCGATTTGTTTCACACACAAAAGCATACAAAAGCAGCAACATTGTCATAAGCACCTGTACATGAACTGGTGGTGGTGCAAAGAGCCGTAGGATTCCAACCCCCCACAGGTCAAACTTTCGCCTTGAAAATCAAAATGATCCAATACAGTCATGAAATCGTCACTGTGATTCAATACAGTCAGCATACAAGCATCTCGCCTCGCCAGCGTCTGGTGTTTTTCTCAGGATCTTGGCTCCAAAGTTGCACAACTCTCAGGGGGAGCTTTGTTCCTACCAAAGTCGCTTAAGAAGAATGTGTGGAACGTTCGCTTTTTTGAATCTTTCAATGGCAGTTTCCGAATGTTTGGGGGTACCCCAAAAATCATCCAAAAATGCTTAGCTGGAAGCCGCTGGAAGCCATGGCTGATGTTTTACCTATAGCATTGACTATTAAGCTACGTTGAATAAGCAGAGGGCATTATATGTTATACCCTCTGGTAAACTAACATAGCTGTGGAAAATCACCATTTTTGATGGGTAAATCCACTATTTCTATGGCCATGTTCAATAGCTATGTGACAAATTACCAGAGGGTACATGTCCACTTATCTTGGATACATCCATGTATCTAGCTATTTGTCTATCTATTTCTCTATCTGTCTATCTATTTGCCTACATCTATTTATTCATCTATCTCAATCTCAATCTATCTACCTCAAGCTACCCATACACATCAAATATTCACACATGTAGCGTATGAATATTCACATATTGTTTCAAGAGGTAGATCGTATGGTACAGGGTCAATAGTTTTGAAGGTACTAAGCACTACCCCCAATATAAAACTTAAGGAGAGCTGCGTTTTGACAAGGTTCACAGACCCTTTTTTTTTGAGCTTCGGAGGTCCACACAGATATTTGATGTGACTTCAACTTTTGACCCCAATAGCGGAAAGCATTCAATCGGAACCACCATGATTTGGAGTGTATCTTGAGATGCAATCAAGGGACGTCAACTTTGCAACAGTGCTTGGAGAGAGAGAGAGAGAGGGAGCCCTGTTACATAGTTGTGTAGTTCTGACAGCAGATCATTCAATTTCGTCCTTTTTCGAAAAGCCAAAGAATGGAAAGTTAGTAGAAACCCAAGGCCCAAGTAATTCTTTGTCTCCCCTAAACTAAACACTTTTTTTTTACAACAACGAGGTTATGGGAGACGCGGCTGGTGCCGGGCTGAGATTTGGTTTAAGCAGATGAGAACGAAGCCACAGGACCCCATGGCGGATGTTACCGGATGTTACCGGAGTTTTGAGGCATATCGAATCATATCGACATTTACGGTTCATTTGGTTATATATATATATATATTGTTTTTGCAGCTGGTATTGGGTTTGTTGACACCTCTTTTCTCGTCGTCTATTGAGGCGGCCATGATTTATACAAGGATGTAAGTCGGGCAAACTCTAGAGACCTCAGCGCAAATGATGGTGAGTAAGGAAAACAAACCCTTTCCCAGATGCTCCATGTATGGTATATGTTCATATATTTTCTTACATTTGTGTGTTTTTCTATGGGCCAATGTTGATACATATTCCATACATGGATCTAACATGGGTTTTGATCCTTTATTGCTCACAAGGTGAGGTCCTCCAGTTATAATGAACCACAATAAACCCATCAAGTATTATCCCTCATAAACCCTTTTTTTAATAAAACCATGTGGTTTCCTAAACTATGGCTACCCCTTGTCCTCCCATGGCAAAAATCCATGGAGGACATGCCTATGATCCTCATTACGGGTGGTGAAAGTGTGAAGTTCTTGCGTGCGCACAATTGGGTCTACAACATGGCGCCGCGGCTTCGAAAGTTAGAAATAACGCGAATTTCGTGGTTTATAATGTTAGAATCTATACATTTTTTGGGCGGCGGGTCGTACCCCCAAATGGATGGTTTATAATGGAAAATCCTACTCAATGTAGTGGTAGATTATAGAAATACATATGTATAATAAGTATATAATCTATATAATTAGATTATAAACCACTATTATATATATAATACACATAGTGCTTTATAATCTATATAAATTGTATGTATACCTGGGGAATCTCTGTATGACTATAGACCTGGGGAATACGGGGGAAAAAAACTTTCGGGTAAAACTGGGACTACTATAATCGTATATAACTGGGGAATACTGAGGCTATTCCATATATAACTGGGGGTATAGGGTAAGTGCTTTATTAATCTTTATTACCGATAGATAATCCATAAGAATCCATAACTGGGGGATATTTTATACCTGTTGGGTCTGGGAAAACCGTCTGAGGCTAGGCAAGCGGATGGCTCGTTTGCCACATGTGTTTTATTTGTTGACCTGGTTTAAAGACTGTTTAAAGACCAACTCTTTTTGTGGATGGTAATTGCTCAAGATTCACGCCATATCATTCTGTAACTAAAAAGACGCGCGGGACCTCAAACGGTGGCTTGAAAAGGTGATGATTTGACCGACAGATAAGGATGTATGGACCAACAGAACCCACAGCACAGCTGGTTGATGCTGATTGGTGGTTTCCAATTGTTGATATGTTCCAATATGTTTCCATTCTTTACCCAAGATGAGACGCTGCAATGCGCCTTCTCCTGAGATGGGTTGAAACCACCGGCAGGTGATAAACACTTTGTTTTTGTACACCATGTTTGACAGGTTTTGTATTTTGTTTGTGGGGGGTATTGGATGATATAATCTGCAATGAAGTCACCATTTTTGTAACCTTCTGGTAATTCAACACAGCTCCGGAATATCACCATTTTAAGTAGGTCACTCATCGATAAACATGTGCAAATATTCCATAGCTATGTCAAAACATGTGTGAAATCTGGGTAAATTATAATCATTCACTAACCTGAATCTTGCGGCCATTTGGGGATGATTCCCTTCAAATAAACCATGATTCCAGGCTTCGGTCGCGACGTGAGGTCGTTGTAATTTACCCAGTGAAATGACTATGTTTCAAAAAAAACTCTGACGGGCCACCAGGAGAAGTGTCGCAGCCAACGACTTGGATAGTGGATAGATCCTCTTGCCACTAGCCAGTACGGCACTAGCCAGTAACTGTTGGGAGATCATCATTCAACCATGGGGGTTTTCTAAAAAGTTGGTAACCGGTTTCCCCATTGACAATATAAGATGATATTTCAGCAATTTTGTATGATTTTGGGGTACCACCATTTTAGGAAACCTCCATATGATATCATATGATGACTAATGATGATATTTGGAACCTTCTATATTCTTAACTTTTGATTCAATTGGAACTTCGACAAATTTGAAAACCAACAGATGGCTTCTACATATGCTTTGCCGTAAGCTAGTTCCCCATTACCCTCCATCAACCTCCACATATGATCAGAAGATCTTGCTACAGTGGTCGCTTTTTGTGGCTGGTAGACTGCTCTCCGGTAAACATATCTATGGACTTCCCCATAAAACCTCCATTTATGGTGGATGTTCCAATTAAAACCTTTATTCCCCACCTGCCAGGTGAGGGTTGTTAGATTTTATGTCAGTTGCCTCCTCCTCCTTCTCCTCCTCCTTCTCCTCCTCCTCCTTCTCCTCCTCCTCCGCCTCCTCCTGCCTCGTCCTCCTCTCCTCCTCCTCCTCGTCCTCCTTGTCATCCTTGTCGTCCGTCGTCCTCGTCGTCCTCGTCGTCCTTGCTCAACTGCGACCCGCGATCCACAGTGTTCTCTGCCGGACCTCAACCACGACCATCCACGCCCAGTGTTCCCTGCCGGACCTCAACCACGACCATCCACGCCCAGTGTTCCCTGCCGGACCTCAACCACGACCATCCTCGCCCAGTGTTCCCTGCCGGACCTCAACCACGACCATCCACGCCCAGTGTTCCCTGCCGGACCTCAACCGCGACCATCCACGCCAAGTGTTCCCTGCCGGACCTCATGTAGGAAGATATGGGACAAAGAATGTGCAGAAGAAAGTTAGAAAGAATGTCAGAAAGAATGTCAGAAGATATGCCAGAAGATATGCCAGATCATGCCAGATATATGCCGAAGATATGCCAGATAGAATGCCAGATGTCAGATAGAGTGCCAGAAGATATGCCAGATAGAATGCCAGAAGATGCCAGATATGCCAGATAGAATGCCAGATAAGATATGCCAGAAGATATCATATGCCAGAAGATATGCCAGATAGAATGCCCAGAAGATATGTCAGATAGAATGCCAGAAGATTTGCCAGATAGATGCCAGAAGAATGCCAGAAGATATGCCAGATCATATGCCAGAAGATATGCCAGATAGAATGTCAAATAGAATGTCAGAAGATATGTCAGATAGAATGCCAGAAGATTTGCCAGTAAGAAAATGTATAAATGTCATGGTGGGGATCACACGAAGTAAAGTAATTTACAGTGGATTTTTCCATTAAAATCTTCATTGATAGTGGAAATCCATGGCTTTCCCTATGAAGTAATCGAACTCTGCGGGGCGATCCGCCCTCAATCCAGCTGAAAAAAACCAATAGTTTTGTGGCCAATCCAATGCCATAAACATCCATAGAACTCAAACAAATACCTATACTAAACTTGGGGATAGTTTATAGAACCCATGGTGATAACTTGGGGATGGTGATAACTTGTTGGCTTTAGTTGTTCACATCGTTGGGGAATCCTGCTCCCTTCAGGTGCACGATGGTCTCTTCTCAGTGCCAGGGGATCGGGAACTGTTGAAGCCGGTGATGGAGACCCTGATGCGCCCCGACGCCCATGAAGGGAGCGCATCGGATCGTGATCGGAGCCATTTTGAAGGGCCCCTTAAGGGTCCCTTGTTACTCAGAGTTTCTCAACCACATGATTGTTACTGAAATTGTGGAAGCACACGTTTTTTCCAATTTGTTTTGGTTATAATTATAGAAGTTAGGTGGGGCTACAAGTTACAAGCCAACTTATTTCCAGGGACACCACCCACCTTGTGGTAATTTAGCCATGGAAAAAGACCCATGTCTCGATTCATTTTTTCCATTGCCATTTTCAATTGCAAATTGTTAGATACCAGAGGTTATATACTTAAAACTTCGATGCTTCCGATACTTCCCCGTATCGAAGTGTTTGAATATTTGTGGCCAGTGCTCAAGTTCAATTTTGATGGTGGTCTGCACAACGAAAAGAAAGGGACATAGCCAGTGATTCATGGCACTATCATATTCATTACAACCCATTTGCCTGCCCAAAATGAACACAACCAATTGAAAGCCGCGGTGTCTAGGGGGTAATTAATAGTAGGAGAAGGGATTGAATACAGCAATCCCCAAGAAGAATAGTAAACTCCAATCCTCCTAGCAGTGCTAGATGGAACAAGTGCGACATTTGTTGATTAGACCCCACCAAAATGTTGGAAAGGGGTCCTACAACCAAAAAGTCAGGAAGAGCAAGCTGGAAGAGTTTCTGCTGCAGGGGAAAATGTATTATTTTCGCTACTTTAAGAGTCGTTCCTTGGCTTAAAGATGCCGGGGACCGACTGCAGAGAGGGAGTTTGGGGACAGACTGGAGTAGCGGAAGTATGATTCAGCGTGTTTGCATACAGTCATATGAACGTATATTGTATTATATATATATACATATAACATGTATGATGTAATGTGTATATATATATGATATATATATATATGGGTTATATATATAACATGAATAATATAGATAATAACAGGTATATTAATATTATATATATATATGTTATGATCACACATAGGGGTACAGTTCGCACATGTTGGTAAGCGATTAGTAGATGTTTGACATACGTCCTGGATATTGCAGTCCTCAGCGGTAACCAACCGTACTGGCTCCATATATCTATCTATCGATCGATCTATCTATTGAATCCAATCCAATCTAATCTAAGATAGTCTAATCTAATCTAATCAAATCTAATCTAATCTAAATCTATCCACATCTAGATATTTTAGTTTATATGTATATTATATGTATATGTCTGGATATGTATATGTCTGGATATGTATATGTATATGTGTATCTATATGTATATGTGTATCTATATGTACATCTATATGTATATCTATATGACTATATGGTCATATGTTTTGCGAACTTGGGGGCCTGGAATCAGCTGGAGCGTTTCCTGATGTTTCCTGCTTGCATGTGCGTCGATACATGGCAACTTGTATCCAGAGTCTCTAGCTTTTCAGCACTTTCGCGATTATTTTAACATGAAACCGGCTATTACCCTCTGGTAAACTAACATAACTACGGGTCATTTTCAATAGCTATGTTAAATTACCAGAGAGTACGCCTCACTTGTTTCAGCGGAAAACGCAACGGAGGATTGGAGACCGTTGCGAACCTTGGAAAGAAGAGCCGGAGCTTTGAAGAGTTTCTTGCAGATTTTCACTTTGACGAGATGCTTGCCGTGGAAAAGCTTGGGCCATACAACCCAGTTGCGTTTGTTGGTTTCTTCACCTTGTGGAAAAATATTAACCGAATATATCTACCATAACCCTAGTGAAATGTTAGCTAATTTGAGCTACAAACTACAAACCCACTTAGCTATCTAGTGAGCATTCGCCCGACCTTCCAACTCGCATTCTGGGCCATGGCCTTTTGGATGCAGAACCTCTATGGGCGATTGTTCTTTGGGATGATTCTCGAAGTGTTTGTGTAGTTATCATAACCACCCAATAAATTAAGTAGTGCAACCGGGTCTTGTTAACAGGGACTATAGCATGGCGATAGGATAATATATATATATAAATATAAACAATAGTTCTCATTATGATGTTTGTTGATCTCCGCCTGGTGGACGCTATCAATAAGTCCAAATGACCCTCTGAAAAACTCTGAGCTAGCTATCAAAAATCACCAAGTCACCATTTTTCATGCGGAAATCCAGGAACTAAATGGGCCATGTAGAGGATACATCTCCCCCCGCCAGGCCCCCCGGCCCCCAGGAAGTCCCTCCGGTGCTCCTCCGGTCTGGGCGCCGTGGCCTGTGCCGTGCTGAGTGGCGACCTGCAGCTGCTCCCGACGTTGGTGGAGAAGGGCGCGAAGCTCCGCTGTCGGGCACCGAGACTTGGAGAAGAACCATGGGAAATCCTGGGAAAATCATGGGAAAATTGGGGAAATCATGGGAAAATTGCCAGGGAAAACAGGGTATGAATCCTGAAGATAGCCGCATTCAGTCCCACAACTCGGTTTGATGTCATATTAATATATTCATTAACATTAACTACTAGACTGTATACATATTGACATTATTCATATGAATTATAATTATTGATAATTTATTGGATGCACATGGGTGTACATGGTGCCCCTTCATATAAATGTTAGCATTCTTCAACCTGGGGTTTTGGGAATCCGGAGGTATGAGGTCATGATTTGGCGGCACAAGTTAAGCTATCGTTGTACTCTGGTAGGGTTTACGGTAAAATGATGACAAGTGATGCAACAAGTATGACTTATGGCTGATGTTCATTCATTCAGCGTTCATTTTCTTAGCCAACGCGACCGACACTTGATCAACAATGATCAACATATATATATATATGTTCATACACCATTTACAGTTGCAAAGTGGTGTCCCGGAGTCCCCCACTTACGGTGGGTTCATTTATGTTAGCCCACCCAACTAGAGATGGATCCACGATACTCCTGAGTTCACCTCGTAAAATAGACTTGAAGCTAGGGGGCTTCGCTTTATAGTAACTCCCAAAAAGATAGAACATGATAGAACAAAAAATGAACAAAATAAGTACTGAATCACCTTTTTGTGGATTGGTTCTGTCCCTATCTTAACTTAAAGGCCTCGCTGAAGTGTCCCGCGCTGCCAGGAACATGTTGGAGATCGACATCTTGCCGGGCATGACACCTTTGCAGCTCGCGGCCAAGCACAGCTGCGACCGAGTCGCGATTCAGCTGCTGCTGGAATTGAAGCTTGGCGCGACGGACGCGACGTAGGAAGTAGATACCTGGGGATATGAGATGCATTTACATTGAATATACAATACATGTGTTTATGTTTTGCATATATATATATATATGTATAATGTGCGCGTGTGTGCTGCTGGGTGCATCCCATTTAGGTACTTGGTATCAGTCTCCCGAAGGGGGCTGATTTACTGTAACGCGTTATTTTTCCAGGTATCGATGCAGTTGAGGCTCCCAGCTTGTGACAGCTTAAGTTCTGCACTGTCTCCGCACATTAGTTGATGAATCTACGTGTTTGTTCTTTAAATCTATTTTTCTGGTTACAGTATATCATTGTTTTTCAAATTTCGAAATTCTGGGCTGGTTACATCCCAATGCTGGTGGTGAAATTGCAACTTTCGTGGATTCACGTGGGTGTTTACCCCAATGGGCAAACATCAAAAAACATGTTGTTGAATAGGTGTTCACAATATAAGTCCATACTTTCCAATATGGAGAAGTCACATACCAGTAGTACCGCACAAGGCGGTGGCGGAAGTTTCAAAAATAGGAAACCTATAGGAGAGATTGGTTGTTGTGAATCAGGGATGGCAGAGCGAATCCACTGATGGACCGAAAGGTGGTTGGAGCTGTGTTTTGTGGAGTGACTGCAATGGTTGCAGTGGTCACATGGTCGGTCACCTCACCCACAACCTGGATGTAGTGTGGTGTAGCGCAGCTGTAGTTGTAGTGTAGTGGAGTTGTAGTTGTGGTGTAGTGTAATTAGTGTAATGTAGTTGCAGTTGCATTTGTGGTGGTGTAATGAGTGTAGCGTAATGTAATGTAATGTAATGTAATGCAATGTGGGGTAGGGTACTGTAGTGTAGTGTAATTGAGTGTAGT